AGTTTAATTGTGGACTTTCAGTTTGCATGGGTTGAACATATCATCTATTGTGCTGAACTATTGTTTATATTGTAAGTCGTCATAAGAATTCGAAAATCATGACCTCACAACCAAAAGCACTGAATCTGATACCATATTAACAAACAAACTGCTTACTTTATTATTGAAAAAGTGTGTAATTTATTTCGTCATTTACAGGGGAATAGCTGCTAAGTTAAGCTCTCTCAACTGTGACTAAACCATATTCTAGGAAATGCACCCGAGATTCTAAATGTAAATATTGTGATGAAAGAGGAGTTTTTGGATTATCTGTTGTTTTGCTGTAAAACCCATTCAGTATAAGCACGTTTTATTTTAGAGTTTTTGTAAAAAATTATCCATTTCACTCTAAAATGTGTTTTGTTAATAGATTGGATCTAATCTAACCTATAAACCATGTATGTTTCCCATAATTTGTGGATGTGTGATTTGTCTTTAGAATAAATTTTTTTTATAGAAAATGGTGGGGAGATAAAAATAATAATGTGAATGGTGCCTAGGATGGTAATTTCGACCTGACCCGTTTTACCCGACCTGTTTGACCTGTTTTGGGGCAGGTCGGACCCCCCCGTAGGCGGGTCGGACCCGCCCCGTAGGCGGGGCGGGCATGGGTAGTCTCATCGACCCGACCTGCCCTGACCCGCCCTATTCTCGACCCGTTCTTGTCTAAATTACATGAAATCTTAGTCAAATTACTTTGAATTTTACTTTTATCGCATCATATTTTAGATATAATAAAGTTGTAAATTAGTGAAAACCTCAATTTCCAATAATTTAACTACAATTGTCATAGTATTGTTTATTTTCTTAGTTTTATAATAAAAATAACGAATATTTCTAATGTTTTTCAAATAAATTGCATACCCATTGGGTCGACCTGCCCCGACCCGCGACTCGTGATCAATTACCCGACCTGGACCCGCCCTGCCACGGGGCGGGTCTGGGTACCAAGAAACCCGCCCCGGACCTGCCCTATTGCCATTCCTAATGGTGCCTGACCTGGTTAAGGTGGCCACGCGACAAAGCGATGGAGCGTGGAGTTCCTCCCAAGGGCGCACTAGTGTGTCCGAAATGGACAGTCCATTCGAGACGTGATTGGATGATAAAAAATAGACTGCGTCACCAGTCGCCACCATATCATCCATATCCCACGCGCACCCAAGAAACGCGCCTCTTCCTATTTTCACTTATACTACCGTAAAACGAAACGGAATCCCATTGAATAAGCAAAAACGAAGGGAAAACGAAATCTGACTTTCCTCGGACTCCGGCGACTTGACAGCGGCGGCGGTTAGCTGCTCCAGGATTCTTTCTCTTACTTTCCTCATCGAATTTCCATCTTTGTTCCTCTATCCGCCATTTCTCCAATCGAAATGGCTCCACGCCTAAACTCTCGCGCCGCCGTGGCTGTGTTGCTGCTGGCAATGGTGGCGTCGTTACTCCCTGCAGCCAGAGGTATATGGTTGTCGATCCCTAGTTCGGGAACCAAGTGCGTCTCCGAAGAAATCCATAGCAACGTCGTCGTTCTAGCTGATTACTATGTCATCAACGAGGAGAAGCCGGAGCATGTGCCGAAGGTTTCTTCACGGGTATGAAATGTTTTTTTTTTTGTTGTTGTTGTTGTTGTGGAAATTGGAAATCGGTTTCTAGATTTTGTTCAATTGCTTAGCTTTGAATGCTTTGATTTCGTGTTATACCTTCCGGAGCTTGGAATTTTCATCTGGGGTTGACTCAATTTCTTCTTTGGGTTAGCTCTGATTCGGAATTGTGATAAGCTTGTATCTTATTTTGTGTGCTCCTGAATCTGATAACCATAAAAGTCCTTATTGATGTTAGTCAAATCACCTGAGATGATTTCTAGCATCTTGCTTTATAATCATCTAGTACTTAGAGGATTGTAGTCGATTGGTACTCAACGAAATGATGAAGCACAAATGATAAAGCATTTGAGATTGGCTCAATGAGATGGCAACATTAGTTGAACTGCTAGGCCAAGCTCTTACTTGGCAGATCCCTGGTCTACGCGGTTGCCAGTTTGCAGTGCAGGCAGCATGTGATATTGTTTGATATGGTAGGGAGGAAATGAAACTATGGATTTTGAGGAAGAACTTATGTAGGAGCAAGAAGTAGCCCACTTATTCATTGTATCCTTGTAGGATTACGGTAGAAATCCATTAAAGTTTTGTTTTTTAGCACCTCTCGAGTTTTCTGGTCCTCTAAAGCAGCCCTCCATAAAAATAGCATGCGGATGCTTTAAATGTGTTGTGGACTTTTGCTATATCTCAAAGATCCAAGTTTAGGCATACATTATGCAGCCTGTGTAATATGGTTCTCATCAGGCTCTTATGTCATGCTTTTCTTTGGTTATTGATTACCTACTGGTGTACCTTTTGCATCTGTTGATAAACATAGCCTTCTCTTATATTTCCAAAACTATTCTGGACACTGTATTGAGTGGTTCAGCTGTCTTTTATGGATGATCTGTAAGTTTCATTTTCTCTTCAGGTGAGCTCCTCTTATATTAGCTGCAGAATTATGCTTACAATCCATTCCTCATGTGTCGTTTTTCTCCTTGAAATCTTATTTCACATCAGCTCTTTTATTCTTTTCTTTAGCAAATTTACACAGAGAAGAGTAATCTCTCTATGATAATTGATAGCTAGCCCTTTGGTCCTGTACTTGGAATATGAACGATTTTCAAATATTTGTTGTACAAAGTCAGCCCATAATCATTCCCGGATCCGTGCTTGATTTCCAAAATGCTGCAGCAGTTTCTCCTGATATGATGACATAAACCAGTAGTAGAAATGACAAATTAAGCTTAGCCTATAGCTAGCATCTAGACTAATATTACTCTAGACTAATATTTTGGGAACCTGTTTCATTGTGCTTACTGCTTAACATAGGTCTCTGTTTGTTGTAGGTGACATCCCCATACGGGACCGATCTACACCACCAGGAAAATGCGACACACGGTCAGTTTGCCTTCACGACCAGCGAAGCGGGTAACTACATGGCATGTTTTTGGCTGGACGAACATCAGGAACATGTCGCAAACGTAAGTTTGGGTTTGGAATGGAAAACCGGGATTGCTGCAAAGGACTGGGATTCAGTGGCGAAGAAAGAAAAGATTGAGGCAAGTCTATTATCAATACTTTACTGCTGCAGATTCTGCTGTGGAGATATCGTCTATCTGAGAGTTACTTTGTTTCTCAATTATCTGTTTATTGATGTGTTTTACTTATGGTGTAGGGTGTTGAGCTTGACCTAAAGAGGCTAGAAGCATCTGTAGAGTCAATCCATCAAAATCTGATCTATCTCAAAGAAAGGTACACACTTTTAATCGATATATTTTACTTCAATCAGGTGTTATCAGTTAGCTTAGTATATAGTGTGGTAACCATCTTGTCCATCCTGCATACTGGTTTTCTTGCCGTTCTGTGACTTTGTTACCTCCAATTCAGTAAGGCAAGTTTACAGACTTAATAAAGCATAAGTTGTTTGCAAAACCGTGAAACTAGTTAGTATATTGCTGGGTTAGTAACATTAGTAGGCCTTGTACAATGTTGTTTTAACACACTAGTCCTTAAACTATGTTGTTTTAACAAGCATGCCACTGGAGTATGTCACTTATCCATTTTTAGTCCTCTGTTGAAAGTTTGGTTGTTAGTGAGACATGATTAGTAATCTTGTTTAGGCCCCTTAATTTGAAACCCAGACACTGTGTATCCTCTTGTTTACTACGGTGCACCCTTTATCTGGGGCTTGGTTGAGGGGCAAAACACAGATTTCCAGAATACGTGATATGTGACCCATTAAGCAGGTGCATATTAAGCATTCATCTGCCGCACTGGTAATGAGTTTGGGCAGAAGTTTTCATGTGAGGTGCTTGAAACGAATGCAAGCGTAGACAAAAGGAGCTAGCTTACTAGTATCTTATTTTTGTAGCTGTAGAATTAGTTGAATTTGTGAAGAAGGATATGGAAAATGGCTTAGCTCACATCATCACAAGTTTGGAACCTTGACAACGCATGACAGTTAACATATCTAAGCATCTATGGTTACTTACTCCAAATTCATCTGGGTTATTGTGGCTTTTAAATTGACAGGGAAGCAGAGATGAGGGAAGTGAGTGAACAGACCAACGGGAGAGTGGCTTGGTACAGCATCATGGCACTTAGTGTGTGCATTGCAGTTGCGACGTTCCAGGTGTGGTACTTGACGCGGTACTTCCAGAAGAAGAAGCTAATCTAGATTCCCTAAGCTCAGTTCATACTCTTTTTTTCTTCTTGATAGTTTGATACATTAATAGTCAGGAGTCAGGCCTACCTTATCCAAAAGATTCTACACATAATGGTCTCTCTTTTCCCCACCTTAATCATACTTCTTTCATTACTTTTGCTTGCACATTTCTAGATCCCTTCCTTCATGTCTAGGTTGGGACTTTATCTCCTAGTCAAGAACTAAATTAGAATTGCAACATAAAATGTTGATGAGAAGGGTCAGATGAAAATAGACAGATCAAGTGATCATGCTGTACTGATCTCAAAACTTAAAAAAAAAGCACGGGCATGGTCCTGTCGGTCCGATAATCGAACTGTATGCCTGAATTGGCACACGACCAAATTGGGAACAAAGGCAAAATGAGAATCAGAAGTGGATCAGGGTCAGCTCTAATTCTGAAAATTAAGATCAAATGTATGTCTTCAATGTTAAATAAGGATCACCCGTATTTAATGCAATTTTTGCATTACTTTTTGTTATCAAACAAAGAGAAAGAGCGAAACAAGGCGTCTAGAAATCTGCCTCGTGTCATCATTGAGGGAGATGCGGCTGTGGTCATCCGTCAGCTTAGCCTTGGTGCAGTGGAGGATTCCGTGGGTGGCCCCATTCTTAGAGATTGTAGGAGTTTCCTTGGATCTTCGTCTCTTTGTATAGAATTTAGGGCGGTTCCGCGAACTGCCAACTGGGCTGCCCATAGAGTGGCGCGTAAAGCCCTGTTGCTGTCTCGGCTAGAGTTAGCTTCTTTTGACTTTGTAGGTTGGTTTGTTAGCGGGGTGGGGAGGGCGTTTGGGTAGTGTTTGTTCTAACTTTCTTTCTGATATTACTCGGGCAAAAAAAAAAAAAAAAAAAAAAAGAAACAAGGAGATTAAATGTGTAATTGGGTTGAAGACTGATAGAGTATCCTAGTAACTAAGGAGGCAAAACTCTAGCTAATGGTATAAAGAAGGAAAGAAGACAAAAGAGCAAAAGGACAAGGCAAGGAGACAAAAGACAAGGCCAGGCACCTACATCAGCAAGGACAAGGGGCAGGGGGACACCCTTTGTCAAAAAGTACCATGTACAGTGTCAGAAGGTCTGAGGCACCCGACCACAGCATTTATGGCTTGGCAGGCGCCCAGACCACTACCTAACCCTCAAATGTGTATAAATAGGAGTTCTCTCCTCATAAATGGCAATCTATCTACTCTTACTATTACTTCTCTCTACTTTCTCTCTCTATATACTTCTTCTCTTTTCTCACTTCTACTGAGGTGGGGCGCCTACCCCCTCAAAGTCATGGCTGACGCTCCAAACCCCTTGGATCCGAGTGACTCCCAGTCGCCCGGGCTCAAACAATTGGCGCCCACCGTGGGGCCAAGCATGACTTTGAAAGACGCTTCCAACTCAAAGAAGGGGGAAGAAAGGAGTCCGGCACCAACGAAGACCCCTATCAAGCAAGTCGTTGGTCGAGAAGTGATCAACCCTCAACCACTCACCATCCAAAGTTTGGAAGCATCCGACGACGACGATCCATCAGGAGAGGGAGAAGACACGGAGCGCCTGGAGGGCCAACTAGCGAAGCTTCGGGAAAAGCAAGCACTTCAAATGGCCAGCACGCAAGGCCAACTGGATCAAGTCATGACCGCGTTGTCAGCACTAACAAAGGCAAACAATCACGCGCCTCCCAATCCCCAAGAAGCCACAGAGGAGAGGAGGCGCCTCCGAGGAAAGATGCAAGAGGTTGAGGTGCTACCCATGAACTCCCCACGGGAGGGTGTGGGCGCCTCACCCAACGAGGACGCAATCGAAGCTGACGACGATGTCTACCTGGAGAAGTACGCCCGACTCAACTACGGCGCCTCGGAAGAAAGAAGCGCCCTGGAATTTTTGTAGGGGGAGGGCCGCCCTTTAAGTAGGCGTAACCCAAAGACACCCTAAGAGAGGCAAAAGCGTGCTAGGAGGAGTCCTTTTATTCAGTTTAGGTTGGTAATGTTAGGAATTTTCGGGGAAAGGGACGCGCCCTGGCGATACCCCATGTAATTCCCTATTTTGCTCAAGGAACGGATATTCACTACTCGACAATGCAAAGCTATCCCTGTTTTAACAGATGGAGTCACCCCAGACTCGCTTCCTCCGTCGAGGAGAAGCCTAAGCGTGTTACCACCTTCTCAGGGGTACACGTAAGAAAAATCAAGTTTTACTTAAGATAGTCATCTTAACAAAACCTTACCCGCAACCAGCGGAAGAGCCTTAGTGCTTACGCTCAGATCTTCATCCGAGCGTCGGGCGCTCGTTTTACGAGTCCCCATGAGAGGTGGCGCCTTGGCCATATCCCTCGCAAAATCTCTGCCTTGTCAGAAGGGGTCACCCAGACCCGCTTCCTCCGTCGAGGAGAAGTCTAAGCGTGTTACCACCTTCTCAGGGGTACACGTAAGAAAAATCAAGTTTTGCTTAAGATAGTCATCTTAACAAAACCTTTTACCCGCAACCAGCGGAAGAGCCGTAGTGCTTACGCTCAGATCTTCATCCGAGCGTCGGGCGCTCGTTTTACGAGTCCCCATGAGAGGTGGCGCCTTGGCCATATCCCTCGCAAAATTCCTGCCTTGTCAGAAGGGGTCACCCAGACCCGCTTCCTCCGTCGAGGAGAAGCCTAAGCGTGTTACCACCTTCTCAGGGGTACACGTAAGAAAAATCAAGTTTTGCTTAAGATAGTCATCTTAACAAAACCTTTTACCCGCAACCAGCGGAAGAGCCTTAGTGCTTACGCTCAGATCTTCATCCGAGCGTCGGGCGCTCGTTTTACGAGTCCCCATGAGAGGTGGCGCCTTGGCCATATCCCTCGCAAAATTCCTGCCTTGCCAGAAGGGGTTACCCAGACCCGCTTCCTCCGTCGAGAAGAAGCCTAAGCGTGTCACCTCCTTCTCAGGGGTACACGTAAGAAAAATCAAGTTTTGCTTAAGATAGTCATCTTAGCAAAACCTTTTACCCGCAACCAGCGGAAGAACCTTAGTGCTTACGCCCGGATCTTCATCCGAGCGTAGGGAGCTCGTTTTACGAGTCCCCATGAGAGGTGGTGCCTTGGCCATATCCTTCGCGAAATTCCCTGCCTTGTCAGAAGGGGTCACCCAGACCCGCTTCCTCCGTTGAGGAGAAACCAAAACGCATCACCTCTTTTCAAAGAGGCTACGCATAAGAAAAACGGGTGCCTTAAGACGCCTTGAGGCTGAACCTGCATTATAAACAGGTGCAAGTATCATAGAGCGATAAACAAGGTAAGGAGCTTAGCAAAATCCAAGGAATGGCGTTCGAAAATACGAGGGGCAAAGCCTACCTATGTTGGTAGGCAAGAGCGCCTAAAGGATCGGAGGGGAGCTCTCGGTAACACCTGCAAAAGCAGTAAGATGAGAAAACTAGAAGGCGGCGCCTTCAATTGAAAAAACGCCTAGCAATAACGAAGGGCGGCGCTTACTTGTTGATGCGTCTCAAAAGCACCTAACGAGCTGGAAGGGGAAACTCCCAACAAATAACAATTATAGAGAGGTAACTTTTGCAAAGGAAGCAGAAACAGTTAGAAACAAAAGCGCCGAGAGAAGGAAGAAGGGGAGGCGCCTGCCAGCAGGGGAGAGCAGGCGGCATCTTCAGCGGAAAACTACATAGCAGTATGATTGAGCCCGACGTTCGGAGGCGCCTCTGTTTCAAACAAAAGAAAGAGCGAATGTTCCCCTTCGAATAGCCGAGTTAAAACATACCTAATCTACGGAGTGAGGCTCCCGACAGAAATGGTCAAAGCGAAAGGCGCCGATGAGAGCCTTCAAGGGGGGAGCGCCTAGGAGAAAGAAGGCGAAAGGTATCTACCGTTTAACAAGAAGCAAAGGCGCCTAGCGAAAAGTAAGGAAGGAGGCGCCCCCAATTGGAACGGAGCAGCCAAATCAGATCTGTCTTCATCCGTTTCAGAAACCAAAGCGCCTAAAAAAAGGGAGGTGGCGCCTCCGACCGAAAAAAGTGGCGAAACGCACCTCGATGCGTGGAAGAGCTTGACATTGAAAAAGTCTCACAAGGGGTGATTGGGCGTTCACCCATTAGCCTATCCTCGTTTTAAAACAAGTTTGACAAAGAAAAAAACAAGCAAAGAAGTGGGGGTGCCAGACATCCTACCACTGAAGGTCAAGCACTTAGCTGAAGGAGTGAGGTGTCAGGCGCCTTACCAAAGGTCAGGCACCCCGACAAAGGAGCGAGTCGCCAGACACCTCATTGAAGCGTCATTGAAGCGCCTGTACGCTCAAATAAACCAAAGCAAGTAATGTTAGACTTACAAGAGTAAGGTTCTAAGTTGTTAGTATCATACATAGACGAAGGAATGAGAAGCCAGGCGCCCCACTGAAGGTCAGACACCTCGCTAAAAGAGTGAGGTGTTAGGCGCTCAACCGAAGGTCAGACACCTCGGCAAAGGAGCGTCTCCATGTGCCCCACTCAAGGTTAGGCGCCTTGCTGAAGGAGAGAGGGGCCAGGCGCCCCACTGAAGGTTAGGCACCTCGCTGAAGGAGTGTGGTGCTAGGCGCCTCGCTGAAGGAGTGAGGTGCCAGGTGCCCAACTGAAGGTCAGGCACCTCGGAAAATGAGCAAGTCACCATGTGCCCACTCAAGGTTAGGCGCCTGGCTGAAGGAGTGAGGTTCCAGGAGCCCCACTCAAGGTTAGGCGCCTGGCGGAAGGCGCCTGGCCTGGCTGAAGGAGTCGCCATGTACACCGCTGAAAGTTAGGCACCTCGCTGAAGGAGTGAGGTGCCAGGCGCCCAACTGAAGGTCAGGCACCTCGGCAAATGAGAAAGTCACCATGTGCCCCACTCAAGGTTAGGAAGGCGCCTGGCTGAAGGAGTGAGGTGCCAGGCGCCCCACTCAAGGTTAGGCGTCTGGCTGAAGGAGTGAGGTGTCAGGCGCCCACTCAAGGTTAGGCACCTCGCTGAAGGAGTGTGGTGTCAGGCGCCTTGCTGAAGGAGTGAGGTGACAGGCGCTCAACTGAATATCAGACACCTATGTAAATGAGCGAGTCGCCAGGCACCTCACCGAAGGAGTGAGGTGTCAGGCACCCTATCAAATGTTAAACACCGCGACAAAGTAGCGAGTCGCCATGTACACCGCTGAAAGGTTAGGCACCTCGCTGACGGAGTGTTGTGCCAGGCGCCTCGCTGAAGGAGTGAGGTGCCAGGTCAGGCACCTCGGCAAATGAGCAAGTCACCAGGCACCTCGTGGACTTTGGGTCTTAAGGCAACAAACGACAAGCTGTGTGACAAATGCTTACCAAAGACATAAGCGAAGGAGTGAGGCGCCAGGCACCCCACTGAAGGTCAGGCACCTCGCTAAGGAGTAAAATGTCAGGCGCCCAACTGAAGGTCAGACACATCGGCAAAGGAGCGAGTCGCCAAACACCTCGTTGAGTTTGGGTCTTAGGAAAATTAACGACAAGCTGGGTGACCAGTGCTTAGCCAAAGAATCGAAGCAAGCACTCTTCTAAAAGAGCACAAGCAATCGAAAGAAAAATGGAGCATCTTAGACAATGAATGGAAAGCATTTGAATATCAGTGGTATCTTTTGGCAAAAAGAAAAAAAAAATTTGGAAAGAGCGCTAGGCGCTCGTTTCAAATGGGCAAGGCACAATCAAAGGAAAACTGACAAGTTTGTTTCAACTTCATTTGATTGTCAAGATAGATTGAATACTCTAACACGAGCGTAGGCACATCCTCTAAGATGAAAGAGTAGTCACTTAGGAAATAATTGATGAAGAACGGAAGAATGCAAGCGTCAGGCGCTTGATAAAAGGGGCATGATTGCTTCTTTTGATAGTCTCCGTTACTTGAGACATGTGTTTATTCTTCCTCATTTTACTACACCTTATTTGGAAGCAAGCACACCCACACGGGTGCACAAGCGCTCAACAGATCAGAAGATCAATAAGGGACTGAAGCACCCACTTGAAAGGAAGAGCCTGGTGCCGATTAACTAAAGAAAGAGAGCTGGCACTTGATTGTGAAGACGAGAAAGCAAGGTTAGTGAAACTCATTTTATGTTGACGCCGCCATGATACTCATACCGACGTCAAAGGGGCAATTGATAGAGTATCCTAGTAACTAAGGAGGCAAAACTCTAGCTAATGGTATAAAGAAGGAAAGAAGACAAAAGAGCAAAAGGACAAGGCAAAGAGACAAAAGACAAGGCCAGGCACCTACATCAGCAAGGACAAGGGGCAGGGGGACACCCTTTGTCAAAAAGTACCATGTACAGTGTCAGAAGGTCTGAGGCGCCCGACCACAGCATTTATGGCTTGGCAGGCGCCCAGACCACTACCTAACCCTCAAATGTGTATAAATAGGAGTTCTCTCCTCATAAATGGCAATCTATCTACTCTTACTATTACTTCTCTCTACTTTCTCTCTCTATATACTTCTTCTCTTTTCTCACTTCTACTGAGGTGGGGCGCCTACCCCCTCAAAGTCATGGCTGACGCTCCAAACCCCTTGGATCCGAGTGACTCCCAGTCGCCCGGGCTCAAACAAAGACAATTAATGATATGATTGATATTGTCTTTCTGTGTGTACAATCGTTCGAATCTGGATAAACTCATTTGAGTTGGACCCCATATGAGTTACTCCAAATTGGGTCCAATTTAAACCCAACCTAAAACCATTAAAAATCAAGGTTCAAGAAAGTGCTAGGTGTAAGGCGAGCGTTGAGACTCAGCATTGTGCTTAGCATGCTTAGGCGTCGCCTAGGCGTGCCTAAGCGTTGTATTTAAACGTAGCATAATATCTCCCGCTCGCCTAGAATCACGAGTTTATATACCAAATATCATCGCATCTACCTCTCATTTCTAAACTTTCATCACCAACACATGATAAAACATAAAACATAGTGTAGAGAAATGAGTAAGGAGAAGAAGCTGAAAAATAGCAAAGCATATTGAGACGAAGAAGCGCAAAAAAGAAAGAAGAAGCTACTCTAAAGATGGTCGTCTCTAACTATATCCTAGACTAACTATAGAGAAATCAAGACCGTACGTCCTCCCTAGTAGCATATCAAAAGGTAGAATAAAATATTGTGACATCATTTTGAGGCACAACTCAATACTAACTAGGCACTACCAAGGCCAGAACGTGATTGTGACGCCTTCTCCACTGCTTTTTGCCAAGACGAGACGTTTTCCTTCTGACTTACGCCTAGGCCAGATTAGGCGAATGCCTATGCGTGCTTTTTAGAACCCCGTTAAAAATACAATAGAATAGAGGTAAAATTATCCAAAGAGTAGAGTAGTAGACCCATTTCCATTCCTAATGGAGGGTTAGGGCACAAAATCATCATCAACACGCGCTCATTAATTATAAGAAAACCCAAAAGTTACTTCCAGAACCATATAAAAGGATCCCAACCCCCTAACAGGATTGATCATGACTCCATCAGTCCAACACAAACCACAGTAAACACAAACTGATTGTCTGATCACCAACATATTAAACCTATGAGCTCACTTCAGATTAAAGAACAACGAAATTTAAAACATACATGACGCAAGAAAATTACAGAGATCTAGCTCTCAACCATCTCGCCCAGTAACCCATTTGAATCACATCCATTGCTGATTGTTAATGATCAGTTGCCGCCATTATTGGGACGACCACCAGCACCGGCGCCGTTTCCAGCCTGCCTTGCCCTCGTTCTCTCCTCCTCCTTCCTGTACTTGATTCCACAAGCGTTGCACAGTGTCTGCAAAGAAAGAAAGAAAGAAAGAAGAAGAAAAACAAACCATAGCAGCCAAAAATGTAACCATGAGTCCGTGACTACTTAACCAGAGGTGATTTGCTAAATATTAGAAGCTACATCAGTGTTTATGATATTCGTTTTTTTTTTTTTTTGGATGATTGACATCGGAGGTAGGGCTTGGCTTCAGTTTTTTTTTTCTTTTCTGGTTTAAATTGAAATTGAACCGATCAGAATCTTGTCAATTTTGTTTCTTCGAGTCCCGAATTGGTTTGGAATTTATATATTGATGCAGATCTAAATCGAAAAACCAATAAGAAACTAAATCTGAACCCGAACTTTGCTCTAAGCAAAACTATTACAAATGGGTGCAAGGTTTTGTTTTTGCGGTTAGCTCAAACTGTTACTGAACTCGTTAAGAAATTTATCAGTTTTCGGGTAACCAACAAGCTCGTTAACGGGTTCGGTTTTGAGGAAACAAACTAAATCGGGGTTTTTTCCATTTTAATTAGTTTCGATTCGTTTAGCCGAACCGAACCGAGTTGACGCCCCCCCTAGGTTTTGACGAAATGGTTAGGGCAACGAATAATGCATACCTTGGGGCCATGTGGGCCGCGGCGCCACATGGGAGTGTCGCAGCCACGACAAACCAGGCACTTCTTGCCCGGCGGGAAATGGTTCCCCTCCCTACGCCGGCGAGGCGTTGCACCACCACCAGCAGCGCCGCCGTTGCTGCCGCCTTCTCCCGCCGCCACCGCCACTTGCGGCGGCTGGTACTGATGATAGCCGCTCATCACATTCACGCCCGCCGAGGGTGGTGCCAGCTGTAGCACTGGAGCAGCACCGTAGTTGTCGCTATTATTACCAATGTATCCGTTAGGGTTGTACTGGTACATCTGTGGGGCCCTTTCTGCAGCAAACACGTGGCTGCCAACTGGATTAACCGGCCCACCTGCACCCTGCTGCTGCTGCTGCATCAACATGTTGAAGTTATCGGCCACCGCCGCAGGAGGAGAAGGAAGGTGGTGCATGCTGTGGCGGCGGTTAGGCGCTGCCCTCGCCGCCGGCGTCAGCCAATTACCCATCCCTGCGTTGTTGTCGATCACGTTGCTGCTGCCGTTGACGGCGGGGGAGTAGATGTAGCCTCCAGTACTGGTGTGGTAATGATAGCTAGGGTTGTTGTTGGTGTAGTTTGGCTGTTGATCGAAGAACCCAAAAGCCGAGGGAGCTGGATGACTGGGGCTTTGTTGGCTGCCGCCGCCTCCATAGTATTGCTGACTCATCCTCCTGCCCTACAATTTCAAAACAGTAATCGAGTTAGAATCATGGAAGCACACCATGCATGTCAAAACAATCCGTTGTAAAGTCAGAAATTTGAACGAGATGAGCTAAAAAAAAGTTGGTACTTGAGAGATTTGAACCATTGTGATTGAGAATCGGGAAAGGGGGGCAAGAGTCTTACTTACTTAGTCTAGTTTTCCTAATTCTAGCTGTTACAAATTTTACCTATGAATTTACCTACACTTGACAGTTGAGAGGGTTACAGCCCTTCCCATGGATACAATCTAGTGACACTAATTAGTGTACGACTCACTTCCCACTTGACATGCAGTGATCAACCCAGAAATTTGAATGAGGGCAGCTGACTTGAATTGTGGTAATTAACTAAGAAAGATGGGTTAAACCCTTACTGATTATTGTAATTCCTAAATCTGTACAAAATTTAGCTGCAATTGTGTCTATATTTCAAAGTTGAGGAGCCTACAACATCTTTTAGCTTCAACCCAGCTCCACCACTGACACTTTGAGTGGTGTGTTTGATGAGAATTTCTAGTCCAATGGAAAATGAAGAAAATATATGTACCTGTGGATGAGTGTTTGGAGAACTCTGTGGAGCATGGGCGTGGTTGGGGAAGCCCAACGACAGGTTCAGATCCAAGCTCCTCGATGTGGAATCTCCTGATGATGATGATGAAGAAGCAGAAGCAATTCCTTTTCCCTTTCCATCTCCATCATTGTTTTGATGTTGGGAAGCCATTGGAAACTTCAAAAGCTGGCTGAAGAAAGGGAAGTAGGAAGGAGAGGGGGAAAAGAAAGACAATGGCAAGAGAGTTATGGTCTTAATCAAGAAAGATTGTATCCAAGTGAGGATTACAAGCAGTGAGTTAAATCAGGGTTGATCGGCCTTCTCTTTATAGACAAGTGGTGGGAGAAAAAAAATGAGATTATCTAGAGCATGTTTAATTTGATTATACTTAATACTAAGTACATTTGTTTTGATTAAAATGTTGATAGGGTAATTAATATGTGCACAAGGGTGTCCAAGACGTGTAAAACATAAAGGAAGAGCAATAAAAGGTGAAATCAAAAGCTATGAACCATCAAATTATTAGAACCAAGTTCCATGTGACATGAAAATTTTTGGTTCCAATTTTACCTGCAGCCATAATAAATATTATCTAAAAATACATTAGATCTTTCTTTTTCAGATATACAAAGTATCGATCTGCAACGGGCAAATCATAGTTTCCAAATTTTGCGTTAAACAAAACTCGTGCTATTAATACGTACGCTACTGACCAGATGAAGATATAAGTCATGATCATTGATCAAAGATGAAAGACCAAACTAATAACAATCCTGCCTTCTTTTTTTCAATATGATTCTCACAAAACTACACTAATAATCCCTAAACCATTAGTGTCCATGGTAATTTGGTATAGAGAAGAAAAAGAAGAAGAAAAAAAAGGTGAAACAAACACACCCAGTTTGTTCTAATCCAAATCCTTCCTTGGATTCACTGATGAGCAGGGGGGGTTTCTAACGCAAAGGCATGCATGGAAGGTAGTGTGGGGGAAAAGGACAAAAATTGAAAACTGGATGACTGACACCACTACTGGATTTTACTACATAATGCCAAAGGAAAGGTAATGATGATCAAAAGGGTAGCATTTTGAACGTGAGTTAGCTAGGGTTTCTGTCTCGGTAATGCCGATCAGTTTTTTGGAGCTATTTCCATTCTGTTGAGTTCAATTTGTCAAAATTTACCGTTGTGGGATCCTATCCTTCCATATCAGCAGCTAGCCCTCAAACAAGGGTTTCAAAAAAGAAGAAAAAAAAAATGGATCGAACTGAGCTAGGGATCAAATGTTACATAACACAATCGAAGAAACTATGAATGAATGAAGCAATCTATCTCATCACATATAGCACAATCCACATTCAAAGATGTTACATTTCAATATCCGTGTAGACATATACTACGGAGCCATCATATGTTTGTCCTAGACACATATACAAGATTATGTAAAAAAAATTCCCGTATATCGCAGGGTTTTATTTCACGACAAGATGGATTCTTTGTCGCGATCTTTTATGGGATGTCGCGTCTAACTGTCAGAGACAAACTATACTATTATAGTGAATAAACGACAAAGTTTCGTGAAAACAAACAAACACCTGATCGCAAACTCGTTTCTTTGAAAGTAAATAAGTGTTTACTCGGTCCTAAAAGTGAATACCAATTTTTTATGAGCGAAGAACCGTACGTGTGTGGAAATGTTTATTCACACAACCAAAATAGTTACTCAAAGTCATAAATTGTTATTCTTTTTTTTTATGAATTGTTATTCACTTAAAGAAGGTTGTGAAGGTAATTCACCAAAAAAAAAAAAGGTTGTGAAGGTAAACATATTCACAAGAAAGACCATCACACATAACCCAACCAGAATCGTAAAACCCAAAAAAAATAAAGAGAGGATTTGCAGTTCTAAAAGGAACTCATGTAATTACAAACAAAAACAAGAAGAAAGAAAGAAAAGGAATCCCATAAAATTATTGTTTTTTTTTTTGGCAAATGATTTGAGAGAATCCTCCAATAATACATCGGTCGGCATTAAATATGAAAATTGCATGATGGAATTACATCATTGATATCATGTCACAAATTGTCTGTGGCATGATGTCGTAGATGATGGGCATTCAAATCAGGGACTTGCAATTTACCATACAAAAAGTTAAATTTTACAGAACATAAAATTGAAGAAGTTAACGGCTGATGGGCACCGAAAATTAGAGTTAGAGCAAGCCAATTCAAACATTTTTCAGTGTATTAATAAATCGATCATTTCATCTTGGGAAGCAAGATAAATTTTCTCTTTCACAATGAATTATTTTTTATAAATGTCTTCTCTTTGAATTATTTTTCATGCCAAAGACCAATATTTTCTCAAAAGAGAAATCATATCTCCAACTAGATACAATATCTAGATTTTACTGTTTCATAGTATGATTGAATAGAATTGACCAACACTGACTTGCCTTCACATGAATAAAAAGGAGAATTGATAACAAACATTGAAGAAGAAAATAAAAATCCAACAACGAATCAAGATGAATGAAATAACAGGGGAAGAGAAGTTATCACATACAGGTTGATAACTGAGTGGTCTTGCTGGTTTAGCTTGAGTGAGATCTCACTGGTATTGTTGGTGCGCTAGCTGAATCAAATGAAATGTTCACTCTTAATGGTGAAAATTTCAAAAAGATGTCTTATATTACTACATCAATAATTTCTTTTTGAGCAGCAAGATGAATTTTCTCTTGCAACAATTGATAAAATCATGATTTTCTTCTCTTTAATTGTTTTCCATAGCCAAATATCAAGATTTTCCCAAATGGGAAATCAAATCTGTGACTAGATATCAGATTTGGAGTTTATTCTTTTAAGGTATATATACCACTGAATTGACCAATATTGACTTGTGTTTGTGCGAAAAGACAATTGCAACTTTACAAGGAAAATTGAGAATAACGAACAAAGAAGAAGAATCGATAACAATCACACAAGTACACAGATATAAAACAAACAAGAGTTCAGATGAAACTAATAAAAGAATAGAGACTCACGTGTTGATAACCGAGGGAGGGTCCTACTAGTATAGCATGCACGAGATCTCTTGGTATTACTGTGTACGTGGTCTCCACTGCATGCATCGTCCGCTTTTAAGAACAGAGGCCAAGCATGCAAATATAGAAGATAAACTATTTTTTTTAATCTTAATTATTAAGTTTATGACGTAAGCATCAAAATGACAACCCAGAATATCGTTCCCCTAGTGCGATTCAGAATTGATGTGTTCAATTCCCCAATAACTTTCTATTAGTATTTTATTTTCCCGTTGTTTTTAGATATACTAAATAATACTTGGTATTTTGCTTGCGAAGAATATATATGTACACACTAACATGAGATAAAAAGATATCCATCCCAAAAGAATGGTAGAACAATAGTGACCAACTCGAAGGCAAAAGAACTTTCCTCTTCTCTCTAGCTACTTCCCAAACTCCCTGCCTTCTGTCTACATTTTCTTTTTGCCATATTTGTTCTGCTATATATATATATTGTTTTGGTCATTGATTTGGGTGTGGTTTCATAATAAGCAAGGAGATTTTTCACTTTGGTTTGCTTTCATTCTGTTAATTGCCTTTGGTTGGTCGTCTTGCCTTTTAATTAATTGTCCCAGATAGAGTTATAAATCATTGGGTTGCTCCTTCTCGATGAGTTCCTTTTCTGGCTTCCTCGATCGATCGAGTTGTTGGTGTTTGTGCTTGTACGTTGTCGCCCCCTCCAACCATTAGGCGCGCAGGTAAGGTTGCATGTGGTTTGTCTTTTGGAGGCGACTTCATCTTCTTTGGAGGTTGTGGTTGCGGTGGGATATGAAGAGACTGCTTTTGGGTTTCTGCCTTTGTCTTGTGTTAGGCTTGTTGTCTCAGCTTCTTGCCTTGCTATTTATAGGGTTGCCTTTATTATATATCTTCATTGTACTTGCCTTAATCTATAACCTTATCGTTGGTTTGTTAATTTAATGAACTAATATTTTTGTAAAAAAAAAAACTAGAAAGCAAAAAAAAAAAAGACACAAGACTCATATAAAAAACCATTCCCCCCTTAATATATTTAGAGGTCGTTTGGAAGTTGTGATTATTAGAGTTGTGCTTGTTGAATACATGTATTGTCCAAACAATATACAATGTTTGGAAGTGCTAAAATGTAAAACAATGCATACATTGTTTTAGGTAGGTCCCACCAACAATACATTGTTTTAGTTGAGATTGTTGTTCTTAGATTTTTGTCAACTTTTTCTTTTCATTTATATCCCTAATAGTTTTTGTCTTATACTAAAAGTTGAGGGTAAATATGGCATTTCCCCATAAAAATAACTTTATGTAAATCAATGCATAAAGTAGAATCTCAGCAACCAAACAATATATTGTTAAAATGCATCCATTGTATCAATACATACATTTATATTATGGTGATTCATTACAATACAACGATTTAACATTCACAACTTCCAAACAACTCCTTAGTTCACTTAGGAAAGATTCCATTCAACATTCTATTAACTAGTCAGCAAAAATCCGACCCAACTTGTTACTCGTGATAATGAGCATGGATAAAATAAAATATTTATAATAACCAAATGTGGAATTTTTATCAAATCCAGTGAGTCAGTGACCAAACTTACAATTTACCATTATAAAATCGTCATCTAGAAAACCGGTTTCGTCAAAAAGAGAGAACTAATGAAAAATAAAAATATAAGGATGAACATCTACGGATATTGATGGGCTACTCTTCCAGTTCCTCTCGTGGCTGCAATTCCCCATTTCGTCAATTTCGTTTTACACAGTCCCTTCCCCCCGCACTCTTCATTTGACGGGAACACTTTTTGTCTCCTGACAAAATCCATCTCCGCCATAGCCAAATCTTAAAGCTTTTTTCACATCTCTAGCACAAACGAAGGAACCCTAATTCTCACTCGCTTTCCCTTCAGGCGGTGCTGCTTCCAGCTTCTCACTTCTGGCAGCTCAATTCGCAGTCACTGCCATTTAGTTTCTCTAAAGTCTCGAACTTCCGAATGAAGCTTTGAGGCACTTGTTGCCTGTGGCGATGTCGGTGGAGAGATCATTCGAAGCGTGGGAGGAGGTTCAACGGCAAGGCCATGACCTTGCGGATAGGCTGGCACAGGGATTCACGGGTCTTATACAAACCCATATGACGAACCCACCTGCGATTCCATGGGCCAACACTCCCAAATCGAAGATCTTCGATCTGGAGTTCCCCGGCCACAGTTTTATTAGCAAGTCTATGGATTTGGGAGTCTTGGCGGATAACAGAAACACTGGGATAGCTGGGGTTTCTGCTATTCTGGATATTGGGAACAAGATTGGACAAGCTGGTGCTGAATTTGGAGCTGGCTTGAATGGATTGGTGGAGCAATTCTTCCGGAGGTTGCCTGTTCCATTCAAGCACAACGAGAGTATGGAGGTTGGGGTAAGGATAGAAAGCAGGAGAAGTGATGTCAATTTGAGCGTTGAAGGACAGTTGGACCTGGTGAATACAAAGTTGAAGGAGTTTGGGTTTGTGGAGAATGAAGGGAGATACATCAGTACAGCAGCTGGTGAAGCTGAGGGAGGAACATCTGATGGTGAATTGGGGACGTTTGATTTGAAGTCCATTGGTCTTATGGGTGGTAGTAAGCCTCAGGTAACTGAGCTGTGCTCTTTATGCTTCTGTCCCTTCAAAAAAGTGGCTGCCTTGATGAACCTCTAGTGTGCTGAACCATAATGATTTGGATAGATGTATGCTATTGCTTTACTACCGTTGTTTCCTTTATGAATCTTTCAAGTGTTTGTCCGAAGATTATGCCTACACGCAGTTGGATGGGAGGTCCTAGAAATCATTGTTCCTGTAATACAATTCCTTTCTAGCCATTATTCCTGTTATGTGGTTTCTTTCTAGACAGCTCCTGTATTTGTTAGGCTGTGCTTGTCCCTTGCTTTTATTTTGGGGAAAACGTGTTTATGATGTAACTGTCGAGAACCAGTTGCTCCAATAACTCGAGTTGTTGGGAGAAGGTTCTGCTGGATTTTATACCACATTCTAACACGCCCCCTCAAACGAAAGCCAACCCATGGGCTTGAAGTTTGCACAGGCCCACCATACCATGTGCTTGAAAGACAACGGTTAATATTGGGGGTCGTGGAGATTTGAACACATGACCTTTTGGTTCGAGGCTCTGATACCATGTCAAGAACCAGTTGCTCCCAATAACTCGAGTTGTTGGGAGAAGGTTCTGCTGGATTTTATACCACATTCTAACAGTAACATCGAAATGACATGCATTCCAGCAAAGTCTGGCCTCTGGAGTCCATTTGATTGAATGGAAGCTTCATTCTCATAACTGTATTGTATAGATAATAAGATTATAGTTTGATAGTCTGCTGCTTGGATTGTAGTTCTGTTATTACTTACTCGACTAAATAAAAATAATGCATTCTGAATATACACAAACTCTTTGGGTAGGGGAGAGGTAGTTTCTCCAATCAGTGTTCACAAGTGAGAGTTATCCAATTAGTAAGTGGTTTTAGTTGGGGCCTTCAGTGTATCAGACCTTCAAACTCATTAGGTGTTGCTGATTTGTTCTGAATCTCTAGTTTTCTGTCTATAACTTACCGAAACCACAGTAGGCTGGCAGTTTTAGCTTATTCGTTGAGTGCAGTGTATTTTGATGGAGGAGCTTATAGTTCTGCTAATAATTACCTTATGGCAGTTTTACTCTGCTGTCCTTGTGTCACAATATTGTTTATTTATAGTTTCATGCTTTATGCATATTCTATTTTATCACAATTTCTCTCTGTATCTAATACAGGGAACCTTGAATTTTACATCGACTTATGAGAGCAGAACTGGTAACGTGGAGAGCTCTATGGTTGCTAGGGGAGATCTATGGAGAATGGAGGCATCGCATGACAGTTCGACATCAGGAAATGAGAATTCGTCTCTCTTCCTAGTTCAGCTTGGCCCAGTACTTTTTGTTCGCGATAGTACACTTCTTTTACCTGTTCATCTATCAAAGCAACATTTGCTTTGGTATGGCTATGATAGGAAGGTATAAATATGTTTTTCACTCTGCAGAAACAACCAATCTCGATTCAACGTGCTACATATATCTGCAAATCCGATGGCCAAAGAATTTGTTGCCATGTACTGTTTTTTTTTTATCAATGTTCTCCTCCCCTGTTTATTCTGCTTTCTTCTTTTGGTAGGTAAATGGGGTCGTTATGTTTGAGTTTGGATGCTTTTGTTGTATGATGTATCCTGGCTTCTCTCTCTATTTATTGATGTGCCCTTTTCCTTGAGACCTGATGTGCCCCATTTTGAATATGATTTCCTAACCATAATTCCAGTAGCTATATTCATTGCGTTCATAAGATCTCTTCCTTTTGTCTCTTTCAGAATGGCATGCATTCTTTATGCCCGGCGGTGTGGTCCAAGCATAGAAGGTGGTTGCTGATGTCGATGCTCTGCCTCAAACCATTAGCTTGTGTAAGTATAAGTTGACTGGGTTTCCTGGTTCACTCTCACTACTTGTGAAGTGATTCAGGTGCTCTGGTTTCTTTCATCAATAAAGTTCATCATCATTATAAAAAAAAAGTATAAGTTGACTGCTTAGGCAGAAATATGTAAGACTTCGAATCATTTGTCTGTTAAATGTAATTGTTACTATTGGTTGAAATGAATCTCGGTTGGGTGTCAGGCAAGTTTCTCTTATATTATAGAATCTCATAGCAACTTAGAGAAAGGGACTGCCTCAGCATTATACAATGCGTCAGAGAAAGGGACAAGGAATGTGTGTAAATGTCATGAGTAATCTTTCTGACTTTCCATGATTTTCAAATATGAGCCACTTGGAGCAGTAGAAGTTAAGATTGAGAAAAGCTTTATGGTTTTTAGCATTCACAGCTATAAATCATGCCACACGTTTTGAATATATGAAAATCAATTTGAATCCAGTATCTTACGTCTTCAAGAAGCATGTCCCTGCGCTGGTTTCCTGATAGTTCTCTTGTCTACTTTGTTGTCCGTGTGCAGTCGTTTGTCGATTTGCAATTTCCGAATGGGCAGTTAACTTACATATCCGGGGAAGGTCTAACAACAAGTGCTTTTCTACCGGCCTTTGGGGGGCTTCTGCAAGCTCAGGGTCAATATCCTGGTGAAATGAGATTCAGCTTCTCTCACAAGGTAGTTGTTCATGCTAGCTGACTGGTCCTGGACCATGTCATGATGCTTAAAAGGATATTGTGGTTTTCATCTGGGATTGGAATATGAAATGTTGATGTCATCAACTAATTAGTTGTTCTCATCTTACCAGAACAAGTGGGGAACCCGTATAACCCCGGCGATACAGTGGCCTGACAAGTCATTTTCATTGGGGTTTTCACAAAACTTAGCATGGCAGAGATCTGGTCTTATGATGAAACCAACAGTTCAGTTCAGGTTTGCACTCATTCCCATTCACTTCGTTAAATCTCACTAGAAAGGATCACTGTAATTTCATCAGTAATGTAAACTTAAATGATTCTCCTCAGTTTGTGCCCTTCATTTGGTGGAAGCAATCCTGGGTTGAGAGCTGAACTTCAGCATTCACTGAATGAGCAGCTGAATCTGATATGTGGTTGTGCGTTCATCCAGCAGCCTTCTGTATTTGCGTCAGTCTCCGTAAGTGCTCAACTTTTCCTAGTGATCCCAAAGTTGAGTGGCTGGTTATGTCACTGGCACGTTTAGTGAAAGTTGAAAAAGGTTATTGAAACCCGTGCATGCCTGTAATTTGTCTTTTGGATTTTGTTTACAGGTTGGCAGGTCTAAGTGGAATGGTAACGTTGGGAGTTCAGGGATCGTTTTGAAACTGGAGAGCCCTCTGTCAGGCGTTAGTCGCCCGGCCTTCTCTGTGCAGATAAACAGTGCTGTCGAGTTTTGAAGGTCATTCATCAGTGTAAACCTGCAGTTTCTTCAAAGTGTAAATATTGGTGTAGAACTTACTGCCCACAAAGATGTGAATACAGACGAACAGACTTTTATCTTGAATCCAAATAACCCATCCTACAGCTTAAATGGTCGCTAGATTTTGATACTAGTAGCAAAATGATCACTCTTAACTTCGAAAACTGACGAACTAGTCGCTAAATTTCATTTTCTTTTTAGCGAATTGTTCACTTGCCTAACTCCGTTTTAGTTCTCGTGATTCAAACTGCTAACAATGCTGGCATATTGCTAAGCAGCTGACCTGGTATGCACATTACTAATATGACAACAATCAACATGCGATGGATGTCTCTGGGAACCTGATGAACGATGCGTACGAGAATTACTCCCAGATGAACGATTCATAAGAGAATTACACAACAATATGGGAAGAACTGTTTGGGACGGTGTTTGCTTACAACAGGTTTAAGGTAGCCTAGAACATGGCCGCTGGTACTGTCAATCCATCATTCCCCATTCTTACTGTTATCCATTGAGAGGATAGTAATACACTTCATAATCTGCAGAAAACTCGAAGATGAACCCTATGAACCAAATCAACTTTCTTCATATACAATTAGCAGCTTACACCAAATTTGATAAGCCAAAAAGATAAGTAACTTAAACTCTTCTCCACAAATATATGTATAGTTGAGACAAAACTTATAATTAATTTGAACTTGAACTTCTGCATTCCTCCTAAAGAAGCCTGGCGGAAGAGGTTGGTTGAGAGAGATGGCTAGCATCATCATCATTATCATGGTCATCATTGCTCAAGGCCGAAGATGTTGAATTCATTGTCCACGGTCCATCAACCATGGATATGCTCTTCTGACCTGGATCGCTGCTCTCCCACGACGCATTTGTGATGTTGGTATGGCTATCCTGTGACAATGTCTGGAACGCTCTGAACCTCGCGTCTGCGCTGCTGGCGTCGCTCTCACCTCGCTTAATGATTGGAGCTTGCACCGGAGCTTTCCCTTCCATCATTTTCACGACGGAGGACGTGGGCGGCCTTAGTGTGGGTGATGGGTTGGTGCACAACAGAGCAATGTTCAGCAGCTTCCTTGCTTCCTCTTTTGAGTAGCTTTTGCCTAGTTCTGGATCAACTAGCTCCAGCAGGTTGCCTTGCTCTTGCAGCACATAAGCCTGCATTTTGGTAATGGATGTGCTTTCGTTTTATATGTGATGAATATTATATTACTAACAGGTTTAAGTTATGGTATGGATAACCTACCCAATCAAGAAGGTACACAAATTCTTCTTTTGGCCTATAGTTGGTATTGCTCGTTCCACTCATGGTCTCTAGAATGACAATACCAAAGCTGTAAACGTCTGCCTTGTCCGTCAAGTAACCCCTCATAGCATACTCAGGAGCCATATAGCCTCTGCAGGATGGACAAAAAGAACAATGAACGAACAAGAACTGCAGGAATCTGGAAAACATGGCAATGGTACTTCTTTTGACAGAGGGTGGTGGACTAAAACTTACATGGTTCCAGCAATTCTTGTGCTAATGTGGGTGTTCTCTTCTTCATCAAGCTTGGCCAACCCGAAATCCGAAATCTTGGCATTGAGGTCTTTATCGAGCAGGACGTTGGTTGCTTTTATATCCCTATGCACAATTTTTAGCCTCGACTCTTCATGAAGATAAGCCAACCCCTTTGCAATCCCCAGCAGTATCTTCTTCCTTGTTTGCCAGTCCAGCTTCAGCTTGTTTTCGTGCTTACCAAACAATGCACGTGCCAGACTATTGTTCTCCAAGTACTCATACACAAGCAAGAGCTGGTTTCCTTCTATGCAACATCCATAAAGCTTGACAAGATTTGGATGTTGCAATGCAGATATCATCCCAATCTCGTTCACAAATTCGCGGTTTCCTTGTTTCGATTTGGATGAGAGCTGCTTCACTGCAATCACACCTCCATCTGAGAGCATACCCTGCAAACATAGCAGTGAAAGGATCTGAATGTTTGACCATAGCATTATTCGTTTTCTTGGGATACAAGCAAACCATTTAAAAGAAAATTAGCTTCACCTTGTAGACTGGGCCAAACCCTCCTTCTCCAATCTTATTAGTAGGATCAAAGTTATTAGTGGCATATTTGATCTGACGTAAGGTGAACATGCCAGTTTGAAGATCAAGCCCGCGTAGTTCTGTGGAACACAAGGAAACTGCATCTCAGAACAAAAATGTAATGCTCTGATGTTTTTTTCATGAGAATGTGGATGTGTAACTGTACCACTATTTCCATCGTCTTTTCTTCTTCTTCTCATGAATATGAAAATACAAATGAAGAGAACAACCAAAAATGAAGAAACTACAATCCCGGCTATGGCTCCTCCAGATAATCCTCCACCTCCTTCATCGACAGGGAAGTCTGCAGATCATGCACAGGGCAAAGCAAGCAATGTTTCTTAAATGCAAGCTGAAAAAGATGTCTAAATTACTGTCTTCTTCATTACTAAGAATCACATTGCACTTACTTGGAGTTATCGATATGCCAGAAATGAGAGGTCCATAGACACCTCTATCAGGAATAGCTGTAGTGCCTTTTCCAGACCAGTAAAGGTGTATCTCCAAAGTGTTACCGTCCACAGTTACATTGTCGAAAACCTCAGTGACGTCAAGACCAACTCCTCCAGCTTCTTTCATGATATCAAAGTCCGGTCGAACTACCTTTCCCTATAAGAAAGGAATAGACTAAACTCGTCAAAGGTTGGACATACAGAGGTACTTACATGAAAGCATATCTGATCAAATCTCCTCACCTGAATTGAGATATCAAATATGCGGCTTCCAAGGCTGCTAAATGTCTGATCATTGGAGTACATAATCTCAGCAAAATGAAGCTTCACGGTGTAACTTCCTTTAATCATGCACAAGCCATAGTACTTGAGTGATTGAGGAGCTAAGCGTGCAGTTGAATAAACACCAGTCACATTGTGGCCAAAAGTGTTCCTTGCTAAATAATCAGCATCAACTTTGCCTAAGAAGATTCCAGTACTACTATAACCCCATCTTTCTGATACTGAGAAAAAGTTAGATCGGCCATTGGATGTCAGGTCTTCCTCATAATCCTCATCCTCAAACCTTTCCCTGGGACCCCCACAGTTGATAAAGAAGGTATGTTCTGCACAAGAATAAATCAACTATCAACTTGCTGCTATAACTTTCCCAAGTAGACAAGGAATTTCAGAGGTGTGCTTACCCTTGGGATTCCTAGGACAAGGCAGGTCCTTTCTTAAGCACCAAGGGACCCTGCCAATCAAAATGTTAAGGAAATATAAATCTAACAGTTCCTGAAAGAGGGCAACAGGAGCTTTTTTTAAGAAAGCAAGTAGCTTACGAGTTGCTCACAGAAGATGAATAACTGGAAACCAAGTTCCTGTAACATACCAGACACATAATGTAAGCAGTTAGCTTAACTCCTTTCTTGCCGTGAAATGAGGAGAGTATCATTGAGGAAACCAAATGAATTCTTACACGTCTAGTTGCTGACAACTAGGCTGAGCTCTCCCCGTAAAATTGTTGTAAGACAAGTCACTGGAGAGAAAATTGCAACATCTTAATTAGGGGTTTAAAAAGAGGAATAGCTGCATGTTATCCTTAAATTTGGATTTCAAAGTTGTAAATAACAAGAACAAAAGACTTACAAGCTATCCTTACTGTTCAATACCCAACCAGGTACTTCTCCCGACAATGAATTGTTATTCAGAAACCTGCAAGGTTGTTAAACAAAACATAACTCGATGAACATGGCAGTAAAGATTTGGAAAGAAATGTTATTATTAAATTTGGGTACATCTTACTCACATGTATTCCAGACTTTTCGGACTTTGGAGGGTGGCTGGTATGGTGCCTGTCAAACTGTTGAAGCTCAAATCCCTGCCAAAACAGTTGAACATAAAGACTCATAATTATTCGTATGGAATAGAATAGAAAGACAATATCAAGACTTAATCTTTATTAGCTTCTGACATCACTTCTAAATCTAAAAGTTATCAGGAAACTGCCGAAATGAAGCAATGCCTCTGGTGAAAGCTGCTCTCTGGTGACTTACAAAGTTTTCAACTTTGTTATTTCTCCAAAGTTATCTGGGATTGGACCAGTGATCAAGCAGTTCCTCATTACCCTACGAGAGAAACAAAATGTCATGATTTGACACAATTCACCAAGGGAAGGGCACGGTTTGAGCTTCAGATTTGGTAGGGATTTAACAGAACAACTCACAGTTCTTTCAGCTTTGACAGGTTCTTAATATCAGGGAAAACTGAACTTGGTCCACTTAAATCAGATATTCTCCTGTTAAACGTGATTGATCTCAGGCACTATAGCAAGAATAAGATGTACACGCAAAACAGTTAAGGAAGTGCAAGAAGTTACTCACAGCTGTGTCAGATTTGTCAGCATGGATACAGCAGTAGGAATAGGACCCTGCATTGACGTGCCTTGCAAGTCACTGAACAAAAATAAGGTATCATTTTTGCCACAACAAGAGGTGTAACTAAGCAAGTGGAGGAAGAAAGGAAGAAACTTGTGCTGTTTGGGGTATAAATTCTTACAGTCGATCAAGATTGGACCAGTTGCCTATAAATTCTGGCAGCTTTCCAGAAAGACTGCTCCCATCTATCCTACTGAGATTCAGCATAAATTTCTATAGTGAGCATATGGTGAGAATGAAATCAGGTTTCAAGTGAAAAGGGAAGAAGATCAAACTTACAAGTCTTCTATGTTCAGTAAATTTCCCAAGCTATCTGGTAATGAGCCCGTGAAATTGTTTGCAGAAAGAAGGCTGCAGCAAACAAGAAGCCAAAAAAACAAACAAACAATCATTGACATCAATTCTGCATTGATAGTACAGACTTAAGTAATAGGTTGCTGCAAAGTTAAAGACGCAGAGGCTTTACAGTCGCTTCAAATTTTTCAAATTCCCAAGGCTTCTAGGAAGTGGTCCACCTAATAGATTATCTTCCAACACCCTGAAAATGCAAACTCTGTATGAGAATCAACGGTTGAAACTGTGACTAGTGATTGTCATAAAGCTCCATAAGTAGTTGCAATGAACGTACAGATGCTCCAAAGTAGCAATATTCCCAATTTGTGAGGGGATAGGGCCACTTATTCGGTTCCCCAAAAGAGACCTGCCAAAAAGTCCACAGAAGAGCCAATCAAACAACTTATGGGAAGAAAGTTGTATGGTGAATAATTTCTGTAACGAACTGGGATCCTCGTCATTTACTTACAGAATCGTTAAGTTGCGAAGCTGTGCAAGACTTGGAGGGATGGTTCCATTGATGTAATTGCGAGTAAAGTCTCTGGTGAAAACAAAAACAAACTGGATCTTTACATGGTATCAAAACTTTTAAAAACCGAAAAGCCATGCATCGAAATCATGATAATTAACCCCGTTTAACTTAAATACAAGATATTGGGTGGCCAGTACAAACTTCAAAGGTGCCCGATTGAGCTTTCGTTTCGAGGAAGCAGGCATGTCGCAGAAGGAACATAAAGATCTATTCTTGAAACTCTTAAGTTATTCCAGCAACGACCTCTAACATTAATGTCCAGCAACATGAACCATCCCATTTCAAAAGTGATGTCAACATGCAACCCAAATTATTAAGACGAACAGTTTGTTTTAACATAATACTCGAATGAAAAAGGACAATGAGAGACTTTCCATTCACTTACAGCTCAGTAAGACGAGTAAGGTTCCCAAGTTCAGGTGGTAGAACTCCGGTTACATTAAAGCCTTTCACCGCCCTGTGGAGAAAGATGATGATCGCCAAAATCAATGCACCGTTACGTTTCCTTCAGCGGCCAAACTGAGCAAGAAGAAATGGAAGAGATAATGAAGCAAGAATGCTTACACGTTGGTGACGTGACAAATGGTCCCTCTAGCAAAAGAACAGTCGCATGTAACATTGCATTCGATGTCGTCGCTGAGGCTGCGGTTCCACTGTGGGCTGCCACAAGAATTCCTCCTCACATTCCATCCGGTGTTCTGCAGCTTCCCAAGTGCTTCAACTGAATCGTGTATAGTAATTCCATCCACATGAAAACAGATGAGCTTAGATTAACAACACAAACTACTTACTGTACAACATAACCACACAAGTGTACTTGGAGCTCCTGTATTTCCCAAAATACGACATTATTCATTACGAAAATCTCAAACCTTTTTAAGTTTTTCAAATAATTTTGTTCTCCAACTACATATTAATGTTGTCGATTCGGTAATGTATAATCAATTGTATAGTGATTAGCGAATGAGCTCGAGTCAACTACATATGATCAAAACACTTCAAGCATGTGTTTAAATGAAAAGAGTATCTATATTTTGACCATTCATAATTCATAAGACAAGTTAGCACATGTGTTGCTCCTCCATAGACCATAATTAAATTACTTTTTCGAAATGACAAGGAATTATAACCGTACCAGACTTATATGAACATGCTATTAGCAAATAATTGATTGAAAAAGGGGAAACAAGGCAAAAGTATGATGGCCCTATGCTATGGCTCTGCCAGAGGAAAGAAGAAGAAGAAGGAAAAAAAAAACTGATCGTAATTAATTCCTGGTTTGACTGGTTGGTAGGGACCGGTTCATTCCCCAAACTCCTAACCACTCCCAATAATGAACTGTGGAGGCGAATAGAATACTAATACCACCTTGATAAGAGTAAGACACACTAAGGAGATGTGATCTGGCCATTGGTTTTGGATTGGACCCGATATTGTTTGCTTCCCGAGCCGGGTTGCGGGTCAACGAGCCAGCCAGCCAGCCAGCATTCAGTGAAAAAACCGTGTGCTCAGATTTTCTCTTATTACTTTCCTAACTACTCTCTCGTTCATGCATGCAAAGTTGAAAAGTCAAAGGGGAGTTTTGTTGAACCAGCCCCAAAAAAGTTCATTAACGTTCGCTATTCATTGTGGAAAATTATCGAAAGAGCTAAGGAGTAAGGACAAAACGATCCTTATCCCTAAACTCCCTGTAGATTTCCTCTTTTCTTCCATAACTGTGGAAACTACATTACACTACTAAACTAAACTTGGGAGGGAATCAAAGTCACCACAGCATTCATCGAACTTAGACAGGCCGATTTTGGTATTATGACACTATAAAGATTATTATTATTATTATAATGACTTGATTCGTACAATCTTCTAATGTGAGACTGGATATGACAAAGTTTAGTCTAACTATGAATAATATCTTCATCCTAATTCGCCTCATTATTTTGATTCTTTTATAAAATACAATTTCTAATTTAAGCAAGCTTCCATTTTTTTCAAATAATTTTTCCTGCCCTTCTTCTTATTTGAAAATTACTCACCCCTTATTTTCTTTATTTATGTAAAGATCTCCATATAACACATATTTCCTTTTTTATTTATGCAGTATATCCACACGAGTAATACCCGAACTAATTATCACTAACTAACACCGATAGCTACTGAAACATTCTCTCCAGGATCTCAAGTGAATTACTTCACCACCCAAGACATTATTATTGTATTGTTGATTATTATCATTATTTTACAGCTGAGCTGAGCACCCAGAAAACACTACAAAAATAAATAAATAAAAAATAAAGGCGACACCACACCACCCTACCGTTCTGGACTTCTGGTTCTGCTAACAGACAAGAAAGACTGGTTTCGAGAAAACGACTGTCATTTCAGATTTTTCTATTAATTAATTCTAGTTCATTAAACGTTTTTGCAGTTTTGCATTTTCCAATCCCAGATCCCTCTCCCTATCCATCCGAACTCTGTAATTCCAGGGATTTTGTTTTTGAACTGCCAAACCAGATCAATCTTGCTTCCCCCAGGAAATCACGAATTGCCGCAAACACACATTATGCATTTTGGACGAGACGAGTAAACTACCAAGCAATTACAAGACGGGAAGGAACTAACCACCACCCGAGAAACAGGAATTCCAATGAAAGCGAGTGAAGGAGAGTTGCGTACCTTCTTCTTGTGGAAGGAGGGGTGAGGAAACTTGAGCAAGAGAACGCAACTCAAAGCATATGGACAGGCAACTCAGCGCGAACAGAACGGCCGTCGCCGTCGGAAATGGCATCGTATCTCAATCCACCGTCGGCTTTACAACACAAGTAGCGAGATCTGTAGTAAACGGAGGATATGACGAGAAGAGGAGTTAAAGATAACAGTTGGGGGAAATGGAAGGAGTAAGAGAGAGGGCGTCGGGCGTACTACTTGCTGCTGATACCAAGCAGAGACGAGAAATTAATTATAGGAGAAGGAGACGGAGTCAGAGAGGGATGGGGCAGAAGCAGAAACAGAGTGCTCTGTTTTTTTGCACAGAGAGGGGCGGGGCAGGGATGAAATTGCAATGTGGTTTCCTTTTTCTTCTTCCTTCTTTAATCTGTAAGGCTTTAGCATTGAAAAGGAGGCGACTGATTTGGCGACTGTACTGGAAAAAGTTTTTCCCTTTCGCCCACCCACGTTGCGATACGAACATTGAAATGTAACAAATTTCATAGAAAAAGATAGTAACAAAATATATACTTTTATTCCGCTTGTCCAAACTTTGTTGAGAAAACGCAGAAACTATATTGAAACCGTTGTCGTATTACTGTGGTATTGTTCGTCTTTGCATATGAAATACAATGGTGAGTATCTGTCTTTTTTAGTGGATTTCTCGATTCTTTTACTTGATGTTTCTCCTAATGAGGGGGAAATTATTTTCAATTTGTAACTCATGTTATCCCGACATGTAATTAATAATTTGGGTCATGGAGCGGGGTCCAATAACATAAACATAATTGGTCCGAGTCGTAGAGTTGATTACTCAAATAAAAAAGTAGAGAGCATATTACAATTTAATATGTTGGCTATTGATATTATTTATCTCAACCCTACAAATTAAACCAAATTAACAGAATCAAATGAGTTGCCCATTTTGTGGCAAAACAAACCTTTTCGTCGAAAGTTCGACGATTAGTCGACTTCCGCACGGCGTTATCTTCTGTATTCTGACTTTGTGAATTCTGGTTCCATTTTTTACTATGTTAAAAAAAAAAAAAAGTTTGCTACTTGCTAGATCTCGTTGGGGCCGTTAAGTACCCAGAGTGATTCACTATCCACAACATGGGCTACACGATCTCGAGCCCAATGTGGTCCGCCAGTCGCCAGATGCGCTTTATTACCTGCTAGGAAACTATCCGCCTCATCAGTGGGCTGGGCCTGCGAGACAAGGAGATTGAGGTCTAGGATGGGTTCGGCAGGGGAGGCCCGTTATCTATTACAAACTTAGTTTAATATTAATTTGGTACATGAGAACAGTGGCACACACTCACACTTGAAGTCCTAGATACGAATATTACGATTGCCTGAACGTGTGTGTGTGACCCTTTTTTGTTATTATGGGTTTTTGAAGGGCAAACTTCTGACATATCAAACTGACACTAAACTTTTCTCGTTGAGCTAAAACCATATGATAATATCATATTCCCCCCACAGAATATTGAACCCAGATCTAACCTTCTGCACCCTTCCCCATCACTTTTGACCATCAAAAGATTCTGGTCAATGATCTGCCTCAACCAAGCAAGAAAATCAATGCCCTTTTCTTATACTCAGCGAGGGTTAAAAACCAATCAAATAATCAAAGGTCCAAAATCGAGGTAATTTCGTCATCCAAAAATAACGAACATCTTCGAAAAATTGTTAATAATACATAGAATGTAGAACTATAATTGTATGAATGAGGAGTTTTAACTATAATTTTGTTCAAACTGTAATTCCATTAACTATTCGTATGAGATGTAGACATACTTGTCGAACCAATCTGAAGTTTCATCCTTGTTCATGTTCCATTTCTTCTTTGATTTACAAAAGCTTAACATGATTAGGGACAAACAAAATGAATGGTATACAAAACAAAAAAAAAGTAAAATGGTGCATTCAATGATACACAAACAAACAAAACTGCAAAAGTGAAAGCCATAGATAAAAAGGGGGGAAAAGAACAGAGGATGTCATGTAAAGAAAGCGAAACTAAAAATGGAGGAACTCTTCTAGTCTTCTTCACCACTGTCACTAGAATCGACATCGGTGGCTTTCTCTGAAGACTGTGCGAAGAGAAAGAGATAAAAAAGGATAGGGGAAAAGGTCTAGAGAGAGAGAGAGAGGGAGAGGGAAGCTTGCCTTAACTTACGTTTGCCGCTTGCTTAAGAGAGAGAGAGAGAGGATGGTGGGCTCAGGAGGAGGAGATAGGAGCAGCAAAGAAGCGGTTGGGATGATGGCACTTCATGAGGCCCTCAGGGCCGTCTGTCTCAACTCAGACTGGATTTACTCTGTTTTCTGGACTATTCGTCCTCGCCCGTACTCACCTCTCTCCCTCTCTCTCTTCCATAATTTCTTCCACTCTTTACTACCTGTCTCTCTGCTTTTTCCGATTTGAGCTGTTTCCTTAAAATGAGTAACACAAAGCAAACCTAAAAACCCACCCTTTCCCTTTCTCTTTGTGGCAGGAGAGTCAGGGGAGGCAATGGTTGCAAGGTTGGGGACGACAATGGAAGCTTGTAAGTTCCCCTGCCCTGCAAAACTCATACACACGAAGCTCTGTTTCTTTTTCATTCTTCCTCTTATGGGTTTCCATTTTCCTGTTTTCCCTGCACACTCTTTGAACTCTGTCAGAGAAAACAGAGAGGCAAACCTCTGTTTGTTCTAAGTGAGTCTAACTCTAAACAGAGGAAAACTGTGGTGGGAAGGGGATATCGGAAAGGGACAAACTTGAGGGGAATTTTTCTGTTGTTTCATACCTCACATATCAATTGGGTGAACCGCGCCGTGATCGTTAGTATATGGATTAATCCCTACAACCAATTAGTACGATATGAAATCACAAACACGATCATTGATTACCATAGTATTATTTGGTGAAAGGAGTTTACTTTGTACAATTAGTTGTTTGTGGCCACCATTGACAGCTTCAGGTTTAGCATGATTAGTGTTAGTGATTGAGAAACCAGAAAGTTTTTAAATTTGAAGGATGTTGATGTGGGAAGACGGATATTGCCGAGGAAGAGCTGGAAGAGATGGATTCGACGACAACATCGATCATGGGGAAGAAGATCCTGTACGCAAAGCATTCAGCAAAATGTCTATTCAGCTATATAATTATGGAGAAGGGTGGGTATTCCGTAGGTGGCTTTTCTCTCTTTTCTGTTCCAGTCTCTATGTTGTGATTGATTGTTTTTCATGAACAGGTTAATGGGGAAGGTTGCATCAGATAAGTGCCACAAATGGGTGTTCAAGGACCCATCTGAATCTGAACCAAATGCGGCCAACTACTGGCAGAGCTCTTTTGATGCTGTATGTAATACCAATTGATTGACTGTATCATAGATGTGGGGATTTCTTTGCCTGAAAGTTTCCATAGTTATTTGGATCATATTTGTGAACTGTAATGGGGATCAAGTTGGTGAGACTACCGATCCAAGGTATAGTAACAAAATCATGTATGAGTCGCGATTAAAATCATAATAAGATCGTACCAACTTAACAGATACATCTCTATAATTCCATGGCTGATAGTCTGATACTGGACTGAGATGGGTGTGTTGTGTTTTTTTTTTTTTTTTTTTTTTTGCAGCTTCCCCCTGAATGGACTGATCAATTTGACTCTGGGATTCAGGTCATTCTCAAACACACTTCTTCTTCATGACACACATAAGTGGTGTTTGTAAACTTCAAATCTAACGTCTTTTTGTGACAGACCATTGCTGTGATTCAAGCGGGTCATGGCCTACTCCAGTTGGGTTCCTGCAAGATTGTGAGTACTCTTTTATCCATCTTTCTGAATGTTCTGAAGTGCCGTAAAATTTGTGGGCACATTTCATGACTGGAAGCTTGTTTCTGGTGGGGTTATCAGATAGCTGAAGACCTGCATTTTGTGCTGAGAATGAGGCATACATTTGAGTCACTAGGCTACCAATCTGGCTTCTACATCTCCCAGCTCTTCTCCTCCACCACCACCAATAGAAACAACATTTCATCATCACCCTCAATCCCTTCCAAGCAGTCTCTAATGATGCCCACCCGGCCTCCACCGATTTTCAACTGGGGCCATGGCCAAAGGCCACTCCCACCATCTGCAGCAGCTTCCATGCTCAGCTCCCCCAATTTCCAGCACCCAGAGAGATCGATGGGGTTCCCACCACAGGGGAAAGAAGAGCCACCGCCACCACATATGTTCCTGCTCCCCCATCCTTCGGTGGCGTCCGAGCCTAATAGAATGGAGGAGATGATGATGGGGCCAGGGGAGCATGAGAGCGACATCAAATGGCCTAATGGCTTGTCTTTCTTCAGTGCTCTAACTGGAAGAACCGACGTGGATGCCAAGCTCTTGTCAGGAAACAATTCTGAAGCTTCGGAAATGCATGATTGTAATCCATTTTCCTCCTCTGGCTCTCGGCCGGATGGCTGTGCAACAAGCTCAAGAAGCTACTTGGAATGATTAAGGAGAGTGTCTGACTGAGTGAGTGACAGAGAGAGGGAGAGAGATTATGATGATAGGTACCACCTTTTTAAGAGTGGAGTTTCTCTGTTGTTGAGCTTTTGTTTCCAGGTTCAGTTTCAACTATTAGACGTACTGTAGTAGTAGTACCGTCCTTTTGTTAGTTTCTTATATCATGTAGCTGATGTTTCCATTCCAATTTGAAATCCTGAGCTTAGGGGTTAATACTATCAGAATGTGTGAATTTTGCTCAAATATCATTTGTGTCGTCAAATTTCTGAAATGACAGAGATTTAATAGTCGATCGAAATCTGGTTAAACTCTTTTGTTGAAGTTTTAGTATCATGCCACGGCTATAATGATCAGTGAACTCATTTTACTTCAAAAACTACTTCTAGACCCTGGTGTCTCATCTGCTAAGCACCATGCTCCTCTACTAAGACGATTAAGCTGATCTCCATTTAGCGGAAAATCTCATCATTTATGAATACGCTAAACACAACAAAACACCACTTCGTATGTGAGGATGTTCAAAACCAGAAATTCAATCATACACGATCATCACCACTCAGAACCAAATTGCTGACTTTTTCACCAAGTATCTTGAAACTAATCGTTTTAGTTACTTCATTCTAAAGCAACCACTGGCAAACTTCCCACATCAACTTGAGGGGTAAAGAAAAATCAAAAGCAAATTGTATTTGTTTCCCCTTTGTTTTACAATCAGATCACAACACAAAAGCCAAAAACCTTCTCAATCAGAGGTAACTCTGTTTACAAGTTCTCCCAACTGAAAGAAACCGCCACCACCACAGCGACATTAAAACAAGTAAACAACAAATTTCTTCAACTACGTGACGGTGAAGGTTCCAGAGCATGGCATTCCCTACACGCCACTAACAACCACCGCAGAAGTCTCCGGCAGAACCCATCACCACCGCCACCACTGCTGCCAGCCGGCTGCTTCTTCTTCCTCGCCGGCGGGGATTTCCCTCCTTTCCCAACAACCCTACCGCTGCGGCTCCTCAACGGTGGCACAAGATGCTGCCACCTCTGGGACGAATCGCCGTAGAGCTGGGCCATCACCACTTTGCTCGCCACCGGAGTACTTGTAGTAGCAGTAGTACTCTGTTTCCGGCCGGCAAGTTTCGAAGATGACACCAGTCTCCTGTTGTGATCCGATGATGACGACGACGATGACGTGGATAATGATGACCTGGCGGTAGTGACACTGCTGCTGCTGCTCACACTGTTGCTTCTGGAGGACAAGAGGGAGAGATCAGATGGCGGGGAGAGAAAAAATTCCTTCTTGTTATTGTGGACAAGCATTGGTAGTGGGAAGGAATGAGGGAGGAGGCGGCCGTTGGAGAAGAGGTGATCGGCCGGTGAGGAGGATTGATCGGTGCTCTGCCCGGTGGGTGAGTCTGGCGGGAAGCGGCCGAACTCGAACTCGTCGGAATCTGGGTGAGGCTTGGTGGTTTCCTTTGGAGGAGTCATGATCTCTGCTCTCTCTCCTTACAGAGGTACTCTGCTGCTGCTTTTTTAGGGTGGCAGCTGCCTGCTTCCACCATTTATATACACATCGAGGGAGCGTAGGCGTACGTGTAGTTTATGAGTCAGGGTGTGTAATGTGTATGGTTCCGTGTGGGTTGCTATGATTGGAAGCAAGGTTTAGGAAACTTTATTGTATAATAATGGGGAGCTCCGGCGGGAAATACTGGATACCGCGAATCAAAATGATAGGTGATTTGAGCGATACAAAATTGTTGAACCACGAATAAATCACAGTTTTGGCATAAAATACTTTACTGTTGATTTTTCCGATACAACATTCGATACAATTTTACAATCATTGATTTGAATACAGATTATCTATCGTGGACGGGAAGTTACGAGGATGTATATATGTAAGTCACCTTGATGAAAATTCACATCAATAAACGTGAGCACGATGGATTGAATATAATTAGAGGGCCACTCAAAATTCAACGGGATGGGATTAGGTGCTAACCCTTATAGGGGTTAGCACCGTGATAACTAGCAAAAAACACTACTAAAAATAACGAAATCACTACGGATTATTATAAAATCAATACAACATCTAAGCTAAATCACTACTAATTCAAACTAGTAGTAGTTTTTCCCTTGGTTATGACGGTGCTAACTATTGTACAATTAGCACCGTAACCGCTCCCAAATTCAACATATGATCATGTATTCATGATCGAAGTTAATTTAACTTAGAATGCGGCGTTGTAGGATCGAAACTTGGGTATCAATCATGTCTCATTTTGAAGGCTATGTAGGGAATAACTGGTGGAGGAAATTAAATGATGACACCAACACTTGGATCAACTTATATATCCTTATATAATCAATCCTCTTTGTAAAAGAAAATAGGGTTTTGTTTTAGATCAAATTGGCACTTGGGCTCTTGCTTGAGCAAGTAGTCCACATGCTCTTGTTGCAAGGAGGATCAGTGGACGACACAGCCCCCGAAATATACTCGTCTTCTCTGTATAGAAAAGGCTTAAAATGGCCTCTAGGAGAGGCTTTAGACGAGAGACCAGAGGGGCAGGCAGGGCCAGGGAGGGACAGGATGGACCAATCAACAAAGTGATAAACCTTAATTAATTAGGGTTTGTCATGATGATGCCATGGACCAAATCTTTAACATGTTCTTTGTACATTTGCTTTTGTTTTTGTTTTGCAACCACAGGTAAGAAAATGATAAGTTTTTTTTTTAATGTGATTTATGTTTAATAATATTAGTTATATGTTATAATAAATTGAGTTTATAGCATCTATTTAAGTAACTTTACATTAGTAGAATTATCGGGGGGAAACTTTACAGGATAATCACAAGTTATGTCACATGTTCATAGGATAAACAGAGAATTGAGTGGCTCAGATCCACCTTCTCATGATCTGTACTGGCTAGTATTGTTGCTTTAGATACTATGTTGATAATCAACTCATTCTAATAATTTGAGTTGTTGGGAAATACCCAAAACAGTGTCTTTTGTCAATCCCTAATAAGTTATAAGCCCCTCAAAATGTTAGATAGTCCATGAGTTACAAGTTTGAGCATAGCGACAATATCATACACGTTAATCGTCAATTAATTTTGAGGATCGACGTAACTAGGTACCTAAATACGTAATGACAATCTTTATTCGATTGCTTTGATATCATATTGAGAATCGATTGATCTCAATAACTAAAGTTTAAAGAATTCCAAAATAAAATCTTGAGTCGTTGTTCCAAACCTACAGTCGCACAAATTGTCTTTTGACAATGGAACCCCTTCTTTAATTTAAAAAGAATTCAAGAAGAAAAGGAATCTTAAAACCATGAGTAGTCCCCTCCTCGAAATGAGGCTCTATGAAAAATTGTGCTGTCTCCCCTTTGGCCATCTTTAGGGAGGCGTTAGGGTCCCATTTCAACTCATCATGCCCTAAGGACCACCGGTCAGCTCCAGATTCTGGTCCACACTTTCAAACACTGCCTTCCCCACCAAGCAAGCCCTATGTTTCCCCTCTTCCATTTTTTTTTTCTTAATCCTAACCGTGTCATCACATCCGCACAACTTTCCCTCGCATGATCGGTCCAGCTCCGTTACTGCAGGCCCAATCTAGACAGCAACTTCACCCATAACCCAAGTTTACCAGCTATGCTCCGCAAGTCCATTCCTCCCTTCAAGCCCAATTTCGTTAATCCTTACTCTTCCCCAACAATATCCACATCAGCGCAACAGCTCAGAGTTTAGCTATGGGCCTCGGTTGGATCCGAGCAATTATTGAGTTTGAGCTGTCACGCTGACGTGGATAGTAATCCATTCCCATTCGACACCTGTCCTTCTTTATGCATTCCTTTGTGCTCGCTTCCCCGACACGTGTCCCTCTCGCTCTCTACCGTCCTCCTTCCCCTTCCATCTTTCTTCTTTTGTCCTCTCTGTCGACTCTTCCTTTCCCCAATTTCTCCCTTCGCTCACCCTCTGTGTCTCCTCTCCCTTTCTAGAAGTAGAAACCCACACGTACATAAAACCACCTCTCCTTCCCTTCCAAGATGTCCGAAATCATCCACAAGATGAAGGTTCTCTGATCGCGATAGCCGGAATTTGCAGTTAATTTGAATTTCATCTGTTATTGACAATGGATCAAGTATTTAACTAGCTCTTCTTCTTGTACAGGAGAAAGTGGGATTGGGGTCTTCGGCGGCGGACTCAGGGAAAGGTAAAAGCAGAGTGGACAAGCACGTCACCCATGGCTACCACCTGGTGAAAGGCAAATCGCACCACCCAATGGAAGATTACATCTTCGCCGAGTTCCGCAAAGTCGACGACAACGAGCTCGGCCTCTTCGCCATCTTCGACGGCCATCTCAGCCACACGGTTCCAGACTACCTCCGCAACAACCTCTTCGACAACATCCTCAAGGAGCCCAATTTCTGGTCGGAGCCGGAGAAGGCGATAACCACGGCCTACCACGCGACTGACTCCGACATCTTGGATAATGCAGGGAATTTGGGGAAAGGCGGTTCCACGGCGGTGACTGCCATTCTGATCAACTGTCACAAGCTGGTGGTTGCCAACGTTGGGGATTCTCGGGCTGTGATTTCGAAGAATGGCGTGGCCAAGCAGTTGTCGGTAGATCATGAGCCCGGTTTGGAAAAGGAAGAGATCGAGAATCGTGGTGGCTTTGTCACTAACTTCCCAGGTACCAAAAGAGCAGAAAAATACCTTATAAAGAGTAAAATTTTGGCTTCCCCTGTTTGGATTATCCTCTTCAGACTTCAGTTCGTTTATGAAGTTGTCTACCTTTGGCAAAATAAGGAACAATGGTATAAGGTTGATATTTGTGTGTGTAACCAAATGGTTTAAGGCTCTCGATACCATTTAGACTACCAATTTGGGATCAATTGGTTCTCCATAGACAAAATGCTCGATGAGATGAGTAGTTGGTGGTAAGCAGCAGTTCCCTGCTTGATGAGGCTAAGGTTAATGATCCACAGTGTTGAAACTGTAGATGATGTGATTTGGAGAATTGGGTTGGTGATCATTTGAATGAAAGGTTCGAACTTTGGGGGGTGATACTTATGTACAATGCCATCGATTTTGTTGCAGGAGATGTTGCACGAGTGGATGGGCAATTGGCAGTGGCCAGAGCATTTGGGGACAAGAGTTTGAAGAAGCACCTAAGTTCAGACCCAGACGTCGTGGTTGAAATGGTCGGCGATGACGACACCGACTGTATCATCCTAGCCAGTGATGGCCTGTGGAAGGTTGTACCGTCTATCTGTGTCCTTGGTTATCTTCAACATTATTAGTACTGTGATTGATCCCTGGCAAGTGTATGTAATGGCTATACAGGTAATGTCCAACCAGGAAGCAGTGGATGCTATCAAGGGCGTGAAGGACGCTCGTGCAGCGGCCAAGCGGCTCACTGATGAGGCACTCAATAGGAACAGCTCAGATGATATTTCTTGCATAGTCATTAAGTTCTAGGCTCTTATAATTTCATCCAATGTAAGATTCACTTATCAGAATCTCGTTTGAGCTCTACTATTGTATCCTGTTAGCTTCTGGCTCTCTTTTCTTTCATGTTTTTGTTTTCCTAGGAACTCTACCTTGTTCTATAATTGATTGAATGTTTCTGCTAAGTTTATTATTAATTCGGGGCAAGTCTGTAATTTCTGTATAGTATGAAGCACAAACGAGAGTACAGCGATGTTTGTTTCTGCAATTTTGTGCAAATCAGATCCAGAGACCAAGTGACAAAATGTGAAACCACGGTACTCGAGAGTCGAGACTAGTGGAGAACAAGCATGCCAAGGAACTTCAACCATCAAAGAAATGACAGAAATGAGGTGGATGAACATAAACCCATCCATCAACCTTTGCTCTATTCTTCTAATCCTCTGCCCGTGAGACCAAATAAGAACAATTTGATCAATGGCAACAGACTCACAAGTGCAGGAAGGAAAATGAAACGCTAACTCAAATCTGCAAGTTAACTAATTTGCAGCACTGAATAGTTTGGGTGGGTACAATCCTCTATTTTTATTGTTTCAAGTCCTCCATGTTCTGCTCCATGGCTCTGTACTCCGCCATATCCACCGGCCCGTCCACCTTTTTCATTTCCTCCACCACCTGGTCAACCACCGTCTCCTCTTCCTCCACTTTCAATCCAGTATCCCCACCGCCGTCGTCGCCAGCCACCGTCTCCCTCACATCCTGGTTCGCATCGCTACCCGCCCTCCACGCACCATCCACCGTCCTCTTCACCCCTTCCCCCACCGCATCCGCCACCTCCGTCGCCTTCTTCACCCCTTCTTTCAGAGTGTCCGCCACGAACGCCGCCGCCCCCTCCTCGCCGGAGTAGTTATGATCATGTTCCCTTATTCCCCTCCCTTCCTGCCTCCTCCCCTCGGCGGCGGGCAGGGTAGCTAGTCCGCATAATCTGGAAGCGGAGGAATCGACGCACACGGCCGCTGCGGCGGATCTCCTCGCCAGGAAAATTGCTGCCATGGTTTCGTAAGAATTTGTTCGTTGTTTGTGGCGATTACCAACAGTAGTTGAAAGATGATTGTAGAGTTAGTACCGAGGACTCGTCGAAATGGTGCGTCCTCATTAATATAGTCTCTGAGTGAAAAAAGTTGATGCGTTTAAAGAGTGACGTGTTGATTTTGTTCTGAGCAAAGGATGGACAGGAATCGTCAGCCGATGGGGGAGATGACACGTATAGAACACAGAGAATCGAATGCAGGACACGTGTCCATCTTTTGACTGGTCTTTTTCATTTTTTACGTCGAGAGGGAAGATTAATTAATTAGCCCAACAATAATCAATGTCAGAGGCCCAAGCCCATAAACACGATCCTGGTGATCGAGCCCATGGGCTACAGGCATGATTCAAACCCATCTACCGTTGCCCAATGTGATCAGCATACATTACAATACAAGTATAAACACTCAACCAACCTGTTGAAGTATTAAAGTGGTTTGTTGGGGAGATAATCAAAGAGGTCACATTCCACTCATGACTTTTTGTTTAGCTTCATTATGTCTGTCTCACCACACCAACTTCTTTTTTCACAACTCATTATTATCTTTTCTCCCCCCCATGTTTCAATTGTGTAGTGGGACATTATCAATGATGATGTTAATCCTAGAAAGTCCCTTTTTCCCCCCACCAGTTCATGGGGAAGAAGAAGATGGTGTGGACAGAAAAGGAGGAAGAAAAAGTCGCCATGAACATCCATCCAACCAAACTCCCCAAAGTGGACTCTCACCAATCTCCACTCTCTGTTTCATGGCATAAGTCAGAAGGGAGGTGAGAAGTTTAACTAATAGCCACAACTGTGCCAAACCACCCCACCCCCACCACCACATAACTAACAGACATTATGGTTTTTCATCACCAAACATGAAAGTCCCACGACAGAGCAGGCCACCAGATCCTGAAAATCCTAACCTAACAGAACCACCATTGTGTTTTTCTTTCCCTGAAATGGGTTTACAGCAGTATCCCAAATACCTTAAACATATATAGGTAGGGCTTGTAATCTGTTTTGGCTCGGTTGGCCATATTGGACATTGAGAGAGGAAAACAAACCCTGATACCAGTAAGGCCATATCATAATCTGAGAAACCGAATGTTCAGTGTTACTAGTAAAACAGAAGCTGATACAAACCCTTATATAACTGCAACCCGAATCATTTCGCTTTGTGTGTCGGTGTGTCGCCGGTCTGGGTTATGTTTCCTAACGACCATTGATGGTAACTATTCATGCTTAGTAGCGAATGGTCGTTAAGAACTCCTAACTGCTTCATTTCAGCGTAAGTCGAAACTGCCTTGTAAAAAAAAAAAAAAAAGTACGTCATAGCAAAGTTCGACTGGCAACATCATGAACTAGTTTCTCTAAGAGCATTGCTGCAAACTGGTACCTCTCTAGGACAGTTCAACGAGTTATCCACCGGAATCTGGTTGGATACTGCAGGTTTTCTTGTTGCAGTTCAGTTCAGTCCAAAATAAAAATTAAAACAGAACAATCATCACAGAAACTGATGGATAGAACAGCTCCTTGTACTGGTTGGTATGTCTTAATGCTGAACTACAAGCACATTTCTTACAGCCTATCAACTCTCTTATAGCTATTAAAACATTCCAAATGGATTCATATTGCAATGTACTAACAGGAGACCTATACAAAAACTGAAAAAAGGAACTAGTACATTTCTGATGACATTTTTATTTCAGACTGAAGGAAAACACAACACATATGTCAGTATACATAACTTATAACTATATGTGTTTATATGAGGAAAATAACTAAAAAAAACTAACAAACAAAAAATGCAGTCACCTGGTCAAGAATTCTTTTCCAACTTGATTTACAGGTAACACCTTCACCTTCCAATCCCATCAAGGCACGAAACAACTTCATCGATGGAAGGTCTCCGTCTTGGATCATGATCCAAGCACCGACAAGCGATCTCAAGCATCTCGAGTAGCTCTTTCTCCTTGTCTTTATTCCAGATTGGAGAGGCAATAACCTCAGACTCCCTCTTCTCAAACTTCATCTGGAAAACCCACGACACCAGATCCCTACAGTTCTTCCCCTTGCACACCTCCACAGGCCTTCTACTGGTCAAAAGCTCAAGCAACACAACTCCAAAGCTATAAACATCACCTCTACATGTGGCAATCAACGACTGACTATATTCTGGTGGAATATAACCCAACGTCCCAACCAAATCCGTCGTGACATGGGTATCATATGGTCTTAGCAGCCTTGAGAGACCAAAATCAGCCAAATGAGCCTTGAAGTCTTCGTCTAATAGTATGTTACTAGACTTCACGTCTCGGTGAACAATATGGGGCTCACACACTTTATGAAGGAAAGCTAACCCTTTGGCAGCACCTCTAGCTATCTTCAACCTGGTCTCCCATTGAAGAACAGAGGACTCATCCACACATTCATGCAGCCAATAGTCCAAGCTTCCATTCTCCATGTAAGAGTAAACCAATAACCTGTCATTGCCATGCCGACAGTATCCCTGGAGAGAAACGAGATTTTGGTGTTGAGCTCTCGAGAGTGCTTCTACTTCTGCTTGGAACTCCCTCTCTATCTGGCCACAATCTCCAGAAAGCTTCTTGATTGCAGCTTTTTCCCCATTAGGGAAGTTGGCCTTGTAAACAAGGCCAAACCCTCCGCAGCCAATAATGTCAGCTTGGCTGAAGTTATTTGTAGCTTTTAACAAATCGGAAACCGTTAGATCCTTGCATTCGGAGTTCTGGAAAAGGACCAACTTTGATGATGTCATAAGTGCTGCTGATGATGACACGTGAGACCCGGTTTCTTCCTCATTGATGGGATCAGCTCTTCTCGACATCTTAACAATGAGAAAGGCGAGTATCAACGACAACCCAACTCCAAGAGCGACGGTGATTCCAAGAATATTGGATTTAGTCCTCGAGCTGCCAGAGGGTCTCCTGGGGGTCATGGCAGTCTCTATATCCTTGCAAGGAGAGACTACCCCTCCACAGAGTCCAAAGTTACCTTCGAAGCTTGAATTTGAGAAGCTGGAGAACTGCCCTCCAGCTGGAATCGGACCCTTCAAGTGGTTATTAGCTACATTGAATCTTGAGAGGAAAGTAAGCCTCTCGAGTGAAGGTGGGATTGAGCCATACAGATCATTGGAACACAAGTCCAACACTTCCAAGTTGAGCAAATCTGAAATCGAGCTCGGTATGACACCTGTTATGTTGTTGTTGCTCAGGTCTAAAACATGGAGTTGCTTCAACTGCCCGATCTTGGGTGAGATTGTTCCATTGATCATATTATAGCTCAAGTAAATTGATGGAGGGAAGCTCGATACTTGCTTGTACTGCAAGCCACTACCAGTCTGATTTCGCTTAACGTAGAGTGGAATACCAGCAGAAGGCGAGAGTCCAGGAGAGCTTGCACCTGCTGAAGTGAGGCTCTTTAGCTCCATCAGGGTCTCTGGGATTTCTCCAGAGAGAGAGTTGTTGGAGAAGTCTAAGTAGAACAGTTTCTCCATCTGGCCCACCCATGGAGGAATGCTGCCATCCAGATGATTCCATGACAAGTCAAGAACCTGTAACTTCTTGCAGCTCATTAACCATGGCGGGATTCGGCCCTTGAGAGCACAGTTTCCAAGTGCAAAGACCGACAAGCTATTGAATCCACTCACATTCACCGGCATTTCCTCGCCATGGAAGTTTCTTGTGAGAATTAGTGTGGTGAGATTCTGGCAATGCTGCAGCACTGATAACGCTCGATTCAAGTCAACAATGGAATTGTTCGACAACGAGAGGAATGACATTGACGAGAGCTGAGCATAACTCTCTGGTATGCTTCCATTCAACACATTCTTGGCAAGGCTCAAGGTCTTCAATTCATGGCAATGAGACAGAGACTCTGGAAGTGAGCCAGAGAGCCGATTGGTGGCAAGATCAAGAATAGTAAGAAGAGGCATTCTGGAGAAGTCAAGATCAATTGGACCAGACATGGAGTTGTTTCTAAGGCTGAGGACACGAAGATTGGAGCATAATGACAGAGATGAAGGCAATGGTCCAGAAAATGAATTTGAATGAACATCAAATTGCTCAAACTGCATCAAGTTATGGAAAGCATCTGGAATCTGGCCTGAAAATCTGTTCCCATAAGCAAGAAATATAGTAAGGCTGGTGAGCTTACTCATTTCGCCGCTTATTTGACCAGAGAAATTGTTGTTGGAGATCGATAGCTGCTGCAAAGAAGACAATGCATACAAAGCCTGAGGAAGAGAGCCCGAGATCATATTGTTGTCCAAATGCAGCTTCTTGATTGATGAGCTGCAGTTCGACAAGGTTTCAATGCTTCCCACGAGATAATTCATTGACAAATCAACAACCTCAATCACATTAGATAAGCTGCAAATAAAGGGACTTATACGCCCACTGAATGAATTGTTGCTTATGTTGAACCAACCAAGATGAGGAAGCTCCTTAATACCAAACAGATCATTGTCATCAAACCGATTGCTGGAAATGTTGAATGATTGAATGGAAACAAGACCAGAGAGAACTTCAGAAACCTGTCCTGATAACATATTGTAGCTCAAATCAAGAACCTCCAACTGTTTCAAGCTGGAGAGCTCCAATGGAAGCTCGCCTTGAAGACGATTCCAAGAGAGATCGAGCGATTTTAGCTGATCCAAACCAGCTAGAGCTCGTGGAACCAGGCCTTGGAGGGCCTTGTCTGGTAGAGTAAGCATGGTCACTCTGCCGCCATTCGAGCCACAAGAAACACCATCCCATTTACAGCAATCAGTATCCTCAGACCAAGATGTAAGGAGTGAAGAAGAACCATTTGTGAAGCTGCTGGAGAATTCCTTGAGTGCTCTCAAGTCCCTGGGATCACATGCTGCAGCTAGAGTGCAATAAATTTGAGAGGAAGAAAGAAGAAGGAAGCCAAACAAGGCTGCCCATTTGAGGAAGCTTATCAGAACCCCCGGCTCCACCATTACTGAACAAAATCCCAGCTTCCAGAACGTTAACAAATTGACATAATTTCAGCAGCAGAAAGAAAACCCTTGCAGTAAAAGCAGCTTGCTTTGTTCAATTCCCCAAAAAGCACGAAGCTTTGCAAATGAAGCAAACTGAATTCAACGAAAACCCAATTACTATATCACCGATCCTCGAACCCCCAATTACTCAAATCTCAAGAACCGATAACTACTTTGGATTGGGAAACAGAAACCCGCGAAGTTTGCTTCTCAGCGCAGAAACTGAAGCAACACAGAACGAGGAGGAGGAGAAGAAGAAGAGAGAGAGCGAGATAAGTTGGTCAAACCGAAAACTGGAGGATCTTGTCTTTAGTTTAGTCTCCACCGGAAAGGTCCAAAGATAGGGAGAGGAAAGAAAAGCTTCTCGTCAAATATGAACAAAACAAAAACAAAGAAGAACCCTCCAAAAACCCTTCTCTCTAAGTCTGCTGTATAATAGTGCAGAAACTTCCAACGCGCATCCCGAAGCTCCCCTTGTCTGTTAAAAATAAGAAAGCCCACCGAAGAAGGAAGTAAATCAAAACGAAATTAAAGCCGACCCAAAAACGAACAAAATAAGAAGAAGGAGAAGAAGATAGAAAGATGGAAGCTTTACCAGTCTGGTGCGTTGTTCGGTGCTTTTCTTTCTTTAGCCTTTAATGAGCAACTGTAAACGTCACTTGGAAGTTATGTGTAAACTGTAAAGCATCCCGTGAACCCAACAAGTAATAGTGGCTCGCTTGTTGCAACGAGGGAGAGAAGGAGATGGGTTTGCTTCAGTTCTTCTGCCCAAATCCAAACTGTTTAAAAGCAGTAGTGAAGTAGCAAAGAAGTCCCACCCGACTCACACTCACTGAAGCCACCTTTTCGACCCGGGGAAAGGGAAAGGAACTGGTACCCGGTGAGAAAGAAAGAAAAGATATGATGGGAATCTGGGACAACGGATTAAACAAAAGAAAAGAGAAATGCAGGGGAGATAAATAACAAGAGTGATAGACGGAGAGGTAATCAACAGTGTTAAACATAAGATCGATATTTAAGTTTGAAAGGGAAAGTAGTCTCTCTTTCAGCAGATTTGGAAATAAGAAAATAGTAATAACAGAATGGTTGGTCAACCACACAAAATCTAGAATACTGATGTTCTTATCTGCATTATTGCTCTGTTCAAAAAGTATCTCAATCACCTTTGGATACAAGTATATGCTACAAATTATTAAAAGTTTTGATCTATGGCAATTTAGTTGCAGTAACAAGGTCAGTTAAAACTGTTAGATATAGGAGAGCCTACTTCAAGTTCAAGGCATGCTAGCTCAGTACACGATTCCCTTCCTTTAAATAGAGCGACTTCCCGTTCTTCTGTCTGTCATCTGTCAACAGGTAAGGGTCGCATCTATCCAGTAACTATCCTGTAGGTGGTTCAATTGCTCATCCGTCCATGCGTCCTACGAAGAATATCCTCTAGCTTCTGTTATGACTTATGAGTGAGTTTCTATGTACTAAGTTCATTGATATGATTTTTAGCGTAATGCGATATTTGTATATTTTTATTAGATAACGTTACTTGAATGTTTGAATTAAGCACTTGTCTGTGTTTTATTGTTGATGCGGTATAGTATTTCAATGTAGAGTAACGTAGTTCAGTCAACAAATTAGAATGTACAATGCAAACATGTGATAGCGTATTGTCAAGAATGTCAACTTACAAATGAAAATGTGACAATGTGGAACAAGTAAATAGTACGTGTATTTAATTTTCATTGAATTAGTACCGGTATTATATCAATTTTTGTTTCACATTCTATTTTTCTTGTTATTCTATTTTTCTTGTTAGATCAAAACTTTCCATCGTCAACACAAAACTATTGGACAAGTAAAACAAGACAATGCAATGACAAGGCAGGAATGCAAGCACCTCATTTGCAAGTCCATCCTTTTTTTATATCCTAATTTAGTAATTTTGACTTAATCACACAAGTATGATGATTAATATCCTAATTATTGACCGGCCGGTCGAGTTAGCAAGCAACATATATTTAACCCTTTTCATTTGAAGTGTAGGATACCAAATCCGACAACTAATCCTGTAATTAAGTGTAAACCTAATTGTTGACCCAAGAGAGGGAAACTCAAGGCTAGATTTCCATGCACATTAAGCTCAGTAGCTCTCTAATTGAATAACCTAATCCTTTGTCTCCTACGAAAACAGAGCACCTAACCGTTTGTCATTTCTCTTTGGACAGACCAAAATTCAAACTTTGGGGTGGAAAGTTTTGACACCCACAGAGTTGACGTCGAGAAGGTTTACCAATGAAAAGTAGAAAAATAAAAGGGGCCAGGAAACCATAGCCAGTTGGTCGTTGTTTGGTGAGGACGCAATAGGCAATGGATTTCCAACTTCTCATTTCCACATTTCAACGCAATAGCGCGTCAATAGAACACCGTGGACTCCCGTCCTATTTTTCTAATGTTGTCAGAACCAAACCGGAGCATGACCCGGTAATGTGAACGGCTCGTACTTTAGCGGTCCAATCGGCTTTAGACCGTTGAAAAACGTTAGAGAACCGGTATCTAATAAACGTTATCAGTATAAATAGTGGACATTTCTTAATCAGAGCTCATATCTTTCTTTCGAAATTGTGAAATGGAAATAAGGATTCAATTTGAGAGCCCGACGTTTTTGGTTTATTTCAATTTTCAATTTTCTACAATTTTTTTAATTAAATTTAGTGGCTGAATGGCAAAAACCGGATGAGCGGCTCGATCGGCTCGAACGGTTAACCGCCTCGGCCGCTCGCCAACCGCTACATAAAATCGGAGCGGCTTTTAGACTGTTCCGAGCAGGTTTTGTGACCGGGTGGCGGTTTTACCGGTCGGGCCGAGCGGCTCGGCTCGTCTTTAATAACACTGTATTTTTCTTCCCTCGTAGTTTTGAATTTTGATAACTTATCTAAAGTGTTGGGATTTGATAAACGGGTGGATTTCGACAAGACCAGAATAAAAGAAAGTAGTGCAAAATTACAAAATTTTAAACTTATATTGTTTATTATTCGTGTTTTATTTATCTTTATTATGCATGCACTAAGTTATGCATCATTTATGTTCAATTTATTTTACTTCATATGTTGATGCACAGATTTATAATTTATTAGTGATGTATGGTTAGATTAGGATTTCAATATGTCACAGATCCCTAATAAAACCGGGCCTCAAAATCTGCCTACAAGGAGCCCACCACTCTTCGGGCTCCGTCCTCTCCTCATTCTTCATTTCTATTCGGCCCAACTAACTTGTAAGTTACCCGAGCAGCCCGGCTCGAGGCCACTGGCCAGCCCAATTCCAGCCATTCTAACTTCTCACAGGACCGGCCCGGCCCGGCCAATTTAATTAAAAGGACAGAGGGTAGGTAGATGGATAAATATTGAAGTGTCGTCCTGAAGATAAACCAGGAAAAGAAAAGAGGAAAAGTCTGGAAGAAGAAGATGAGGCATTTCGTGCTCGTCCACGGCGCGTGCCACGGCGCGTGGTGCTGGTACAAGGTGATCGCCGAGCTCAAGCAAGCCGGCCACAAGGTCACCGCCCTCGACCTGACGGCCTGTGGGATCGACCGGCGGCAGGTGGAAGATGTGCATGGTTCCGTCGTCGAATACTCCGAGCCGCTGCTCACCTTCATGGCCTCTCTGCCGGCGGCCGGTAGTGACGATGAGAAGGTGATTCTGGTGGGGCATAGCATGGCCGGTTTCAGCTTGTGCATGGCCATGGAGAGGTTCCCGGAGAAAATCTCTGTTGCCGCCTTTCTTGCTGCCGGAATGCTGGGGCCTGATTTGACATTGCAAATGGTAGATAAGAAGGTATAGTTTTCGACTCTATATCCGCAATTTATCCGGAAATATGTTGAATACAAAATCTCTTTGTCAAATTACGTTTTAATATCAAGTCGAGAACCAATTAATTTGAGTTGAGCTCAGTGTTAGAGTTAAGAATTTGAATGAAGGGTTGTAGTAATTAAAGAAGGGTTAAAGCGTTAATGGGGCGGGATAGGGCGGATGCGTTAATTTTTATATCTGCCCATACTAAACGCGGTCAGGTTGGATATTACCCGTGCAGGTTAAATTAGCTATATTATAATCCCTTTGAATCTCTGAGTTCAACTTCACTGGACTCTGATCAAAGGATCCCTTTGTTCTTTTCAGTTTGTTGAAATGTCGCCGACGGCGGACACAATGGATTCCCAAGTGATATATGGGGATGGCCCAGATAAACCTCCGACAGGCTTTTTGGTCGGCCCCAAGCACATGGAGACGCATCTCTACCGCTGTTCTCCCCGCCAGGTAAAAGTTACCGACCGGCCGGCAAGGCCACCACAGTTTCAGGCATATATATAGATGTTGACCGAGAGTCAACTGTGCGTCCATATATGTAATGTACGCAGGATCTGGAGCTGGGAATAACGTTGGTGAGGCCATGTCCGATCTGGGACGAAGAAGAAGCTGCGAGAGACACGGTGCTGACCAACGACAAGTACGGAACCGTTGCCAGGGTGTACGTCGTGTGCGACGAGGAAAAAGACGGCGCTTTCCAGTGGTGGCTGATTGAGAACAACCCTCCGGACGAACACGTCGTCATTCCTGGTTCCGATCACATGGTCATGTTTTCCCAACCACGTCTCCTGTCTGAATATCTCCTCCAACTTGCCGCCAAGTACATTTGATCACAAACATATGATCACCATGTTGTTCAGGATCCAATCTTGAAGGAAACTTTGATATTTGAAGCGGATCCAATTCATTCATGGTATTGATTATGATGTGAACTTAATTTCTTCCCTAGCGGTGTCACAACATGTAGAAAAGTATCAAGTTAGGCAAAGGTGGATCGATCGGAAACCCTCAGCTCTCACAGTTGGGTCACTCTTTGTTTATACGTACCAGTTCCGAGCTTACGGTTTATCGTGACACTTGACAAACAAAACTAACTGCACTAATACAAACACACAAATAACTGAAAAGGGTGCGTTTCGGGGGAAGGCTCGAAACACTTCCCATAAAGCGAATCGTCTTCAAGCTCGAGGCGTGTTTCGTACTTTTTTCTGGTGAAACCTCTCTCTCTGTCTCTCTGCAGCTTTAAAGTTTCAGACTCTGCACTTCCTGCCCTGTTGCATTGATCTGGTTAAGAACTTTGACACAACATGATCTAGTCCTGTTAGCTAGACGCCATATATAACATGCATGATCATGTGGTGTAACAAAATGTGAATTGAAAGACCTTTGCAGTTGCAGGTCTATACAAAATAGTTTCACGGGCACCGACATTCATTGATGGAAGTTGTACATATACATTCGCTTTGTGAATTGAACACGGAGATAGATTAAATTATCTTTAAATCTACCAAGTTCATAAGATAACTTTTTGTCTAAAAAATTCAATTGGTGATCACGTTTCACCTTATAATCCAAACAATGAAATGTACAGAATCCGTTATTCCACAAATCTTCAAATTACAGCATTCTGCAAACCAGTCTAACAACCACTAGTAGGCTCCTATGATTTGAGCTTCACGCTAGTACTGGAGTGCACTAATGTCAACGAGAGCCAACCCCACCCTCCATTATTGTGTCTCATGCAGAGTAGGCTAGCTAGCGCAGAAAGCTGGCTGCCATTATGTCTCATGCATAGTATCTACAGCAAAATTCTACCGCTGGAAAGCGACAGGATCGGAATCCTATATCGAAACCACTAGACGGTAACAAAGAAAAAAAGGTAAAGCTATCACTTTATCCACACATTACCATTCAGTCGGTAGTTGAAGGGCTAACTCAGTGAGCAATTTCAGAGAGAGCAGAGGGAGAGAGAGAGGATAATGAAGTTCTTGTTCCAGTGTCCATGCTGCTCTTGCTTTTGCTTCATGAAGCCCAAGGCAGGTGCCAAGAAGAAGGAGCCATCTGATGATGTGAAGCAGAAGAAGGAGGGCAAAAAGGCAGCTGCAGCTGCTGAAACCCCAAAGGTGGAGGAAGCTGCTCCACCTGCTGCTGCTGCTGCTGCTAAAGAAGGCAAAACAGAGTAGCTGCCACAACAACACAAGGCAAAAAACAAGTGAAGGAGATGAGTAATGATCGATAGTGAGGCTTAATAATTGATAATGTGTGGAGATGTTGTAATTGCACCATCTGGGTTCCAATGTCTGTCTTCGTTGTTTGCTGTTCAAGCTATCAATTATTTTATTAATTGTATGCATCGCCTTCGGCCTCTTATTATCCTGTTCTGATCCAGATTCTGGAATAATGGGAATGATGCAATTCTATTCCATTTGATGAATTGTATCGGATGTGAGCTGGTTTGATCAGTTCCATTCGAATCCACAAGGGATCTCATATAAGAAATTGTTCAAGTTGTCATGCTGAGGTTTTCAAATGATTTACATGATTCACATTGTCCACAACTTCGTCGGCCTTCATCTTAGTTCTCGCCTAGTTAATCTATGTCGATGTCTCTCGTCGCATTGTCAAGTTTACACAGTTCTGGATATCCCAAGGCTGGATTACAGTCGATACCTTGTAATGAACTTTGATGACCTTCAATCTTCAGTTTCCGGGAAAAAAGTTGATAAGAAAGCTCTTAATCAGCTAGATCTCCTTCAGGTCAGCTCAATCAAACGCAAATGAAGAAGGAACATGATGATCTTCCAGCTTCACAATCCCGGATCTGAACCAAACCCAGAAATCATGAAATAGGAGCTTCTATATGATGAAAAATTGGCAGATGTAATCTGTTGAGAAAAATTAACCAAGGTGATGGAATCGAGTCTGCCACAGGTTTGGTCATCAATGAAATTTTGTTATATAGACTCATCGAGTTCATTGACCGAATTCTGACCAACGTCACTAGATTCGAATCCGAGGCCTTCTTCAGGACCAACTCAACCACCTAGGCTAGTTTTACTTTTGCCACATAGCAAAACATTATAACATATCAAATTACCAGAAGATGAAAAAAGCTCTCAGAACCTTTGAACAACTACACTTTGCTGCATAACAAGTCACCCAAAAACAAACATCAAAACACAAATGAATAAAATATAAGTCACTTCTCAAAATTTGAAAACAACAAAATCTGAACAAAAAGAAGAAAACACTATATAGTTACTGTCCTAAATTCTTCCTTTTTTTATCTCCTGTTCTTTTAGCAGCCTCCCTAACTACTCTGAAAACTAAGCTACTCCCTGGTCATCATAAGTCGGCTCTAACCTCCGGACCAAGTTCCCTTTCACCACTGCAGATGCAAGCTGAATGATACCAAGCCTCCATTACCCTCTCGTTCTGTAACTCTACTCCATTACGAAAAGGGCGCATTAGTTAGTTACACCATAACTACTGCTCACTGCCGCTTCATTTAGAGAAGACAGCAGCACGCAAGGAACACCAAGAAAACAGCTAGCAAGGCAGCAGGAGCAGCCCACAACCAGTAGTTGATCGACTTCTTCTTCTTCAGAAGAGCTCTGGGTACCGCTTCCAAGCTCCTGGGTCGGTTCCTGTACCTGGCAGGATTCTCCTTCTTAACTTGCTCTTTCACAGGGACAGGGGCAGCAGCCCCCTTCGTTTCTTCCGGTTCTGATTCCTCCACAGATTCTTCGCCTACTTTATCCTCCTCGTTCCACGGTCCAGAGCCTGCGGTTTTCTTCTTCAATTTCTTTTCCCGGTCCTGAAAGAAACGAGCAAGGACCAACATTAAATATGGTAATGGGAAGACAGAAAGGAAAAATACAACAAATGAAATCAACAAAAAAGACCAAATGTAATATTTACCTTGAGCTTCTTCTCGGCTTCCTTCTCAGCCCTCTTGGCAGCTTTAGCAGCAGCTTTCTCAGCCAGCTTCTTCTTCCTCTCCATGGCTAGCTTAGCTTTCGCTATCTCCTCTTCTCTTTTCATTTCCTTCAACTTCGCTGCATCAACCTGTGGTAAAGTCTTTTGTTGTATCTTTTCTAATCCTGCCACCTCATCCTCGGCTTCCTCGATTTGCTCCGTCTTTTTCTGGACCTTTTTAGCAGGCAAAGATTCCTCGGGCCTTTTAAGGGGCTTGACCAACGGTTCAACCTGGGAAGGGGCAGGTCTCATGACTACCGCTATAGGCTTCTCATCGGGGTTCCTCGTTCGGCCATCCCGAGTCAATTTTCGTTTGTCAAGGGACTCATTCCACATAAGTCGCTTCTCGTAATCGTCCCTAAAGGCCTTCTCGCGCCATTGCAACATAAACTTCTCCATCTTACAGGTAGAATTGAGTAGCAAAAGTTAGAACCTTGATATTCTGGACCAAGACTCAGGGATCTTGTTTGTTCCAGCTAAAAAAAGGTTACTAAACCTAAACCCACAGGTAATTGAGATATTGCACCTTTCTGGTTTCTTGTTTGCTTCTAAAAAACATTTCACCACATCAACCCTGCTTTTCCTAATCCCACCAAATGCACTTTTTTGCCACTTACCTAAAACTAGAGTTTTAGAAAAACGATAAAACAGACACCATTAATCCCCTGATAAAGACTAGACAAGTAGTAAATGATCAACATACCTCTGCATTTGCAAGCTGCTGAATACCCTGTGCATCCTTTTTATCAGCAAGTTGTTTTGCTTGGTTCAGGATCCCACGCAAAGCAAGATGTGGTGCGTTCTGGCGAAGAAGAGAACGAAATTAATCAAAGTGTCATAACCAGAAAGAGACTATTAGTAAGAACAAACCAAAAGACTTTCTGGATTGTAAAACAAATAAAGAGGAGAGCTGCAACATCAAGAAGTCTTTTTCATTGATAGATTGAAGTACTCAGAAATCAGCCAAGGCTAACATTCAAGCTGCTCAGGACCTTTTGCATAGTATAACTTCTATGCCGGACAACAATAGAGATGTGAACTCATATAACAGGACAAATTAAGGTCGTTCTTTTGATGTAGCATTGAGACTCAGACACTGCAAAAGTACAGTATCAATGTACAGCACAACAGCAAGGCCAAATGAGAGACTACAGACCAGAAGGGAACTAAACTAAACCTTAGACAAGTTTGGATGAAAATGATTGACAAAACAAACTGCTGTAGACCAAATGCATTTTGCATGCCTACGAAAACAATTCAGTTGCAGCACTGTCAAATATGAGATCCAAAATAACCAGAAAGCAAGTACTGCATCTAAAGCCCGCCCCTAGTTTGACGAACATGGTGGAACGCCAAAACCAACTTGAGAATGAACAAGGATCAAGATAAAATGAAAGGGAACTGAAGGAGAAAGATAGAGCATGAAATGTTATAACTAGCTACTGAAGGAGAAGATACATACCAATTCATCACTTAGTGCCCTTAATTTTCCAAGCCGCACAAGAAGCTCATCCCGCTTCAGCCTAATAGCTGTTTGTTCCTCCTCGATAACTTTAATCTCTTCGTCTAAAGCTTCAACTTTTGCATTCAGTTTTTTAATTTTCTCCGACATTGCATCACGCTCCTTCTTCAGTCCATCGAAATCAACATTCATATGCTACAACACGACATTCAACGAGATAAACAGGCGTGCCAGAGATGAAAGAGATAAAATAAATAGCACATCAGAAGTCAGATAACACAACACTTTGTTTTATATACGTGAGCTTCATCATGGTTCCAGAAATGTCATAACTGATCGAATATAAACACAGAGAAAGGAAGGAGACAATAGCATAAATAAAAGCATACAACACTTACTTTGACCTGATCTTGAATGTCATCTTTCTGACCCATTGATTCCTGAATCTTCGCTCTCATGGCAACATTGGCAATAATATTTGGTCTTTGTCCCTTTAGCTGTGCTATTTCTCTGAGTACTTGCTTTTCCTCGGACAACGGGATGCTTTCATGCTGAATGTAGTACTGCAAGCGGCGTATCTGAACTTACAATGTAAATTATTAAGAAAAGTTAGCAACGAAAATCAGAACAGTTATTTATTAAACCTATGGAAATTGTTAGATAAGATGACAAATTATCCTACAAATCCAAGAGCATACAACATACAGCTTCATCGAGCTCTTCCTCTGATGTGAATACACCACCATGACCATTACTATTGTTTCGGAACTTCCCCAATGCCTGCTGCAGAGGCTGCATTTCCTTTCTCTTTTCGCCCATGATGTCCTTTAGGTCATAGAACCGAGTTCTTAATTCCTTCAGCTCGCCAACCACCACTGATCGAGCATCCTGTACAGCAAGCATGATCACTGACTACTAACGCAAACTAAAAGTCGCCTCTCCATGGTAATCTTTTAGCTCTATAAATTTCCAAGATGCCAAGAGTGTATACCTTCCCACATCCAACGGTTTATATGGAAAATAAGAGATTTAGCCCACTAAGTTGAAGATTCAGTATCATCCACACAGCATCAGTTTTTTTCTTTTTTTTCTTTTGAATTCTCTTTACTTCAAACATATGCACCAGTTTTAACACATTTACATGCACATAAATTTCACTATAACTACTGACCACTACAACTACATTTTGTAACCTCACAAAAGCTGTGAAGTACCCATGTTGGGCAATCGATAGTCAATAAATGTTATGTTGTGTATGGACAGCAATTACTGGTAGGTTTCAATAACAAGTTCCACTCAAATTTGTTTGCATATCCTAGGATAAGATTCCACCTAGCACGTAGTCATACAACTCCAGTAAAGTCCTTAAATGGAGAAGATTCTGAAAAATCCAGCTTGGCTACTAAAATTGTGTGCTGCTGTACCAACAACGCAATATACATACAAGGATCTTATGGTTCCCAAACTTCCATGAGTGAGGGGAAAACACCAAAACGGGGACATGATGCCCCAATCATAAGCTGGAGCAAAATTCAGCAGCACAGGTGCCAATGGCTCTAAAAAGAAAGCTTGGAACGCATGCATGGAACCTAATAATTTTTTAACCATAAAGTAATCATGTTAAAAGAAAATAAAAGAAAATGTTTTGGTAGGTTATCGTGTAATGCATCTGAGCTCGTGTAGGATCACAAGCTTCTGAAGGAATCATCGCAATAAATGATAACATGAAGAAAAAAAAAACTGATTACGGCGATTAATTAGTTTACCGATGACTAAATCAAGCAGACAACACATGATATACCACAAACCAAAACTAACAAACTTACCTTTAAGGGTCTCAGACGATCCCTAGCCTGATACCAAGACTCATGATTCTTTGTTATCTCCCTATCAACTTCTTCAATTTGGAGCCTATATCTCGAATTATCGGCCTTCAATATCTTTGGGAAGTAGAAAACAGGGACCACGTCACTAGTAGGCCACTCAACAACAGCGTTCCTACGAGCTTCGGTATCTGCATCGGTCGCAACTCCCTTCTCTACTTCCCATCTATCAGAACCGAATTTGATGGCCTCATTTGGTGCCGACCCTTTATTCATTTCCCCATTCTCCATTTCATGCAGAATTGACTTTTCAACTTCGGTCACAGCATCAATTGGAACTTGAGCGGCCACATCAGATGCTACAACAACCTCAACTCCCATTGTTCTACACCAAAAAATACCAGCTTTACAAGATAAGAGAACACCAACATCCTCAAAATAAAAATAAAAACTCCTTTATATCCCATACTTTCAACTACCCCTTCAGGCAGTAATCAGTTCTATACAGTCCAATCATATAAGTATTTGCACAAGTTCTCACACAAATACAAATAGATCAATAACATGCACGGAATACAGACCTAACAAAATTAGCTACATTCCGTTCATATCCCAAAGGTCTGAGCACGGACCATGAATAAATCATGGACAGGAAGATACAGAAAATCAGCCGACTCGTCGTATCATGCATGTGCAAACACCCAAGTCTGAACGAGAAAGGATTACAATTGAACCAGTAATATCAATGTGACACCCCAAAATCGAAACAAACGAAAGCCCAATCACCATAGATCACAGACCACATTCGCATCAGAGAAAACCATAATTCTAGAGAGATCAACCATCTATAGGCAGATAGAATCAAATACAACATTTGCGACAAAGTAATAAGAACCCATCAAAGCTAAGAGAACAAAGATGATCCAAAACCAGCTGATGTACAGAACAGAGAGTGAAAAAAAATAAGACTAGAAAGCGGAAAGAAAGAGACTCAGAAAGGGCAATTGGGGAAATGAAACGATGACGCGAATCACAGAACAGTGAAGAGTATTACCAGCGCACAGCAGGGAAGGAGACGGGAATCGGGAAAGAGAGATTCGGAGAGAACAAGAAGACCCTCTAGAGAAAGGACGCCAAAGTATCGAAATTTTGCCTTGAAATGTCCGGCAAAGCACACCGACGAAGATCTCAGACACCACTCCCCATCTTACTCTCTCTCTCCCTCCTCTCTCTTAGCTCCCTGAGTGTTCTTTTTCCCTTCCCCTGAATTTTTAGTGATCTCTGCCCGTCTCTACATAAAGACGAAGAAAGGGAGCGGCAAGAGAGAGAAAGCACAAATGTTAGTTTCATGCTTTCACTTTCAGTTTCAGTTAGAAGCTTTCCCTTTTTTTTTCTTCCCCTTTTCTTTCCTTTTTACAGGAAATAAATAAGAAAGAAAAATCTCAATATTAAATCTATTATGTATCCAATATCCATCTACATAAACTTGCCTAATAAAAAATTTGACGTTTCTTCTGAAAAGTAAATGTAAAATAACAAAAAAAATTATTACATATAAGTAATTTAAAAAAATAGACAAATTAGGAAGGAAATATTACGAAATAATGCAAATACTTAGCATTAAGCCATTTAAATTGTATATGTATTCTAGTATTATATACAGAGAATGCTCACTTATTATTTAGTTCAAACTTCAAATAGTGACGGGGTTAAGTGTGTTTGGTTATTGACTAGTCTATATAATGGGGTCGGTAACAATGCATCTCCCTTTTTATTGTGGATTATATGACAAAATAATAAAGTAAAGTAACTGCTGAGAGAAAAAAAATGTTTGCATTAATCTTACTCGTAATATTTTTATAAGATTATTACTCAAAATGTATAAATAGTATTCAAGTCCTTTATAAAAATGATAAATTTGATAACTTATTAACAAACTCACAAATATTCAAAGGACGGGAAAATGCTCAAAAATTATACAAAAGATCTTAGGTGTTGGATGAGCTTAATGGTGGTGGAGAATGCTTCAATAAACACACCAAAAGATGAACGGTTATGTCTATTTCATGGGAATCATGTACCGTCAACGATTGTCTCTCACGATTAACACTAAAAAGGGGATGGATGATTGAGTGCTTGCCTCCGGACTACGAATCTTCCGACTATTGATAATTATGTGTCTTTCTCAAAGTAACACTTCTCACATAAATTATATAAAATTCGTGAATCTACTCAATCTAATAACTAATAAGAATACCTTTAATAACTTATTCTTTTGTATTCATTTCCAATAACTTCAACTTTACTTCTCAAATTTAAGATAAGGTTAACAAAAATAGCTAAGACGTGACTTTTCCAAATCACTTAGAACCCAAAGTTTAGTAGCCGTCTATGCAATTGATCCACCGTAAGGCCGTAATAGCAAGGCCAGCTGGTTGAACACAGAATCCCCGCTAAATAGCTCTGCTTTGGCAATTGCCTGCGCCGTCCCACTACAACTTGTGGTTTGGCTGGAAAATGGTCTTCACCCTCTCGACTGCAGCCCCGTGGCTTCTACGGAAGGCATTTCAACAGTTCGCACTCGTCTCTCAGCCTTTCCCTAAGCCTTCGAATCTCTCTTTCCATGGAACCCTTCGCTTACCTCCGGTGGCCTCGCCTCCTCCGAGCCGACAAGTATCAGGTTCGCGATTTGTGTTGACCGCGTTCTTCCTCTGTTTTATTGCCTGTTGTGGTCTATAAATTACGTCCAATCGGGCTGCCAATGTCTCTTCCTCTCGAATTTGATAGAAACCTTTGGTTAGATGGTGGTGTTCGATGAAAGTCCTTTCGATATCAAGTTTTCACAGTCGCATAGTGATAAAGGGGTTAGCTTAACAGTGCAAGTAATTGTTTTTGCATCTTTTATTGTGTTTAATTTTTTCAGGCATTTGTAGCTCGGCACAAGCTATGAAGAATCAAGTTGATGGGTTGCTCAACGGTGTAGCAGATAAAGCCGTCATTGAAGAAGTGAAACACGTTCTTGAAATGGTAGTATTGTATTTTGAAAATGGTCTTGTTTCTTCCATTGCATCATATGCATATCAGAAAGCTGTCATCTTTTCCACCCCACCGAAGTCAAAATTTCAGGTTCAGTGGTATTCAGTTAGGGGATTCATGGTTGACTATTCTATATCATCTTCGCATCTTCACAGGCTACTAGGGCTACACGTGATAGACAAGTTCTCCATACCGATTTTCTCACACCGCCAACAGTGAGAGAGTCGATGCTGGCGTTGGAGAAACTGGCTGACATTACAGCAGTTGTCCAAGGAGGATATCCGCAGGTTAAAGCTATTGGTTTCGGGTTTGTGTTGTGCCCTGCTGCATCAGTTCTTAGACTTGGGTTAGTTGCTCATGTGCCTCTGAAAACATCCTAGGCTGAGCGTTGCCGGATTTCAATTGGGCATCCTGAAGTAATTGCTGACAAAGATGCAGATGCGGTTGCAGCATTGAGGTAAGCCACAAGCTACCTATGTTTTCATTTTTGGAAATTGCTAAGGTTTCAAGTGCTCCTGTCCTTAAATGTATATTTTCATGGATATTTATGCTTTGTTCAGTATAACAGGAAACTTTGGATTCGTATCCTGTACTCATGGTGACTTCTTAGGTTCAATTCTTGGTACAGGAATTGTCAGGGAAAAGTTTGGGGATGTGTTGCTATTGGAGGTATGTTGTTGAGCTATATTGTTTGCCCAACTTATCAATTTCTTCTCGAAACACTTGTGTGTGTGTGTGTTTGAAACCACTAGAAGATGAAGTAGATAAAACCTGCCAGTTATGAGCACAACACAGTATGAATTGACTATCACGGCATGTGAAGATGCATCAACTGCAATATATGGGTCAAACTGGATCTTGTCTATGGATATGCTGTTTGCTTTGCATTTGCTTTTCCTTGCAATGACATTATCAATTGACTTAAGACAATTTTCTAACAAGTGGGATGGGCCTTGTGTGAATTTGGGGCAATCCATAAGTACTGCTTGCAACCATCATCAACATTGAGTTTAGGCTGGAAATTAGTTATACTTTAGGTTGGTGGTTTTGAGATTAGTCAGGTTGAACATTCTGACAGACAAATCGCACATGAAGCTTCGCCATTTCGTACCTGCTGGCTGGATTTACTATTTAGAGAAACGTAACTGTTGCCAATATATATAAGTTCCTGATGGCTGATATTCAGAAGAAAACAGTTCTAGTTGACTATGTTTTTATTGATAGCTCATACTAAACCTTATCGCGTAAAGGGCACAATGTAATTACTGGATACACGAATGTAGAACACAAACACTGGCTGGAACACAAAGATGACAATTCTTCTTCAGTTTTGCTTGAAAATGTTGCTTTGTGGCTAGACACTTATTTTTCCTCTTCTTCTCTTTGATGAAATATTCTCCAGGGAGGTAAAGGGGCACAATTTTTAGTGGTTCCAGAACTTGTTGACTTTATGACATCCTCATTAAACAAGGTATTGATTAGTCACACACATTACTTCAAACCATTGCTTCCTTAACAATTCTCAAATATTGATTTGCATGACCTGTGTAACATAAGAGCAAGACCATAATTAATAGCCAGATCATATTTATGATGCCCGTTTGATACATGATATGTTCTTGTCTATGTGGTATCTGCATTGTTATTTCAGTCTTATGGGTATGATTAAAGTTGGAACCTTTTATGTTTTTAGTTCATCAAAGTGCAGTGTCTTGTTCGCTCCAGAGTTCTTGCCACTCAGTGCTCTCTTTATCTGTGTCTTGGGCACATTTATCCTTTGTCAGGTCGGAAGTGTTTCCGTTTCTTGTACGAGGATACCCCTGCATGATCTTGATTATCAGCCTCCACAGTGAGATATCCTGAACTGATTACTGGCTCCTCATGCTTTAAATCTATTGTTGTCGTTGAGCCACAGAGATAATAGTGTTCATCTCTTACCCTTTTCTTAGGACCAAGACATTTAGAACAGTAGAAGCATCACTGAGGTTAGATGCCCTGGCCAGTGCAGGTTTCAAAATCTCTCGGTCCAAGCTTGTCGATTTGATCAGGTACCTCCTCCACGGATCATTCCACTACTACCATAAAGCTGCCTCAACCCATTCCCATGTTATGATCTTACTGTCTGGAAGTTAAAAATTGTCTGGAATTGACAAAACCTTGTGCATGTATGTTCTTGCAGTAACCGGGATGTGCGAGTGAATTGGTCCACGGTCACGAAAAACAATACCAATTTGAAGAGTGGAGATATCATCTCAGTCAGCGGGAAAGGAAGAATGAAGGTCAGCAATCAGCTTTTCTCGTCTACTAAATTTTCCTTTTGGGTTTCATACTGCATTTTCTTCTCTGGTTTTCGCTTTATTGAATCAGTTGCTGGTTAAGCTCAGGTAGGTGAAATAAACAATACAAAGAAAGGGAAGTTTGCCGTGGAGCTCATTCGATACATTTAAACCAGTCTCAATCAAGCAGAGCTCATTCCTTCTGTCAGCCAGGTAAAAACTGTTATAGATGCTGAATTGTCTCGAGACATTGGTTGTTGTACCTAATATGATTCTTGTTAATGCAGATTCTGTTTCATGATCATATTACGACCGATGAAAATACGTCACACCCGGCAACTGCTCGTTCATTTTGTGTTCTTGTCTTGTATGCATCTTGTGTAGACTGAAACGTGATTCCGGTCTCCAGAGACGAGAGAACACTAATGGGCTTCGTGATTGATTGCGTTAGTTTGGACTTTGGAAGTAAGGAGCCCAGTAGATAATTTTCCTTTGGGCCCTCACTCCTTAGTCTGCACAGAGGACTCGTGAGCCTTGAATCTTTTCAGGCTTGTTTGATGGGCTTGGACCCAGTTTGAGCGTCGAGCATTTTGCTAATCCCACAAAAGTTTTAGCTTAACATGTGGTGGTGTATGTGTAGGTGTAGGATATATAGTATATTAATACTATAACACATTAGGCAAATCCCACGGCAACAAAACACGAGAGAGATCCATAGTTCATAAATAAAAGTCTGGCCTTAATTGTCAAGACGTGTTTTGGGGTGAAATGGAGTAGTTCTTATGAGAGTTTCGAAGTTAAACGTGCTCGGTGTGGAGTAGAACAAAGATGGGTGACCTTATGGGAAATCACCTTGAATTGCACCTCAAGTCGAAAACCGTGAGGGTGGAGGCCCAAAGCAGACAATATCTTCGTCGGGAAAAGGTTCGGGATGTTACAAATATCATACACCATCGACGATAACTCAAATTATTTTATAAGATTATAAAAAAAATATATTGATAAATGATATGTAAGCTTTATTATGTAACATGAATCACATACTGACACCGTCATAATTAAATTGTTTGCGGTCGAAATTCAATTTGAAGTTAGAATCACACAAACATGAGATGTAAACACTAATTCAAATTATTAATAAAAAAAAAAAAAATAGTGGCCTTTGTTTACATTATTGTACATCCCAAGGATTCAAACTTCCTCCTGATTTATTACCTCGCTAGCCACACAAATATATAATCAATACATGGGTAACATGTACACGTAAATGTACAATCCACGCTAAGCTACTACTCCAAAATCAAAACACTCAAAACACCAAACTCTCTTGGCTAAGTACCAAAAGCAACCCCACTTAACTAGTTTCTCACAAGTGTAAAACTCTTGTGATATGCTTGTACCTAAACCCCAGTTTTCCAACGTGTATACAAATGTCGCAGTAGTAGCTCATAAAAATCTGATGAACGTATGTAGGTAAATCGTAAATCAAAATGTTGATGATAATGACACGAATTTATCAGATCTACAGATCACCACACGTGACATTCTGTATGCACTCTCAATCCGATATGTACTCTCCATAGTAAACCGTATTCTTTTCTCCCATCTCTTCAATCCCCCTAATGAAACCAGAGATTTCATCAAGATCTCTTCCTATAATCTCTCTCTCGATCTCTGTCTCCGAAAGCTCAAAAAAGAATTTCAAGCGTACCCACAAGACCCATACTCGCACTTCTGACCAGGGGAGCACCGCTGGTTGCACTCCCCGCAGTGGTCTGCATCGTACGCCAGGCTGATACACGCGCCGTTGCAGCAGCTGCGGCCGAAGCCGCACTTGTTCCCGCACGCGCCGCAGTTGTTCTCGTCCTGGTACACGTTCCGGCAGTTGTTCTTGCAGCAGTAGAGGAGGCTGGTCCCGTTGTTTGCGGGGACGCCGTCGCAGATGTTGCCGCCGCCGGGCGAGCAGCGCATCCCTTTCCTGATCCTCTCGTTCAGGAACAGGCTCCGCGACCGGAACCTCGTCGCGGTCGGGTTGTCGAGGGTGTAGTACTCCACGTCGTCGGCCGCCGAGGCCGTTGCTGCGTGAGGGTGGAAGGACGACATAGAGATGGCAATGGCGGCTGTTAGTGTAATTAGAATGGTGAGGTGGTTAAGTCCGGCCATTAATGTTGCGGGAAGGTAGAAAAAGGTGGGCTTTTGGTTTGAGAGGGAAGGGAGGGATCAGTGTCGCCGACGAGATTGTAGGGCAAGGAAGGGATATAATGGTTTTGTGTATGTGTATATATATATATATATATATATATTGTGAGTGTATTTGTTAATGGTGTAATTAATATAATTAAGTATTCCATGATCTTAGGGGAAGGAAGGTGGTGGTCTGACAAGGCTCACTTGGGGGCATTGCTAGATCATAGATGGTGTAACATTATTTTAATGGAATTGAATAATCGAGATTCGAGACAAATGGCAGAAGAAGACTGGGTATATTTGAGTTGTAGTTAATTAAGTAAAACAATGAATTTCTAAAGTCAACAAAAAGCTAACACTTCCAAAATTTTTAAAATTACATTAAGAAACTGGCGGGAACAATTTGTTACCGTGTTAATTAGTGTCCAGCTCTAATATGGTAGATTTTTTTTTTTTGCATACAGAGGAGGCCGAAGGCCAAAGAAAAAGAGGGGTTACAGGGGAGGCTAAAAAGGAGGGGGATGATTGACCACTATACGGCGATCAAAAGTAGTGCCTCTAGCATCATCCTGGAGAATCGCGACCATGTCCATAGGTGGATCAGCCAACTCATACATACCGTAGGGATAGACGAGACTGTGCTTCGAGAGCCAGTCCGCGACTCTATTCCCTTCTCGGTATGTATGCGTCAGACTAACCAACCAATCTTGACCCATCTTCCGCCGAATGAGACTCAACAAAGTGGCATAGGGGTGGATGGGATCATGACGATCCTGAATCAACTGAATAGCAAGCTGCGAGTCGGTGGCTATCTTCACCACCCGAAAACCAAGTTTCCAAGTCAGTTCTAAGCCATAAAAAATGGCCCAGAGCTCCGCTAAAGCTGCAGTGGCGCTACCAATGTTGGCGACGAATCCACCCAACCAGTTTCCCAGAGTATCACGGACAACACCGCCCGCCCGGCCGGACCCGGGTTCCCATTCGAGGCCCCATCCGTGTTTACCATGACCCACCCCTCAGCTGGCGGAGTCCACCCTACTGCTGCTACCACCCGATCGGCCTTGTGCATTTTCTGGCCCAGGAACAGCTCCGGGGCCTGCCAAGATTCATTCCAAATTCTACTCTTGGTGATAATAGAGTGCATAAGAGATGGTGCAGTGAGAGCCGCACCCATACCTTTGAAGGCGGCAGTAGTGCGATTCTTCCAAAGGAGCCATATGGTCATACCGAAGAACCCCGGCCAGTTGATCCCCGACGTGGAAGTCTCCTGACTAGATAGATTAGTGCGAAACCACTCATCATGGTTGGCGCCGAAGAAGACCTGCTGTTTTCCTTGAGGGACCTGTCTGGACCAAAAATAAAGAGCAGGAGCACAGTCGCGCACAATGTGAAGAACTGTTTCCGGACACCCTTCGCACCGCGGACAGCAAGGAGACTCCGCCACCTTCCTCTGAAACCGAAGCACATTCGCTGCTATCCTTCCCTGTATTGCCAACCACACGAAACCTCTAATCCGCTCCGGAACTGGGAGACGCCAAATTGCCTTCCAAATTCCATCCCGAGGCTGTTGATCCTGCAAAGAAAGGAGATCATAGGCTGATTTGGTGGAGAAGCGACCATCAGCGGACGGAGACCAAAACAGCGTATCTTCCTCTTGAGAGATCTTATCAACGGCCGTGCTAGTGATCTTGGCGCATATGTCAGGCTGAAGCAGATTGGAAAATAGCTCCGTGCGCCAACTCCCATCATCCCGAACAAAATCCGCTACCACCGCTTCTTCTGCTTCTCCCGACAAATCTCCCGTCATAACTTCCTTCAGTGGAACCTGCAAAATCCACGGATCACACCAGAATTTAGTCTTTTTCCCATTTTTAATATTCCACGCACAACCTTGCTTAAGAAGGTCAGCAGCTTTTGAGAAGCTACTCCAGGTGAAGGAACTTCCCTGATTTTTCCGTAGAACATCAAGCCCTGTTCTATGACCTCCATACTTCGAGAGTAGCAGTTGCCGCCACAGGTTATCCTTCTCTTGAAGAAGACGCCAGCCGCTCTTGGCCAACATAGCCAAATTTGCCTGGCGGGTTGGACGCAGACCCACCCCACCCTGATCTTTTGCTAGCGTCAGCCTCTCCCAAGCCACCAGGTGCAGCTTGGACCTATTCTCTTCGGCTCCCCAGACAAAGTCCCTAGTAATCTTGTCAATGTTCCTGCACACACCAATAGGAATCAATTCAGTATGCATCGTATAGACCGGCAAAGAAGCGGTCACTGACTTAGCAACTGTGAGTCTAGCTGCGAAGGATAATCGTTTCGCTTTCCAAGGGGCCATTTTCCTTTGAATGCGCAGAATAAGGGATTGGTATCTCCCTCTGGTGACTCTTTCTTGAATTGCCTGGATGCCGAGATATCTCCCAAGAGCAGCTTTCAAAGGGATGCCCGAACAAGTGCTCAAATCCTCGGCCTTGTGCCTAGCAACGTTCGGGGAGACGTAGAGAATAGACTTGCTGAAATTGATCCTCTGTCCCGAGCTGTAACAGAAATCCTCTAGGCACTGCTTGATGACCCGGATCTGCCTCCTTTCTGCTTCTGCAAACAACAAGAGATCATCTGCAAAAAAAAGATGAGTCAGTGGCGGCGCGACATTGGTTAACCGTACTGGTTTCCACTGCCCATTGCTAACCGCCTCATCGATCCTGTGAGATAACCTCTCCATACAAAGCACAAAGAGATAAGGGGAAAGGGGGTCTCCCTGACGGACTCCGCGAGACGGGGTAATCGGCTGAGACAATTCTCCATTCCAACGAATTCTCATGGTGTTGTGCTCCACGCAGTACATTATACAGGTAATCCAACTGCTCGGCAGCCCGACCTCTTTCAGAGTATCCCGCACAAAATCCCACCGAAGCATATCATAAGCTTTTTCTAGGTCGATTTTGAAGATCATGCCGCCTTTCTTCCCTCGCCTCTTCCTCAACGTGTGTAAGACCTCTTGCACAACAATAATGTTGTCCGTCGTTTGTCTTCCTGGAATGAAGCTGCTCTGCCTCGGAGAGACCAACTTCCTCATCAGAGGTTTCAGTCTCGAAGTAATGGCCTTAGTAATACTCTTCAGGCACACATTATTCAGAGAAATAGGCCGAAGCTGCGTCACTCTCTCCGGCGAATCCACTTTAGGAATGAGGACAAGCGTCGACTCCGTCACAGCTTCCGGAAGTGTACCTGTAGTGAAAAAGGAAACAGCCATCTCGGAGAGAGCCTTCCCTACCACCTGCCAATACTGCTGGTAAAATACTGCTTGGAACCCGTCTGGACCTGGGGCTTGAAACGGCTTCATGTCGAAGATAGCTTGATGGAAATCCTGGATACTGAAAGGTCTAAACATGGCTGCTGCTTCTGCTTGCGACATCCGGGGAAACGAGTCTTTCGGCATTCTGTCCTCGTACGGGGAGCTATCCTGCATATAGATATTAGTGAAAAATTCAAACACCAGAAGAGCAAGGGAATGAGGATCAGTCACCCAAAGCCCGTTGTCGTCGAGCAAAGCCTCAATTTTATTAAACCGTCTCCTGATGTTGACCTGCTGGTGAAAGTAAGCTGTGTTCCTTTCCCCATACTTAACCCACTTATCCCGAGCACGCTGGTACCAAATGAGTTCTTCCTGCTCGAGAACCAGATCTAACTCTTTGGAGAGGTTAGAATGCAGCTTAGCAAGGCCGGGGGAGAACCCACTTGCTAATCTTGTTTCGACCCCTTTTATCCTGGCTAACAAACGGCGCTTCTTGCGTTTAATATCCCCAAAAATATCTTCATTCCAGACCATAAGCTTATCCGCCAGCACCTTGAGGGCGTTGTGGAGTGGGGCATTCGCATCCCAATTATCCGCCACTGCTTGCGGGAGACGGTCACTAGTCAACCAGGCCGCCTCGAATCTGAATTGCCTCTGGTTAAGATGCTGATTCTATTGCCTCTCCACAGAGGTGATGATCGGGTTGTGATCTGATTGGTAGCGCGGCAAATGGAGCACCGTCGAATTTGGAAAAGTCATGTTCCAACGGAGATTACAGAGACTCCTGTCCAAGCGGCTAGCTTTGTAAGTGTGACTTTGCTCACCTCTTGACCAGGTAAATTTTGGACCAGAGAATCCCAAATCCACTAACTCTGCTGAGTGGATTCTCTCGGCGAACAGCTGACATCTCCTCAAGGTGTTCCGCGCCGGCGGACCCGACTTCTCCTCCGGCTTGCTAATGGCGTTAAAGTCCCCTGTAAGCAACCAAGGCATCTCAATCATCCTGCTGTACGAAATGAGCTTTGCCCAGAGCTGCCGCTGGTCCCTCTGCCGCGGTGAGGCGTACACCGCCGTCAGCATCCACGGGGGCTCTAATATGGTAGATTAGCAGTTTGTGTGTGAGCACAATATTGATCTTGTTGGATCATGCGAGATTTTCCCTCAGCCATACAAATCACATAGCTAAAATGTTTACATGAAATTTAGAATTGTTACAACCGTATATAGTACAAGTGTGTGATCTAACGACATCATCAAGATTAGTTAAAAACAGCCCTTATATTAATTACATGGAATAGGAAATAGCTCATGGTATCCAACTTGGACACGTATAGGTCAATCGATTATTTTAAGTTTCGAAATAAATAAGAAAGGTTAACAATTCCATATTTACATTACAGATCCTTTGCCGTAGTAGAATGAAAGGCTGGCACCTGCGTGCAAGCGTTTTGGGGTTTGAATTAAACCAACTAGAAATCTACAGAGAGACTGACGGCACTTTCTGGGTTGATTCATGAACTTGACCTAAATTCCCATTATTATTTCGCCTTCTCTATACCAAGTAGATGTATTTTTATTGATTAATGAAAACCCTAACTCCATTTCTTCTTCTTGTTGTGGGTCGGTGAGCAAATAATTATATTTGTAATTAAGAATTCAGTTGACGATTAGTGCTAAACTGTAGAATAATACGCACCATGTTTGGCAATTGATTAAGTTTTGAAATCTGGCTCTACTAGCTCATTGTGCATGCTTGGACGACGTTGGATTTGAAGGAAGCAGAGGGGGTAAGATGCCGACAAAATTTAATTAAGATAGGAGGTGTCAGTAACTAATCATGCTAGATTAGCTAGCTAGTGTGTAGTTAATTAGTGAAGCAATTAAAGGGGGTTTGGTTAATCATTATAGGCTTGTAGTAATATACAGCTAATTAAGTAAGGTGGTTTAGTTTATTGTAACCTACTACGTACAATTAATTGCTTGACCCAGCAGGCAAGGTCGCCGGTGGCAACGTGGGGAGGATCTGCTTTCCCGGCGGCAAACGCGATCGACGTAGGCGACTGCAGGCTGGGCGCCGCCTCGTATGCAAATTGCAATCAACAACACCCAACGCGCTAGCTCACGATGGAAATCCCACGTGGGGAACGGAAAGGGAAGACTTCTCTCTTTACGAAAACCATTAATGGTAAGCCAACACCATTTTTCCAAATTACAGGTATTGTTTAATCTTAATTAATTCATTATTGATTGTCATTTCCTTGTTGCGAAAATTGAAAGTTGAAAAATGTTGGCTTGGGATTAGTTCTAATCAAATCTCCTCAAAAGCCCTAATCTCGAGTTTCTACTTTCACTGGAATCACTTAATTTCCAAATCTTTCGAACCCACACTTCATACTTTGTAGTGTTATTCGTTGAACAAAATGTTCCACTTTCACCTAAATACTAGTACATATTTAGTGCATCATTGTATGGTAGGTACGACGATGCAAGTGTAAGTCTGGAAACAGATAGAATATATTTATTTCCTTACTAAGAATAATTTGGATTTTACTAAGTTTGGATTTTGTTCATATTCATACCCACACGATAATTGAATAGGAAATTAATGCACACTCCAGATCAAATTTGGGATATCCACGATTAATCATGAGTAATATTTTCTCCTTATAACTTCAACAAACATGTTTGATAGTTAAACGTACATTGAAATTATACACATGAAAAAGTACAATAACAAATCACTAGAATGAAGAAAATTAGTGGAAAAAATAAAATGTTACGAAAATATTGTATTTGTATAGTAAATATCAATTATGTTGAGAAAATGACAACCATTTCTAAAATAAAATACATATGTACGCATATATCGGAGAGATTCCGATTGGATAACGAGAAATCATGTTCAAGCATTACCCAAATATTCGAATTCAGATTTTATTTATCCCCCTAAAATCCTTTTTAATTTAAATTTTATGACACCAAATTTAACTCGAATTCGCGCAAATATCTGTAAATTGTCTTCCCAAATTGTTACCCTTGAGATTTAAAGACACCAAATTAAATATCAATTTTGTTGTGAATCAGAGTGGCACAACATGGCTCAAATCAGAGAAACAACCATTTATTGCTTTGGATCTGATTTTTAAACATGTTGCACACGGAATTCCTACGGATTGGGCTTTTGATTTCATTAAACTATCCTAGTTTTCGAATCCCTGCTGAAACAAATTTTTTTCCAGCAACCACCCCCAACCCTAATCGACTACTTCTCCTCCCAGACTACCAATCCGCCGCCCAGCCCCCTTCTCCCTCTCAAGAGGAAGGACAAGCATTTCATCTCCTCTCTCAAATTCTTCCATCCGCTGCCCAGCCCGTCATCTCCTCTCGATTCCAGTCCCCACCGCCAGCTTCTCGCCCTCGAGATCAGCCGCCGCCGACAGGTGTCGCCCGCCCGACCAGACTCCGCCGCCAGTTCTCTCTCCATCGCAACCAACCGCCGCCAGTGAATGCTAGATTAGTTCTTTATAAGTTCGTGAATGCTAGATTAGTTATTGTGAATTCGTGGTTGATTGATATGTTCTTTGTTTTGTGTTTTACCTCAGTTATAGAAAAAATTGTTGAAAATGGTGATGTTGATTGTGTGGAGATTCAGAAAAATGAAAATGGGGAGAGGGATGATAGCAAAAATGGGGTGATAAAGCCGAGTCTTTGTTCATTGATCTTTTGGTTGAAGAATATATCTCTTTTTTGTTTTGTTTTTAGTTCTTAAAGTAGTCACTAAAGGCGTTTTTATTTTTTGTTGTCAGCTTTCATGATTTTTCAGATTTATCAACTAAACAGATTTGTATTTTTTATTTTTTTTTCACAACACCACTACAACTATATCAACAAAATGATACTAAACGGGATCTTAGAGATTTCATGGAAGGCTTCAACACTGCCCTGCTGCCCACTCACGCGTCCAGCTGGCAGAGCCCGTGACACTTTCACGAAAGCCAACCGATTTGCGGGCCCACAGTAATCGCTTAACCCTTCTCCAGCCCAATTTAGGAAACGCACCTGGCCCATATAGGGTTGACAGTTGACACGGCCGAAAAGCCTCTTTCCGTAGCCCAATATTTGGATTATTTAAACACTGTTATAACTTAGAACATGATAATATTGGGTGGATTCAAATTCCTAATTGGAGTCATCTTACCCTTTTAGTCCTCTCGTGGTTGAGTGCGTATTGTACGTTTGATTTTGATAGAGGAAGAGGACTTCTGTGCTTAAAACCTAATATTAACCAGAAAATTTTGTAAAATAATGTTTGATTCAAGTATTGTAATCGATAAAGAAAACACGAAATATGTGGCATTACTTTAACCAGCGGTGGATGTAGGATTCTTCGACACGTGTGTCGACCGTTATTTGATTTTTTTTATATCGACGAATCCTAGATTTCTAAAAAAGAATCGGGTGGAGGTGTCGAGCCGACACAACTCCTGAGTACTTGGGTTCGCCCTAAGTACTTAGAGCTCCATGCCCAAATACTTATGCTAAAATCTTCTCGTGATATCATTATGAAAAAAATTGATTGCTCATAATATAACAATATCTGTTACGTATTCAGACAAGACCTCATATCGGACTACCTCAAAATTAATATCAGTTCATCTTATCTTCATCCACGATTAGAAAGAACGGATGGACATACATTCTTGTATTGCAAGACTATACGAGAACTGCATGGCGTCAAGAAAGGCAGGACAGACAAGATGATGACAAACGATTTCATTAAAGATTGATATGAATGATTTGCAAACGAAAAGTCGCAATTATTGCAAGCAAGGAAGATATTAGATATGCATGTCCTAATAAAGCAGGGGGAAAAGGTTAGTAATCAGATCTCAAACCAGCCATCAATGTTGCATGACACTGAAATTTCAACCGCAAAGAGGCATCATTTCAAGGTGAGAGCTAATTAATTAGGCCACTCAGTCATTCTCAAATGTCAAATTTCCAGTAGAAAATTTCCCCAACAAGTGTGGTGCAAGATCACTGGATTAATAATGATATATGTTGCTGTCGATCCACTCTTTATTTTATCCACTTCCCATGAAAACTGTTCCCTGCCTTTTCCTCCCCCTTAAACAAAAATAAGAGCCTCTGATTGGCCATAAGAAAATTTGTAGGATAATTGTAGGTAGCTAGTGATGCAATTTCCGACCTTATTCGTGTAATTTGATTTGATCCGATTTGGTTGGGTCGGGTTTCATCGTATCCGTAGTAGTATGGAGTGTAGAACGTATACTACTTCCGTCATATGTTCTGCTTCATCCTCCTTATTTATTGTTGGCGCATCCTATATTGATAAGACTCAATATCTACATATGTATCTCTTTTCTATTCGTTCTTATTAAATCATATTTTTACACTAATAAAATAAATAAGTGCAATACTTGATTTTTAACCAACTAAACTCAATTATTCAATACATTATCTCTCCTTTTATTTATCACAAAATAGTTTGAGTTTTTGCAGTTTTTTTCTCTCTTCATATTACATGTGAAATTGGGCCAACATGTTCCACCCTTTTACCCATGCGGATTATATCAAACTCGCGTTTAATCTGGAGTGTGTATGACGTATGAGTATTGAAGTATCCGTCCAATTTTCAGTGAGTCTGTGAGTGTAGTATTGAACTTGTTTTTCTTTCTTCTTTGTCTTGTTCTTGCTCTCGGGGGCCTTACCGTGTGGGGCTAAGAACGATCATGATGCATGTTTACTGCGTATATAAATCCACTGTTCACGCCAGGATTCACCAATAATGTGGTTGATCAACTTACAATATGGACAGAAATGAGCATCACGGGTCCCTCCCTCCGAATTGTTGTGTCCTTCTCCTCCCTCTTTAGTGTGCACTGAATCCAGCCGGCCGCAATTTCCCCCCTTAATTTCGGTTGCTTTTGCTTGTGCTTTAATTAAACTACAACAATGCTCTCTAATCCATACTTTTTATTTAATTACAACTTTTGGCATTACGATACCGTAGTATTCTGGTCATTAATTGACGACCATACAAAAAGATGATCAACTGATTCTTTAGCCAACTTACAACATAGTGAACCACTCGCTTATTAAAATTGTTAACTGTAGTTATTTTATAAGTTATTGGCGGATATGAAGAAATGAGTCGGATGGAACGAGGATGGGGACTGTGGTTTCAGAAAATAATTGTCCCACTTCTCGATCTCGACCAGTAATGAACACCAAATGTCGTCTATCAGGGCCAAACAAATGAATTCGAGAGATGACTTCTAAGATTTTCCATAAGTTAGAAATACCCGAAATAAATTCAAAATATGATTGCAATCGATCATATATATGCTCTAACATCACTCATTTGAATATTTATCTAGAATCCAAACACCGAACCAAAAATTTGTCGTGATCAGGGAGATAAATCTGTAATTAACATCCTATCTACCGGAACACAATACTATATATCAAAAACAACAACAACACCACCTCATCTCTCTCGTGAATGGATCAGCACTTGATCTTGAATTGGAGCATAGCCATGATTAACGACATGTACAATGTCAAAAAGGGGAGTCTGTGTTGTGCTCCACAAACAAGACACAATGATTTGGGACTCTGAAAAACAAAAAGAATTCGATCCCCTTCTAATTTTTTCTCCAGCTGCCAATAATATTTGCAGTTAATGGGAAGTATCTGGTCCCCAAATGTATGTACCCTTCTTCTTCCTCCTCATCCTCTTACCATTTTGAACTTAAATATATTCTATCTTTTTAATGTGGCCGCTTTTTCTCATCATCTCGCCATATATGGTTGGGAATTCGATTCTCACTTCTCCTTTCCTTTCCACCCGTATGTCAACGATGAACAATCATTATCTTTAGCAACGAAACGTAGGAATTAGCGACGACCAGTAAATGGATACCATAACGTACTTTGCGACCTTTCCTGACTCGGCGACGGTTTTCTCCGTCGCTAAAGCTAATTGTTTATAGCCATGAATTACGGTAGAGGCGCATCACATTCTTCCATCACAACTAAGTGCATTCTGCATCAGCAATGCACACTCGCTGATTTTAGTTGATTCTGCCTGCACTGAATTTGGGTTGCATCACTCTGTAGCCAAATTCGGCAAACGTATGCTAAATCAAATGTCAAGCTGGGAAAAAAGGAAAGAAAAATGCTACCTAATATTCCTACAATGGCCACTTAGTAAGAAATGCTGAACAGTAACAGTATCTGTGATTGTGAATATATGAAGGGAATAACTTGGAGGCTGAAGAGAAGTAGGAACTAACACTAATGGCATTGCAGAGTAATCGATCATAGGCTTAAACTAACCCTACGGGGAAGAAGAGAATGTTCAATGCTCGATTGATCATCTCCCTGATCATTCAATTACGCTATTGCGTTCCAAAAATAAAAAAGACACGCAATGGGTGTAAAATACGGTTTCGTTTCACCATGTTTGTGATCCTTTATCCATTGGTGCAATTACTGCGCTTGGTGATTCTGGCGGTGTGCGCCCAGAGCCTGCTTTTTGATGGCTATGTAGCCTGCCCTCGTAGGAGATCTATTGTTTGTTCGTTTTGGGAGGTGATTTGCTTCATCGGTTGTTGGGAGTGAATCATTTTCGTTTTAAGGGGACGTGGAAAAGTAGCAGGTGAATTTTGTGGATGGAAAACAACACTTCAAACATTTCTCTATCTGGTGGCTAGGGCAATGAGAAACAACCAATTTATGTGCATCATATGCAACCTATGGGAGGTTCATCTATAGACAATTCAAGTACGCATTATATTAAAGGAGAACCCATGCACGCTCGATATTGCCTCCCCAAACCATATTGGGGGCAGAACAGGCAAAAGGAGAACTCATGTGTACCACATCACATTCGAATTGTAATCCTTACTTTTCTTAATAGCACCTAAATTTTTATTCATTGTGCTTATCAAGTCATCGAAATTACCGATCAATAGCTGATAATGACGAACCCTTTACACAACTTGTATAAAGGAAGTGATGTGTAACATCAAATTACTCTTCACACAACTTGTATAATGTGGTAGCATCAATTTAACCAAAAAGGAGACAAAATGCACAAAATAGTGTGAAGTATAAACCATTTAATAATTTTATATTTTGGTGGATTTATTCCAAAGTAAGAGGTAGCTAGGGAGGAGGGAGCGGTGTGGCACATATGCTCCTCCAAGTTATAGTCCAAAAGTAATTCCATTTTGCAGCAACCAATCCTCCCATCTCTTCTTCCTTCCTTTACACATTTGAGTCTGCAATATATATACTCATAACACACAACTGAAAATTCTCCCTTCCTCCAACCAAATAAGTCACAACCCCCATTTCCCCCCATCTTCCACAACCCCATCTCAGTTCCATGACGGGAAATTCCCATCACGCCGGCGGCTGAGCAAGAAAACAGAGTGACTGAGTGAGCGAGAGAGAGTTTTGGTTGTGCCAAAGAACTAATGGAAGGCAGTAGTAGTAACAGTGCAGTAGGGAGAGCACTAATGAATAACAATGAGAGCCAAAGGCATCACCTTTTTCCTCAATCATCTCCATTGGCTTCTCCGACCGGCAATTTCAGCAATACGAACGGCAGCGGCCACCAAATCCCCAGATCTGATTATCACCACCACCACCACCACCACCATATGAATCCTTACCCAACAACCTTCGTTCAGGCAAACACCTCAACTTTCAAGCAAGTTGTCCAAATTCTCACTGGATCAGCCGACACGGCCAAACAAGCCTCCTCCCCAAGACCCCAAGATCCTCCTCCACCGCCGTCGATGAGGGGCAGCACAAATTTCCCCATTCCTCCGATCAGAAGCATACCCAACAAGAAACAGCAGCAGCAGCAGCAGCAACAGCTCTACGAGAGGAGGAGCAACAGCTTCAAGCACCGCAGCCTGATGATCAACACTCTGCTTCCGGCCGCCGGCCGTTTCACCTTCAATTCCAATCTCATCTCGTCTTCTTCCCCCTCCTCCGCCTCCGCCGCTGCGGAGATCTTGTCGCCGAGTATGCTGGACTTCCCCAAGCTGACTCTGAGCCCGGTGACTCCGTTGAATCAAGACCCATTCTTCCACAACCACAACAGCTCCTCCTCCTCCCCCTGCCCTTCGTCGGCGGGGAACTGCAGTAGCAGCAGCAGCTCGTCGTCGCCATTGGAGGAGGAGGACCGAGCGATCGCGGAGAAGGGGTTTTACTTGCATCCGTCGCCGTTGTCGACGCCGAGAGAATCGGAGCCGCAGCTGCTGACGCTGTTCCCTTTGACGTCGCCAAGGGCAGCGGAATCGCAGCCTCCGGAGCCCTGAATTTTCTTTTACATTTTGTGATTCTCTTAAATGGGTTATGGACTTATGGTTATGGTAATGGTTTTGATTTTTGAGGGAGAGATTAAAGATGTGTTCTTTATTTGTTTGTTTGCTTGCCTGTAGCATTTGATGATTGATCTATTCTATCTCTCACTCTGTTTCTCATAATATTATTATCACCAATTATTAAGCCTCGGTTCCTTCATGTTCCTCCTGATATGATAATTTTTTAAGAAACAATACTATCGCAACCTATTCAAACGGCTACAAGATTTCCTTCTTCTGAAAACGCTTGAACTAAAAGGCGGATCAAACTACAAGTTTAGTAAGATTTCATATAACGTGGATTGAACGAAAGCTCAATAATGGTTTACCATAGAAGAGATTGGACAAGGAAAAGAGAAGAAAAAATTGATACAAGAAATGAGAAGAAGGGCGGGGAATCGCTACAGACACAAGACTGACAGACACATTTTTTGACTTTTAAGTCTGACTTCTGCACCCATTTTTTCCTGACCCTGTCTATGGTTTCAGTCTGCAATTAGCTTGCCGACCAGGCAATTACTACTACCACGACTACAAGCTTGTTTCCACAATGAGAACAAAACAACTGACGCAGAGGTTGTCCTCGACCTACATTCTGATCTAATAATAAGATTTGCCGTTCAAGAAACCTCGAGTTGAGGGGTGACAGCATTAACAACATTTGAAGATCAAACCAACTAGGTAGAGTCTAGAGATGACAATTTTATCCGTTATTGTTGTTACTCAGCTCTTCTATACCGTAACAACATTGAGAATTGCTGTGCTGATTAAGTGAGACCAGCATGAGAGAGTGCTCCGAAAATGATAAGGATGGGACGGAAATGGATTTAGCTACCTTCGTCTCGTCAATCTCTGTAGCTACTTTTATTTTAACAATCTCACATGGAAACAGACCTTAAAGTCGTAAGATTTCGTTTGTACAATAGTTACCCGGGGCTGGTAGTGTTTTACTTAGGTGATACAACAAAAGCAGGTTGATGCCAGTTCTAGGCAAACACAGGATATTAGATCATACAATGCAGAGCAGCACATTATGGAATATATTTGTCATATTTCCAGAAACGATTTGATGGTCTTGAACCCATGATTCTCAGGCAAAGGCGCATTCCCTGGCCGAACAGAGATCATCACCTTCAGACCTGATTGATCATCAATGTGCATTTTGTCAGTAGGATTCACCACTTCCGATCGTCTCAGGAAGAAAGAAAATTTGAATGTACATTCAAGTCATGCAGAAATTCTGCCAAGAAATTGACATTCACGATCCGAATTGCTAATCCAAATTTTTGTGACTGCTTATGTACCAATTGACCCCTAGTACGACGAAGAAAGAAGGCACGCTAAGGCCTGCAGTTTGAGTCAGTAAAAGAGACAATTGTGTTACCTGCTGCTTTAGCTGCTACTGCTTCTTGAACAACGTCCGTCAAGAACAAGATTTCAGACGGGCTATCTACTCCCAACGATTCCGAAATCTGAACGTAACTGCTTGTCTCCCTCTTGTTCCTGCAGAGCCAACGGAAATAACAAGCGTAAGGTTGTTCCTTGTACTGCAAGGTGTCATGCAGAGTTGAAAATATGCCGAGCTTACCCAATATTGGTGTCGAAAAACCCAGACAAATATTTCCTCAAATCACCAGACTTTGTGTTCCCGAATACAAGTCTCTGTGCCAACCTGCTGCCGCTGGAATATATATATACCTGAGACATAGAACAGGGTAGATTACTACATTGGGACGTTATTCCGTACCTCAATCAACTGTTAATATAGAAAGTTACTACGATTGAAACATGAGATATCTAGGTCAATAAGGCTCTGATAACATAAAGCAAGAGAGGTCCAAAATAGATGTCATGCTGTCATGCAAACAACTTAATTGTTTGGTAGTACTGAAGAAACAACGCTACTCAAGAAAATGTTACCTTTATGCCCAAGGCATGCCAGCTCTGCAATGCTTCAGGTACATCATTGTAAAACTCTCCTTTCAATTCATTGTTCTGAAAGCCAGTACTCCATATGTGCCCCTGCATGAATGAACGATTTCTCATCAACCTTTAGAGGACATATGATTGATTCGAGTTAAGCAGAAGATCCAACCTCCTGTGCACGAGAAAACATACTTGTAATTGTTTCAAGGCAGTAATCTTGCGATCTGCTCTTATCATTGCCTCTACGTTAGCAACCAGTGCTGCAATCACTGCATCCTTTCCAGCACCATCTGGTGGAATGGGTACAGCGCCATCAATGCCATGTGCCAAGTCATCTTCAACCTGTTAACACGTAGCAAGGAAATAAATTGAAGGACAAGAATGCCCTACTAAGAGTCATCTTTCAATTTTCATAAGGAAACCAACAGATACTTTTTACCAAGTCTACCCTATGCAAGAGATGGCAACATAAGCAACATGCATTAGATTAACAAAAAGAGACTTCATAAAATTACCTGAGATCGCAACAACTTTATATCCTCTTGAGTATCCTCAGTCTCGTATGTTGCTGACAGATGCTTTCCCACATTGTCACGGGCATAAGGAAAAAGGACATCAGCAACAAACGTTATAGGTGTGGTAGTCCCTTCAATGTCCAGGAGGATGCAGCACTGAAAAATACAGTTATAGATATATTTCACAGAGCTTCCGAAGTAGTGATGCCCAAGAAAGCCTTATTGTACACCTTTCCAAGATCAAGACATATATACCATATCAAAATAGATGCTTGAACTAACTCTATCATGCACAAAAGAGCTTACAGGAAATGGCTCACTATTGTGACTTGAATCCTTCAATCCTGCCTTCACTGGCGCACTTATAGCTCCTCTGGCCTGCTGGATCGGACCATGGCTTGGGGTAGACCAGTCCAGGCCCATTTGATGAAGTTTGATTGCAGCGTCGAAGAGATAATGATAACATTCAGACTGCAAAAAAAATTCACAGTCCATAATAGAACAAATGAATGAGTGTAGGAACACAATAAAGTACCAAACTCCAGAACATAACTGCTATCCATCTACCAACTGTTAATTTATGCGAATATTAGAAGTACAAGATATTGTACGGCCAATATTAGTATGAACAAAACATTAGATAAAAGATCATCCCCGAAAAATTTCAAACCATACAGTGTGTTGCACAAACCTGAGTTTTGGCGCTAATCCATGTGTCCCCCCATACATATATTCCATGGTTGCGAACTAGCACAGCAGTTGTCTTTGGGTATGCTTCTATCTAGCAGTTGAGAACAAACTGTTAGCCCAAGGATATATCTGCGGAAGACATAAAACTAACATTTCAAACAAAATTATCAGAAAGAAAACATTAGATATGGTTGTTGGGCATATATCAGTTATCCTACACTAAAACAATGATCAAACAAGAACTCGAATTTATGCCAATTATAGTAAACACTAAGCATTCAGTACACGAGTGAGAGACCATGACCAAGGAGACTGCATCTAAATAACACAAACAGTCACCCACAAGAAAAGCATACAACTTAAACAGAAAATGACAAGTCTCTGCACATTATACCAGCCATTCAAAGACTGACTATAGTGTTTAAGTAGGGTCAGCTAGTGTGACGCATAAAGATTAATATGTGCATGCTAGAATCACTTAACAGATAGTACAATATTTAACTGGTAAGAGCAAAGTGGAGTAAGAGAATTGCAAATAACAGATATTTACAGCTTTCGTAAGAGATTCTGTCAGCTCGTTCTCATAGGCTGTATTCTCTATTATTGGAACAACAAGTTCATCATAATATCCATGACCCTTAATCCCTTTTATCATCTCCATGTGAGTAATCTGTAAGCAAACAAAACACAGAGTAGAGTCATCTGAATATAAAATGCTGCGAAATATTAATGATTGATCTGATCCAAGACATAATTCCGTCAAAAATTGTGCTCACAAGATTGTGAAAATACACTTCAAAACGATCTCTAAATGACATGCTATTAACACAAAAAAGAAGAAAAAAAGTTCATATGGATGGTCATAGCTACAGCTTAATTCTCTGATGCCCTAGCTGCAATAAAAGTGAAAGCTATTTTTCAAACTTGAGGGAGAGAATAATTTCGAAGGGAAGATCTCCCCTCAAGTTTCAAGTGTTCTTATTCCTATTCTGTATGGTAATAATTTCTTATTCCACTGCATGGTAATAATACCTTCCACAACAGTATCTCTGTATTTTATGTCCACAACACATTTCACAGATGGGCTAGTGGCTAGTTCAGTTGGAAATGCATAAGGAGCTTAGGGGGAAAGGAGAAATCTTCAAAAGCAAATATAAGAAGAATTTTAGAACTTGTTAATTATTAGTACTTAGTAGACAACATGGAAACAATTACCCTGAATTCTTTTGCCGATGGATTGAGCATTGTCACCAGGCAAGACTCCATTCCATGACTGTGAATGACGGCTCCAGCATCACGCATCTCATATGCCTACATCGCAGCAAAGAGAATCATCAGCACCAACACACAGTAGCAAGATGGGTACCCTAACTTAAACTGAAACAGATCAAGTAACTAAGCCATACTAGAGCAAGTAACTACATCTTCAATACAAGACCAAATGTAAAATCAAATTGGTACATTTTCTATGCAGAACAGGAAAACCTCCTGACCTTCATAAATAAAGGAGCACAATCAGAACACTTGGGAGGCTTGTGAGGGTAAGGCTTCGGTGATGGTGCATACAATATCGAACCATTTCCTGACATGACATACATATCCTCTGCTTCCATTCTCTCCTTCTGAACACCTGCCAAACCACAATCCTAAAATCAATCGAATATGATCAAGGCTAGTGTAATTGGCAATGCATATCTCTCCAAAACACAGGAACGGAAACTGAGAATCAGATTAGGAAGTAGCATTTAACAATCCAAAATGACCCGGAAGATTCAAAATTGTGCCCTAGTAACAGTTGGTAATCAAGGAACGTAAATGAATATCTGTTGCCCACACCAGTCGAAGTTAAGCTCAGATTACAAATCTAACAACCGCAAATCCATATCCGTTGCCACAGCAGTAAAAGTGAAGCCCAGATTACAGATACCAGTGAAAATAATCCACAAAATCAGAGGAAAACAAACTAAATCAAGACTCTTGATGAGGAATTTTACCAGAGGGAGACATGAGGATGAGCTGCTGCGGTTTGGGGATGCAATCATCGTGGACCTTGATGGTGATGCTGCCCCCGGTGCCGGAAACCCAGCCGAGGCTGTAGAATTGGCGGCAGAGATCAGCGACCAACGCCCTCGTTTCCTTAACAGCATTCCCCTCCATGTAAGCCTGTGAAGCCAAGCTCACTCCGCTTCCATTCACCGCCGCCATCGATTCTCCCTTTGCAACTCCACAGTGAGGTATGGCGTTTGTGGTACGCAGATAGAATCTAGACAGTGGCGTGCGCGAGGCTGGAAGGAAGGCTGCGGCGACTTGCGGCAAATAGCGAATTTGATTTCTGTCTGTGTGCATTAATTTCTCTAATATTAATTAATTAATTAATTGATTAAAGTCTGGAGTTGGTGACTGAATATTTTGAAGAACCTGATTGGTCAACGTATACAGTACTGGTTTTCGTGCTTTGACTGCAGCTATATGTGTTGTGGACCCAAGGCCCATGAAGGAAACAAAGACAAAAGTCACTTGGGTTTGTGAAAAAGCCCACAGAAAATGAAATACAAGCTGAATCAAAGCCCACAAAATCAAACCAAACGGATTGATCGCGTCGGACCGGATTTTAGTGCCGGCTGAGTCCATTCCGACCGGGCGATATAAATTGAGAGGAGCCGAAGAAGTTCCGTTCCGAGCTGGAGCTTTTACTGCTCAGTCCTCGCCTGTTCTTCTCTTCACGGCTGCGTCTTATCTTTAGCCGGAGCAATGTCCAGAGGGCCGGGCCGTCTGATTGATAACGTGAAGAAGTTTGCCGACACGCAGTACAAAGATTTCACAGCTCGGTATGGCGACCAATTGGTGGACGTTTTCGAGTTCCCCATTAAGCTTGTGCTGTCCCCTTTCACCCTCGCCTTTGACATCGTTGGCTCCGCTCCCCGAGGGTTCGGCGTCCCTGAACTCATCTCCAAGCTCTCGTATGCTTCCGTCTTCGTAAGTTGTCCATTTTCCCTGCCGTGACTGGAACATCAGCAGGATTCTTTTATTCTCCTGTAAATTCTGTTTAGCTGGAAATGGGTTTTACAGTAAATGATTCAGCTTGCTTTGGGTTGCTTGAAAGTCGTGTGCTTTGCCACAAGAAAATTTTATGGCCTCTTGGTGTTTTATGCGTAAGAATTTGAAACCTTGTGTCTGAGTTTGCAGTCTTAAATATTCTACTGGTTTTCCAAAATTAATGTGGTGATACTTATATCTAGATTATGGAGGCAGCTTCTTCTTCAAACTGAAAGTGGGAATTTTGTATTGGAGTTGTAGAATGGATAATAGATTAATAGTAGCTGATTTGATATTTCATCCTGTTCAGTGAAATTGCATTTCAGCGGGTTCTATTTCTATGTCGGTGAGGTTACTGTTGTCTTCTGGAATTGCAATGACAACTACTCAGGTTGTTTGATGCATTTCTGGAATTGAAGTCGCGGGGTTCTCGATCATTTGACCAAGTGACCACACATAGTTGTAGTTTCCAATGTGCTACATGGCTTCTTCTGCATTTCGTTCTATGGAAGCTGATAAATGGCCTATTAGGCTGGGCTTCAATGCTAAATGATTCTCTCGTTTTCTTGATTGCAGGCTGTGGCTACACTTGGGACGTATGATATTGCTTTGGAGTTGGGAAAGAAGGTTATCTGTCAGAGGTGCTGATTCTTGCTTTCAGCCTGCTGTTTGCTGTCATCTATTCTGGTGGATTATAAATTTGTTCCCCTAATGTATTGGTAGAATTGAATGGAATGCGGAATCATGAAATCCAGGAACTGTCGAACTTGCAATGGTTGGCAGGCATTGCGGTGTACCATGTGTAGAGGATCAGGATGTGTGCAGTACCAAGTGAGAAATTACTCCTTGAGAAGGTATATACTTCTGCTGAGCTAACCCAAATAAAGATCTGATGTTCCCTCGGCTACAAATTATGGCGGGTGCAAAGCCTCAAAGGGTGAAACCAGACTGAGAAAGTGGTCTGATTGTGCCTTCGACATTGGAATTTATGTAAATCTGGTCTTATGGACTTTGATAATGTTATTTATATGTTTGTTGTATTTTATGCAGAGGGGAGAAGCCCACTGCTGAATGTGTTGCAGATGCAATTTCTGAAAATCGAGCTGAAGTAATGCATTTTCCAGCTGCCATGAATTCTGATGTGCCTTTGCCATCTAAAGACTGCCCAGACTGTGATGGGACGGTGGGCCTCATCTTTGCACACCTTTCACTGATTTTAATATCTTCAATGTGTGCGCACACTGATAGAATGGATGCCCAGGCTTATTGGCCATTTCGCATCTCACAAATATTAGTTAATTTGTTAATCATTATCCAGTGGATTTTTCATTAGGTACTTAGATTAGTGATACTGAACTTGGCATCCTTGCTGAGTTTTTTTACGTCTGTTGAAGTGTCTGTTGTAACCGTTGGATTACTGATGTTCCAGGGTGTAATGGGGTGTCCTGAATGCAAAGATAAATTACAAGTCAGGATCTCTGCTGATGATGTGAGAAATTTTGGATTGCTTGTTCTTTATGTATCTCTTTGGTTTATCTACAAATCGGGGAAAACAAAACCCCTTGATGATAGTTCTAGTATCTGTTCCACAGATTATGGAGCCACCATGGAAAGCATATAATGTTCTGGGCAAGATGGACTATCCTTATGAGGTTAGTATAGATTTCTTGTCCTGGATCAATATGTTAATAGCTGCTATAATTTGGAACTTTTCCACCTGGTTTGTTATATTCAATAGTCACCCTTTGGTTCACCGAAAGGATGGCTGACTTGGTACTTTCCCAATAACAGTTTGATTCTGTGTTGAAATTTTAGTTAATGCTTTACTCATGCTCGAAATGCTCACTGGTTGTGCTCGTTGGGAAGCCCTCCCTCCCCGTGTTTGGTGCTCACATATAACTACAACAAATACTGTATAAGGCTTCTTGACACTATATATTGGTCTTCCACAACCTGATTTTTGCTCATTTTTTGTTTCAGCATATCCGTGACAGCATGAAAGATCCTAGTATTGCTGCTTTTTGGTTGTTTACCTTCCCCCAGGTCGTGGGTGGGTTGAATTATGATGATGACATCAAAAGGAAAATTTGGTGGCAGTACGAGGTTTAAAGACCTACTCTCTCTAATCAATTTAGTCTGTTTGCTACTAAGTTTCTGCCCTAATTTCCAAAAGCGTGATATAGACTTTATGAATTTATTACCCTTGGCTGTAGGAATCATTTAAATATGATAAATTACGGGATATCGTGGCTAAGCGAGCTCCTGGCTGGGAATTATTACAGGAAGTAAGACATATCTAGTCTCATTTGTTCTTGTACTAGTCATTGACATTTAAGCTTGATGCTTACATATTTCATTTCACCTTCTCTGAAAATGTCAATAAGGCTAGAATTGTAGAGACAGTTTGAATGCACTCGCTGAAATTCACATATGGTTTATTTTTCCACCCAAAGTTTATTTGTCTCCTCATTACCTATCTTTCACAGGCCTTGATCACGATAGACCCTATTCGTGCCAGGGAAGATCCAGTTATTGTGAAAAATCTTCCACACTACAGGGCCAAGAAGGCATTGGAGGCAGAGGTCATGAGACTTGATCCACCACCACGGCCAGAAAAGTGGGGAGTGAGTTACTTGCTGTCTTATACTCTCTCTACTCAATTAAAGATGTCCTGAAATTGAGATGAGATTATTCGTATGGCAATAAACCATGTGTCTCATTAACTCGTGTTGCTTCGACTCGTGTATCAGGAGCTGGACCTTCCTCTGAATTCTTCATCCTGGAGTGTGGAAGATCTAAAAAAGCCAGAAAAGTTCTATGAGATGACCGTTCTTCTTAATGCACAAAGAGAAATGTCTGATAAAATGTTGGATGCACAATGGGAAGCTAAATGGCGTCAGGAAAAGGTCGGCAAATCTTTCATCAGCATGACGCAGAGCCTCAATGGCCTGGTTTAATGGGAATAGACTAAACTTTCAAATTGCTTCTCAATCTTTTACTTCTAGATGTCATTGTTATCATTTTAGTAATGAAACTCTCAATGACAGAACCTTTTTATGTGAATAGGATCAGCATTACTTGCTCTTTGCTTGATATGTAGATGGGGAATTGACTAATCTGTACCACCATTGCAGTTGAACCAAATGTTGGAGGAGAAGGTGCAGCCATACCTCAAGGATGCCGACAACGGCATTCTCTCGCAACCAATCATCTTACAACCACAAAATCAGCAGAAAGAGGTCTCACCTTTAGTCCTCTACTTTCATTGTGCAGAAAATGCATCGACTTAAAAAGTTGCCTAGGCCGTAATGTGCTCTGCGGTCATATTATCCCCCCTGAAAGTGCATCATAATGTTTGGTTCTTTGGTTGCAGAGGAAGAGGCGAAAGAAATGGTGGATTTTCTGAGTTAACGTGTTGTTCGTACGTAAATGGTGTTCTTATGGAGCCAATGACACAAGAAACCAATGCAGCATATGCTTCTTCCTGATCCAGTGTCTGCATCTAGCTCCTGCAGGTAGAGATAACTTCCTTGCAGCATGCGAAATCAATGGCCAATCGTTGTAATGGTCGACCAGTTACGCTGATGTAAAGAAAGACATTGTGAGGAGAAAGTGGTATATCTGTGTAACACTCAATGCATCGAGCAAGTGTGTTACTACAACACAATTTTGTTTGATCTGTATCGCTGTCACAAGTACGTGGTTGTTCTAGTCTACATGAATATTTGACGAATTCATAAAAAGTTAGCCGATAAGTGTATAACATGAACACCCCACCAAGGTGCTTACTCTGGATGGTGACTGCGACTAGAACGTAGCCGCAACTCTGCAAGCCATCATAAACCTCCAACTGCACCTTTACCACAGCAAATATCAATACACCCCACGAATTTGCGGTGAAATGCTGTAAAGTACCCGTTAATTGTGACATTTTACAAATGGATCCTATCCTTTCTTTCTTCTGTCTGTCTTCCCCAGACAAACATACATGGGAAAATTCCGAAAAACACCAGACCGAGTCACAAGGAATACTCTATCAGTTTGTTTGGTCTTTTGTTTCAGAATACCACAGTCTAAAATTGGCTTTGAAGCTGAATTCAATCACCACCTCACAAAAAACAAAAAAAACAATCAAAATTTCATCCCCCGCCATGCATGCAAATCACGTCCACGTATCAATCACCAAGTGAAGCACACAAATTAAGCCAAAGAACAACCTCACTCCCCCCTTATATCCCTATCCCATCAACAATAGCAACAAACAAAAAAAAATCATCAACCAACAGAAACAAACCAGACACGAACATCTCTGTTTCGTTCACAGATCGAATTGTACCGAATCGATATGCTTCCGAAACTGCTCCTAGCCGCCGTGGCACTTGTGGTGATGCTGGTGGGGACGGCGGAGGCACAGACAGGGAAAGCAGCAGAGAGCCGGATGGCGGCGAGTCTGGAAGAACAAGTGGGGGTGGCCGGAATAAAGAAGATGGCGGAGGAGTTCATCCAGCCGGCGGCGGGCCGAATCTTCAGGAGGAAGCTCCAGCAGAGGGATCGGTACATTACGTACCAAGCGCTGAGGGCGAACAGCATTCCCTGCGGGTGGAAAGGGAACTCCTACTACGACTGCAGCTACCGCATCCGGGCTAACCCCTACACCCGAGGTTGCACCGAAGCCACCCGCTGCTTCCGATACACCCATTGATCAACTGCTCTTTTTTTTTTCTTTTCTTCTTCTTCTTCTTCTTCTTCTTCTTCTTCTTCTTCTTCTTCTTTAATTTGATTAATTAATAATTTGTTTATTAGATTGATTGGATTCTGTCGCGGCGTAGTTTGTAATGCTTTTTTTTATGTTTGATTAGGGTAATAATAAATTGCTTGCTTTTTCCAGCTGGATCCCTTTTTTTCCCTCTAAATCAAGTCGATTTCCCTATATCCTTCCTCTTTTACACCAGTAATTTCTTTGTTTTTAACTAAATGAGAATGATGATGATCCTATTTATCATGCAATTGTGATTGTTGCTTTTCATTCTAGTACAAAGCTGCAGCATTTGAATGGGGTAAGGTTTGATGAAATTAACAATGTGAAAAAGAAATTCCAACATGATATTTCTTCAAGCCAATTCATTACTATACGCTCTGATAAGTAAGTAGTGCCGTCTATCACTTTTTCCCGTCGATATCAAGTGACAGAGAAGGAAAGAATGTTCAAAGTATGCAACGAAAAAAATTCATATATAGTTGTACATATTATCACTTCAAAAGACGAAAAAATAAAAAGAAGAAAAAACTTACCTCACTGTGTCGATTAACAATTGTTTAACATATGTTATTCTGATGAGATCGGATTGTAAGTGATTGTAGATAAGATCTCCAATCTGGTCGTAGTTGAGCAAGGAAGTACTAGCTAGGCAATGCATAAGGGGAATATTCCCCATATAATAATATAAGTAAAGTAGTTCCTCTCCTTTTCCAAGGGAAAGGAAATCACCATGATGCATGAGATGGTTGTCACGCCGGCCGGCGTGTCACCGGTTGTACCGGGTTCAACCGGTACCGGTCATAAAACCGGCGTGACATTATCGGTATGACCGGCATGATCGATATACGAATCTCTAAGTAAAATGACTTTATTTTAGAGAATTTAATTGATAAAAATTATTTTATTATTTGTTTTATGAGTATAAAAGTTAAATATTGATGTTATTTGTTGGATTCAAGTATAAATGCTTAGGTATTGACGTTAAATGTCATGTTTAAATATGAGTATTTATAATTTTATTTGTAATATTGACCGGCATGAACCGGCACAAACCGGTATGTGCCACCGGTTGAACCATTCCATTTGCTAAACCGGCACACTGACATAAACTGGTTTGACAACCTTTGAGACATGTCCAATTCAAAAGCGAACCAGCTTTACCACCATCATCGAAATGCATTAATTAATTAACATGTGTAGAATAATGAAGGGGGCATATCGTTGTTCGCTAGCTGTTGCTTTTGATGCATAATGAACCGCAATGATGCAGCCAAGTTGCAGCTACAAAGATGTCGAGAAAGCTAGCTCGAGAGGCGCCATTGGCTACGTTACGTTGGAGATGATTAATTAAGATTCGGTTAATTTGTATTTGGAACTTGGAGCGAGCTTTATCGATGATGATCTCTAGCTCTAAGCATCATTACGAACGCAACGGCAACATTCAGCAGGCTGGCTCCCCCGGCCCGGCCGGCCAAGTTTGTATAATGATGATGACAATTGTTTGCCGGGAAGAGATAATTAATTAATGTAGTCAATAATAGATTTTGGGATATGTCTGTCTCCTTTGAAAGGCAAACCTAGGGTCAGTTTGTGATGATAATTAACTAATTCAACTAATACTTCACATCTTCTTTTTTTGTTTCTCAAAGCTATCAACATCCTACTTCCTATGGAAGAAAGAAAGAAAATGGATCATTACTTCCACATTGAGAATTGGTTCTCTTCTCAAATGCTGGAGCCATAACTTTATAGGAGAAAAAATGGATCATTATTACCATCTTGTTTGATTGGAGAAGAGAGTGGGAGAAAATCCAAATCCATCATATATAGGTATTAAACTTCTATAACATCCTATGTTTCTAAGTGATGGAAATTTTGTATAATATATAGTAACTTTATTTATTGGTATATTTCTGTATGTAGTTTCAAATTTCCCAAAAAGGAATTCTTCTCGTCAAACCCATTTTCTCCTCATCACAAATTCAATCTATATACCATAACCATGATTATATACTAACAAAAAAAAACTACCATAACCAATAGAACAAACAAAAAAATCAACCTAAATTTGAGAGATTTCGCATTGATTTACTTGGCCTTTTTACATACCCCACAGAAAAAGAAGAAAAAAAAAATCAAGGCAATAATATAGAACTAGCTAGGACGAATACTTTTCCAGAAAGTAGTTCATCATCATCGACATAAAAAAAAAAAGGAAGAAAAGGGCAGAATCGAAACACTCTCCCTTGCAAGTCCTATCAGCAGAGGGCCCCAATTTCCCGATCAAACCCACATATTAATTCATCCAACAAAATAGTGTACTAACTCTGTCGACACACACCGATTCGGACACGGCTTTTCCTCTATTAATTAACTTCCGTAGAAGAAAATTAGTATATTTAAATTAAGCATTTAAGTCTCTCAAAAATAAAATCCCATAATCATCAATAAATCTCTCCCTCCAATCTTTGCTCTCCAAGCATCACCCAAAGGACAATGACAGCCTTTCACAACACATCACACAAACATATGTATATGGTCTTAAATTTGGCTTCGGTCTAATAAATCTCATTTTAATTATCCGATTTGTTTCAAATCAATTTCATAAACGGTGAACTTCTTGATAATTGAATGATAATTTTTAGTGAGTTTAGGCTAAAATGTATAGTACACATGGTATTGATTAATTCATACCAACTCTTCTCTCTCCATATCACTAGATTTGCTAAGCTCATTAATTCCTCCATTCACCGCCCATTAAATTTCCTTTCCTTTCTTTCTTCCCTCCCCTTCAAATCCAGTCCTTCTATATATATCCCAATAATTCTCCCACCCAAACCCAACTCCAACCTCACCTTCCATTCCAATCTTTTATTCCCCATATCCTCTCGGGAAAACACAAAGAAAGAAGAGAAAATGGCTTCTTCTTCAAGCCATAGGATCATCAACCTTCTCTTAGCTTCTGTGGTGGCTGCTTCCTTCTTCCTCCCCTCCTCCATGGCCCTGAGCTTCGACGTCGGCGGTAAAGACGGTTGGGTGGTCAAGCCTTCCGAGTCCTACGATCACTGGGCTCAACGCCTCCGCTTCCAAGTCAACGACTCCCTCGGTAATCAATCACTCCATCCTCCTCCAACTACATCTTGCAACGAGAATTGAAACAGTTACTAATCTTTTTTTACCGCTAGGGTCGGGGTTAATTTTGATTTTTTACTGATGTATGGGGTAGCAGTGTTCAAGTACAAGGAAGGGTCAGACTCAGTGGTGCAAGTAAAGAAAGAGGATTACGACAGCTGCGACACCAGCAGGAAGCTGAAAGTCATGAAATCAGGAACCTCCGTCTTCAACTTCCCTCAATCTGGACCTTTCTACTTCATCAGCGGCAACAAGAAGCAGTGCCTCGCCGGCCAGAAGCTCATCGTAGTGGTCCTCGCCGTCCGATCTCCCCCGGCGATCCCCAAGACGCCAACAGCGCCGCCGTCCCCTGCCCCTGCTCTGCCTCCGACAGCATCCCAGCCGCCCAGCTCCGCCCCGGCAGGAACTCCCGATCTGGCCCCACAGCCGTCCGCCGGTTCTTCTCCTCCTGCCACCGCGCCATCGCAGGGTGATGCTGCTCCCGGTGGTTCTCCCGCCGGCGCTCCCTCGAACTCCCCTGCCACCGCGCCTTCACAGGGTACTGCTGCTCCCGGGATTTCCCCCGCCGGCGCCTCGATTTCGCCTGCCGGACAGCCGGGCAGTTCCCCTCCTGGGCCGTCGGGGTTGCCGGGCAGCGCTGACCAGACTTCTCCGCCGGAGGCGGCTAAGAATTCCTCTTCTTCATCGGCGGTGGCAGTGGCGGTCGCTTCGCCAGTTTTGGTGGCTGTCGGATTGGGATTCATTGCGATGTTCATCTGATCATACCTTTCCTATTGAGTTATTGTTAGATTAGAGTTAATTTGTTTTTCTTTTCATGGGGTGTTAAATTTGGATGTGATTATTGACGATGAGGTTTTATGGATATGTGGAACTTGTTCATCGGAGTCACATATATTTCATTTGATCGTGTTATCTCTTTAATACCTTCTCGTTTTTTTTTTTTTTTTTTTAAATTTCACCTTTGATTTTGAACTATCTCTAGACATTTGGTATTTGGCACTAGTGACAGAAGTTTGGTACGTGGTATATCAGTGAGTCCAACTCTGTGAAACTCATCAACAATTAGCAACGAATATATATGTACTTGAAAAAGCACGTCATTTAAGGCTTGAAAGTGCCTCACCAATTAATTCATTTGGCCAAACGCAGATGCCAGCTGTCATTGTATTTGTACCCCTTCATCGCTTTATGAATTGTGAGGGCTCATGAATGTGTTTTCCAAGTTGGATATCTATCAATCATTTTGATATATATCAGGGTACTTGTCTTTCGAGTCATTCACTTCACGAGCTAATGTGGCTTTTGAACCAACTTATGCTTTCTTTTCTTTCAATTCTCTGTTTTTTCATTGGATTTCTTATATATGTTCCACACAGACATTGTATTTATATATATATAGTGGCGTCTTCGGTGCACTCACTTTTTTGGGTGCATTCAGTACACTCGCTTTCTAACCGTCATTTTAAACATGTGATTTATGTCAAAATTATGTCAATCATCACTTATGATGTGATGAACAATAACACACATGAATTTGTACAAAAATCATTAAAGATTTGCTTTAATTTAAATATCACTTATGATGTGATGAACAATAACGCACATGAATTTGCACAAAAATCATTAAAGATTTGCTTTAATTTGAAGGATTTAGATTTTAGAGATTTAGGGTTAGGGTTAGGGTTTACAATTTGGGATTTAGGGATAGAACTCAAAATTGGAGATATAGGGCTTAGGGTAATCCGCTAATTAGTTGTTATCATATGTTATATCATCATATTACACTAATTCTACAAATTAAAATTCAAAATCCGACACCTTAACACTAATTTTTGAGTGGGTGCATTAAACGCACGCTTTTTTGTGAGTGCACCAAAGTATATATTCACTATATATATATTCCAGAATATAATAATACTATCCAGCCGCCACATACGTAAACAAAAGCATAAATACATACATACGAACCAAACAGAATTTTGTCGGCAAGTTGCTGAATGGATTGGATTTAAATATTAACGCAACGCAACTATGTGGAGAAGCCAAATGCATGCCACGTACAGTTACACTTGCACCAATTGACCCGCAGCTAGCTAGCTAGGTCGCTCTCTGTTTTCGTCCGGCGCCCTTTCTCCATCAAACCAAGTGCACTGCCAGAGTTTCTGCCACGTTTTTTTCTTTATTCATTACACAAACGACTTAGACCCTCGTTTCAACTACTTACTTGTGGTCTGTGGACAGATTATTATGCCAAGTCACATCTCAGTTCAAGCTTCAAATTACAGATATCTAATCTATCTATACACTTCACTAAACAGATATCATTGAATCTATACGTAACATCAATATAGATACTTGCACTAATGACGGATAATTAATGAATGGTTTATGTTATCATCCAATTCTTAATATGAACGCAAGATCATAAACCCATTGTCTCGAGAGTAAAAAAGACAACGCTTTTATTTTTTTTATATTTCGAAAACTATTGGAAAAGGTTGCTGAAATTATCGAAGCCCAGCAACTTTCTATTACGGTATCCGGCTAATAAACAATTATCTGTATTGGCCCAATACAATAACGAGGCCGGCCCGGCCCGGCTTGGATGTTTACTATGGACCTTACGACCCGTTTGCGCGGTGCGATCTTCTTCTATTCGAGGAGTTCCGCCATCCATTCCATTCCACCGCTGCCTACTCCTCTGTACTCCGATCTTCGTTCCGGCTGCCGCTAACAGTGACTGTGTTCTGATATCTGCTTCCTCTTTAGTTCTCCGCCGCAGACAGTGAATTGATCCTTTCAACTTCGTCGCAGAACCAAATAAGATCCCGGCTTCGCTTTCGCTGCCGCTACTCCCTACATTTCCAGTGGTGGGTTATCTCCAATCAATTCGTTTTTAATTTCCCTGGTTATCATTCTGCCCATCTAATAAATTTAGCAATTTTGGTTTCTGGGGTGGGTTCCGTTTAGCCCAATTTGTTGCATTTCGTTTTCATACAGAAAAAACTCTAATTGCATCTAGGGATGTGTATATGGTAGTGCAGTATAGCTATCCTGCTCACAGTGAAAGTAGAAGAGTGAGTGGCAGAAAGGCCAAGACTTTTCATGTGTGAGCTACCTTAAGGATAACTATTCTATCTCTGCCTCAACCGAATGCTTACTTTCTTCCCATTTCAAGTCAGGGAGTGTGATGCTATACAGTAGGGGAAAACTGGAATGTATCTTCCTAGAGTTCTGTCCCGTAGGCTTTGTTCATGCTCGTCATCCTATTCAACATCTTCATTCTCATGGATATCTCCACTGCAAGATGTCGATTCCATCAAAGACCCCCCACCACAAACTCATAACACTCTCCAGGAACGACAGAGAAGACGGCGTAGTAAATTCATATCTCATGACTCTGCCGTAACCTTAATCCAATCCGAGCGAGATCCCCAGCTTGCATTGGAAGTATTCAACAGGGTAGGTGAGCAAGATGGGTTCAATCACAATCATGCAACGTATTCCACTATACTGCACAAGCTCGCACGATCCAAGAAGTTTGATGCTGTCGATGCAGTTCTCCGTCAGATGACCTATGAGACGTGTGATTTCCATGAGAGCATGTTCCTCAATCTTATGAACCATTTCAACAAATCCATGTTGCATGATCGAGTGCTAGAGATGTTCTATGCGATTCAGAAGATTACTCGTGTTAAGCCCTCTCTCAAAGCTGTGAGCACCTGCCTTAATCTCTTGATTGAATCACAGCAGGTTGATCTGGCCAGAACTTTCCTTGTTAATGTGAAGAAGCATCTGGATTTGAAGCCGAATACTTGCATTTTCAATATCTTGGTTAAGCATCACTGTCGGGTTGGAGATCTTGAATCTGCTCATGAAGTGATGAAGGAGATGAAAATGTCGAAGCTTTCTTATCCCAACTTAGTCACCTACTCAACTCTCATGGATGGTCTTTGTCGGCTTGGCAGACTCAAAGAAGCAACAGATTTGTTCGAGGAGATGGTGTCGGAGCATCAGATTGTACCTGATGCTCTTACGTACAATGTATTGATAAACGGATTTGTTCAATCCGGAAAAGTTGATCGAGCCAGGAAAATTATGGAGTTCATGAAGAGCAATGGATGCACTCCAAACCTATTCAACTACTCGACCCTAATGAATGGGTTCTGCAAGGAAGGTAAAGTGACAGAAGCCAAAGAGGCTTTTCAGGAAATGAAGACTGTAGGATTAAGACCTGACACAGTTGGTTATACGACACTGATTAATTGCTTATGTAGAGGCGGAAAAACCGACGAAGCTCTGGGGTTACTTCAAGAGATGCAGGAAACACAGTGTAAAGCCGATGTTGTGACATATAATGTATTGCTGAGAGGGTTTTGTGAAGAAGGAAGGTTCGCTGATGCCCTAGGGATGCTAAAGAAGGCAACTTGTGAAGGGGTTTACTTGAACAAAGGGAGTTATAGGATTGTTTTGAACTGCTTGTTGAAGAGAGGTGAAGTGGAGGAAGCTGCTGTGTTCTTGGGTTTGATGCTTGATAAAGGATATTTGCCGCATTATGCGACTACAAACGAGTTGTTGGTGAAACTATGTGAGGAAGACAGGGCGTATGATGCAGAGATGGTGTTGTCAGGGCTGACGGAAGCTGGATTCAAACCTGGAACCGAGTCTTGGTGTTGTTTGGTCGAGTTGGTTTGCAGAGAGAGAAAATTGCTCGCTGCATTTGAGCTACTTGATGCACTGGCTGGAGGGTAAGTCTTTTTATTCTTCATTCTTTACAAACAATCAGAAATAAGAAGCAATGTAAGAACTCTGCTGGATAAGGTAGCTTGCACACTGACGACAGCTGTTTTAGCTATATGACTTGTAGGACAGTACTAGGCACTTTTCCATGTACATCAAATGTAGGTTCCAAAGATCAGAGAACTTGTTTGTGTAATGCTGTAAATGGCGATTATAGAGAGCAATAGGAAGTGGTGAGTGGTGGGAGAATCCTATGATCCCATCATTATAACATGGCGACCACCATCTTCGATAAAATAAAAACATGCCGACCACCACCCATTATTCAATTGGCAAGGATTGGCTTAGTTACGAAAGTGTTTGCTCTTCACGTCGCACATGACTTGGTTGCTGTCTATAAAAGGGCCCTCTTGTAGGGCATAATGATCACACCAAATCCAAACTCACCATTGTAGTTCTCTATCTTCCCTGAAGCTTCTCTTGTACTTTCCTATGGCTGCAACTCATTTCTCAATGGGTTCATTGGTCCTGGTCTCGGCCCTGTTATTAGTAGCCATTGCCGCTGCAGAAAACTACAACCCTGCTACTACTACTACTTCAGAGGGATCTGCTCCTGTAGTTAAGCCTGATGACAAACCAGCATACCACAATGGATACGTTTCCACTCCGGCGCTGGAGAAGCTGAAGTTGAGAATGCACCAGTACGAGCATGGCTGGAAGCCAGAAGAAGCTGACTACCAACCCAAATCAGGGAATGGATACGGTTCGAAATCAGAGATGGTGCATCCCGAGCCACGATCCAACGAGGTCAAGCCATCCATGCCGAAAGCAGAGAAGCCAAAGGTGAGCTCCGAGAAGAAGTCGTCGAACTATGGAGCGTATGGGCTGAAGCCGGAACATGGTTTCCCAATTGGCGTTGAAGGAGTTGTAGTGTGTAAATCAGGATCTGACTACCATCCCCTTCAAGGTACTTGAACCACGAGTAAATATTTAACAATCTGCAGACCATTTCTTCGTACTTTCTTTTGTTCTGTTCGTTTCTGAATTCTGACTGCGTTTGACATGCAGGAGCTGTGGTGAGAATAACTTGCTCGGGCGAGGAGGAAGAGCACAAGGTGTTGTGCTCAACTGACGAAAAGGGGTATTTCTTCAAGACGCTGCGGGCTTATGGTGGTAAACCGGAGCTATGCAAGGCATTCCTGGAGAAATCGGCGTCGGAGAAGTGCGGTGTGCCGACAGATGTGAACAAGGGCATCAATGGCGCCCCCCTGTCTTCGTACAAAATTCTCCATGACAAGCACGTCAAGCTTTACCCTATCGGCCCTTTCTTTTACTCCGGTGGTCAGCCCAATGGTCAGCAACAGCGACCGTCGAAATCTCCCGCCGGCTACTGATGCCCAGAATTTTATTTTCTTTATCTTTTGATCCCCCAAGAATTTTTTGATTCTTCAACAAATCTAATCTGTTATCATTTGTTCCTATGCTCTGTCTGCATGTATTTCATTGTATTGTTTTTCTCTGGTTCGAGAATCGACCATTTCGTTTGTTTTGTTACTCAACTTAATTGAATTGCTGCTGGTGTTTTAATCGGACTCTTTGGTGTACTCTGTTATACCTTCTTAACGCTCGCCTTACTGGTTTAATCACTCATATGGTTTCACAATCCATCGGTTTAACTGAAGGTACTAGAACTGGGATTAATGAATTGTAGATTAGGCTACAAATAAATTATAGTGACAAAAAATAACACAGACAAGCAGGAAAAGGAAAACAACTTTCTCATTTCCCTTCCCTCTCAATGTCAAAACCCAGAATCAGATCTCCATTAGCTGGCAACTGCAGCAGGGGCAGGGCAAGGAGTGTACCAGCCATGATGAACCTCGACAGCCTTTTTAGTCCTGGCAAGCCGTGATTTCCTGCGTGCTCCTGTGTTCCTGTGCAGCGTCCCGACTTTCACAGCTTTGTCGATCACCGAATAGGCTTCTGCAATTAGTTTCTCAACTGGAAGCACCTCCTCGGGTTGTGGCTCTTGTTTCTTCCTCAAATCATCTAGTGCTTCCAACACCTGCAGCAGCAGCATTCAGAGAGATAAGCAAATGCTTCATCACAATGATTCCTTTGCCCCCAGTTGAATCCCATGAAAACTTATGAGTGATGCCAGCTGCTATGAATTTGTTCCCTAACTAGCATCAGCTCTCTGTAGGATGATGGGGCACCATTGTCTAATCTTCAGGTCAGGTCAGGTCAGCAGATATCTTATAGAAATTGTAACAAGGATACTTGAAGACCAAGCACAAAAAATGAGTCATGAACGACCATGAGAAACTGCTTCAACTCGAACCATCTAGACCCTAGTATAAAATGGTTTCTTGGTTCCCAATCAATTGCGAAGTTCAATGCTACAAAATTTCCCAGGTATGGCTAGTTTCTATTCTACCCTGAATCTAAGCAATCGTTCACTTTATGTGGAAAGGTACAGAGAAGGGTTCACATAAGAAAAGGAATCCTACTAGGAAACCAGATAAAAGCTTGCTTCTAAATATAGCTTTATGTGCAGCCACTTGGCTTGCAGAGCTGCAAATATATGCTATTAAAACACACAGACAAATCAATGTATTTGAACGAATAAATATGAGGGGAAAATGCAGCGAATAACCACAGGCCCATAAAGGAAAAGAAAATGAAACAGAGAAGAAAACATTTTAACTTTTCAGCTACACGGAGTGCAGCTTGCAGCCAATAAAAGGAGTAAGGAGCTCAGATGCACCTTACTCAACCGTAGGGTGAGACCATATGAGATACTCTGAGAGCACTTCCATACCCAGGGTACCCCTGAAAAGTTATATAACTGTGCGGAACATGCTTTGGCAAGAAACTGAGTTAACCTACACCTACTCTCCCAAGGGGACATTTTTCAGTCCTAAGAACTGATGAAAACATCCAACCCATCCATCATTTGAACTTCAGGCCAGCATTCACTCCCATGTATCCGATGAAGCTATTTCACCAAGCTCAAAAACCCCTTAATCCATTTCTATGATGTAGCTAACCTGCAGCGCAAACTAGCACACATACCACTTTCCAGTCTGATGCATACCCATCTTCCTACACCTCAATTTTACTCCCCTTAATTCCAAAATGGAGATTGAGACATTGAAATCTAAGCCTAGATTCTATTCACCTATAATCTTAAGATAAAAAAAAAAAAACCAGCCCAACTGATAAGAAAATTTGGTATAATCCCATTCCGAGAAACCAAGTTGACAAAGGTGTAGCTTTTCATGTTACAAGCAATGTCACACACATGGACCTTATCTGAGTCTCGACTTCGATTCTGAAGCAATGTCACACACATGGAGGACATTCTACAGTCCAAAAACCCTGCTGCAGTATCTCATTCGACAAGAGCCTAAAATAAAATTTCCCAAAGTTCCAATCTTTGGAAGCACAGACTGTAGAGAATGAAGGGGGGAGAAGAAGAGCAGGATTACCCACCTTCCTCATCCGGGTTCTAACTTCAGACTTGCGCGCTTTATTGTAGACGCGTCTCTTCTCCGCTTGGCGAGCTCTCTTGACCGCCGAATCGGCCTTCCTGCCCGGCGCAGCCTCGCAAACAACTGAAGAACGGCGAACAGACCATTCTACTGGCCTCACGGACAGGCATCCTAAAACCCAACAACAAAACAGCTCAATCAAATCAAAACCCATGACGGAATCTAACCAAAGAAATTGCCCAAATCGCCAATTGGAGGAAAGATTACTTGCCTGTACTGAAGAGACTTGGATTATGCGAAACGGAAGAGGAGAAACTGATGGAGTTCGATTGAGATGGAAGAGAAGAAGAAGTGGCGGCGATGGAGAGGTTGTTTAGCCTGGAAGTAAGGGCGGAGCAGCAAGATAGAACAGTAGCTACCATGGCAATGGCTCACAGAGTCTGTTGTGCTCTAATGGTGTGGAAGATTGAATTATCGGAAAGGCTTTTCGCTTAGGAACTGTTTCCGCAATCTTTTTTTTTGCTTATCCACTGGCGAGGAGAAGATAGAGCCAGCACGGCATCCACGGCCGCCGTTAACGTTATTAACGGAGAAGGATGGGAACTGGAAAGGTGTTACTAACTGCCCAGTTAGGCGTAGACTACATACTCTGCACCCGTACAGATGCATTTCGGCCGTCGGATCATGCAAGGGACCAATGTGCGGTCTCGATGATTTCTTCAGTCTCCCAAAATGTGGCTTCCCATTAAGGTAACTTAGACCAACTTTAACCCATAAAGTTAAATTTGACTTCCCAAATAATTAAATATGACTATTTAGCTTCCTTTTTTAGCTGATATAGTATTTAATAGATAGAGAATTACAAGGAATTGAAAAGAAGATAGCGGAAATCAGTAAAATTTAGCTTCAATTTATTTCAATAAACCATATTTATTTGACTAGTTTTAGATTTTACTTTAATTTTTTTATTAGTAGTTATTACTTTTGAAAACAAAAACTTATATTTAATTTTTTTTATTACGAGACAAAAAAGTTTCTGAAAATTAGCCATTATTTTGGTACCGTTAACTTCAGAACCAATGAGAAAATACCAATTAAACATACAACATTTCATATCTTCTTTCAAATAATTAAACAAACACGTAAACAACATACACAATCAATTAATAACAAAATAACTCACAAAAAACAACCAATGAGAAAATCTCACAGCAAAAAGCAAAATATGAAACATAAAGGAAGTTTTGATATGACTCTTCCCAAATATTATTGGGTACAAAATTTAGCGTGAAAAATCAAGCGTACGAGAATAAATTTATTCGATCACAACATTCCTTATGGTATACAACTCAAGATGAAAGCCAAAATGGTCATCTGATTATCCACAAAGCCAACAAATAACAAGGCATCATATTACTGTGTTTATCAATGTCTTGAAGCTTGTTGAGGATAGGATTAGGAGTATAAGGATAATTTAGTTTTTTTGTTATGTTAGGTCAATTAGGATTTCGAGTCAGGGTTTATATAATATGCTTTAATTCTATTGTAAAATGAAAAACATAACATCGATAGAACTATCCCTCTCTCCCTAATAATATACTCTAAAAAGTAAAAACCCTAATTCCAAATTCTAACTCACTCAATTCTGTCTAATTCTTCTCTCAATCAATCTAAATCTCTTTGTTTACATTAACATTGGAGTCTAATCTAACTGCCTACAACAAATCCCTAATTCAAAGGACTGGTCACTGTAACTACCCATGGTAAAGTCTGAGTGACAGTAGTAAGTAGTAGTAGCGGTTCAAACAAGTGAGGGTAAAATACCACTAAAATTTGAGAATTGGGGCAGACATACCACTTAACTTTGAATAGGGCGTCGGGTACCATTAAAGTCACCAAAATGTGCATCCGTCTAGTTTTCCATCCAACCCAAAATTTTAATTACTTTTTGGTACCCAAAACTTTTAAAAACATCTAAAACTATATTTCAACAAGTTTTTATCTAATATAGAAATTAAAAAAACCTTCTAAACATAATATTACTGAAATGACTAATCAAAATTTTCAATAAAATAGATAAGTTAGTAAAACTATAAACAAATATCATGAAGAAGAATAAATATATAGAATATAATGATAAATATTTAAAATCAATATTAGAAGATCTATTTAAATCACTAATCCGATAAGAAGTACCATTAAAAATAGTTAAAATAGAACCTAATCGATCATCAATACATCAAGACCAAAGAAAGATATATGGAACATAGTCAGAAAGAATTAAACATATTACAGTAATTAAAGAAAATTTAGAACGAAAGTAACCAAAAAAATTATACAACATCCAGATGATGTATGAGAATTAAATATAACATCCTCATATTATTTATATCGATATAGAATTCATAGGATATATTTGCTTAAGCAAATCTTTCAATTATTATAACACATAATGGTAATTTAAAGTACTTATAATGATAATTGATTCTACATTTCCTATTCAAAAATTGGTTTGGTATCAAAATATATAAAAATAAAAAAGAGAATAATTCAGTTATATAAAACATAATGATAATTGAAAATACTTATAATGATAATTGATTTTAAATTTTCTATTCAAAAATTAATTTGGTATCAAGTTTTCAAAAGAAGATACCAATTAAATAATAAAAATTGATGTTTTTCATAAGTCAAAATGATTTTTTACAATAAGAAAAGTAGAATGACCAATTATGAAATTTAGAAAACTGAATATTCCAAGAATATTCTGTTAACTTTAACGGAATGCACTTAACATTAAACTTAAGTAGTACCGGGTGCACAAATAATAGAGTTTAGTGGTACCCGACGCCCTATTCAAACTTAAGTGGTATGCCTACCCCAATTCTGAAACTTAAGTGGTATCCGAGGTATTTTACCCCACAAAGGAAGAAAGCTCATTGGAGAGAGCTCATTGGAACAGAACAGGGAAGGCGGTAAAGGAAAACCCAGAAAGGAAGAAAGAAAGAAAACGAGGAAGTTGAGTTTCTATTTGCGTAGGATCCAAAGGGCAGCTTTCTAAGGTTGTGGGTTTGGATGTTTCTCTTTCAGCTCTTTATAAGTATCATGATGATTATCGTTATCCTGAGATCAGATATGCATCATCATCGCCATCATCAGCCTGATAGCCTGGCTGGGGAGCTAGCGAGAGAGAGAGAGAGAGAGAGAGAGAGAGAGAGCATCGTCGTCATGATCATCATGAGAAATGAAGATATGGCCATGGACTCCCAAGTCCCAAACCATCATCATCATTCAAGGGATCCCCAAACTGCTTATAATTACCACCCATATTTTGTTTGTGCAGGCACAGGCAGGAAGGACGAAGGAGGAGGTAGCGCGTGCTCTGCTGCCATGGCTATTTCTCCATGCACAAACAAAAACTACTCAATTCCCTCCATTGGACCCTACCTTGATTCACATTTCACAGCCAGAGACCAGAGTCCAAATTCCAACCAAACAAACCGGGCCAGGACAAACTTGTTTCCATTTGAGATACCCTGCTTTTATGAACTTCTGCATTAGTCAATTGTTCCTTTTTGTTGTATGTAATGCAAGCCCCGGCCGGCCGGAATCAGGCGGGTGGAAAAATCTTCTTTGCAATTGATGCATGCTAGCTAGGTCACATTTTGATTTGTCGATCACAACTCCTCTAGTTTAGTCCAATTCATAACTTCTGGTTCTCCCCGGTCACGTGGTAATCATAATACTTTTTTCCATAGGTTACATGTTTCAATCTCAGATATTTATAAGAAGGTTGACCCGATGAAATCAGTAGTGTTATAAAATCATTTGAATTTGATTTACGATAAGGCAGGAAATGATGATAAGATCAATTGCAAACACGAATATTGAAGGAAGAGCATGACCGTCGACAAATAGTATTTTTCTTTATTGATGTTTGTAAGTCGAGTTTAGCCTGTTGGCCCGATCCGACAAGTGGGTTGTGGGTCAATGGTCTGATTGTTTTGGTCCAATTTAGCTCGAATATATGAAAAATTCATTATATTGTTCGTACATTTTTGTACTGTATCAATCATCATACAACATATGGATAAATAACATATGACATTACACCAAAGCACCATTTCGTACTTGGATCCAATGTATAGTGAAAATTCAAAGACACACGCATACTATAAATATTCAAAGTTCAACTTAGAATTCCCAAGATAGGGTGAGGCGAATGGGAAACCCGAAAAAGAGTCGCATTTCGCAAACCAAAAGGAAAAACAACATCGTGTAACTGATATCCTTAACCTGGGAACCTTGCTAGGAGTCGACGACCCACAAGTGTGTGTCCCTCATTTTCCTCACCGTGTCAGGGGTCAACCTGTGGATTGATAACCTTGGTGCTATAGGGTGTGGACTTTTTGTTTGTTGGGGTTGTTTGGTTTAGTTGATAGTATAATACATAATTATTTTTAATTTATACTTTAATAATTCTACCATTGTTGTGTTGATGTGAAGAAAAATATCACTCAAAATAAGTGATAGTAATATATCTACTAAAAAAATTTGAGATTATTGAGAAAACATTGTTAGGTGCTTTATTTATTCCAACTATACCCCCAACTTTTTTATATGGTTTGTTATCTTACATTAAAAAGCAAAAGGTAAAACTTACATTTCTCTCCAAAAGTAACGTAATATTACACTTGTATTGTTTACAATGTATCAATTTAGCCATCACCATAATCAAACCACCCGTAAATGAGTATATCATATATGGTTAATTAAATCAATAAAAATAAACAGACTTTTGCTTATATTACTGTGTGAGTGAATTTTTTACTTCAACTGAGACTGACTAGTGAAGCAGCAGCCAGCCCAGCCTGCCTGCCAGCAGGATTGAGAAGAAGGCTGAGGAAGAAGAAGCAGAAGAAGAAAAAGGCAATAATAAGTAAAAACAAAAAACAATCTATTCTCTTCTCTCTCTCTGGTTCTGGTTCTGGTTCTGGCCTGGCCCTCTGCTGCACACTTCCTCACGCACGCACGCAAAAATCCTATCTCTCTCTCTCTGCTATCTGTGGCGTTGCAGTTGCACTCTTCTCCTCTCTTCTCTTTCTTTGTTGCTAAAACAAAACGCCACAGACAGCCTTTCATACATCACTCCCCTACTCCCTATACTTCCCCTGACCCACCTCGCTCCATTGGAAACCATGAAGATAAATTTTACCATTACCCAATAGAATTGCCAACAAGAAAAAGAAAAGGTGAAAAAATGAAAAAGGCTGTGGGAGGGAATAGGACAGAGCCGCTCGGTTCAGATTTCAGAATGCAGAAGAGGCCTCTGTTTCTCTTTCTCTCTGCCAGCAGATCCATATATCATATGATATGATATCCCCCACACACCACCACTCACCAGAAGAAGAAGCAGAAGCAGCAGATTTCATTTCAGAGATTTCTTTCTTTTCCCCCCCTTCCCTCAACCCAAGGGTTGATTGCATAATTACATGGTGAAGTCATACGATATATTGATAAATTTCAGGCACTTGAAGTTGAAATGACCAACCAAATAGTCATTTCGATCATCACTAACCATCATCAACAAGTGTTTCGTCTAAATCAGAATCTATGAGTACGTAGTAGACTCATTCGAACTAGAAATGGGGAAAGAAAAAGAAAAGTCACATACATTGAGAAGTGCAAAATAGACCCATCTCATGTTGCACATGATGAATCAAATGTTGGGGGTGAGTTGAGTTATGTTTGGGCAAGGAGAGTTGGTGCAAGACAACAACACATCTTGATATGAACTACAAAGAACAAATCCTATGGTATAAAATTTGACTTCTACACATAAGGACCACATGATACACTAGAGATGTACACACACTCTTATTCTAGAGTTGAAATATGGATATGATATATTGGGTAGGAGACTTGTTATAAATTCACACCTCCAAAACTGTCAAACCGATTTAAACCGTTGAACCAGTAAAGTAAATGGTTTGAAGATCATTGGCAAGATCAGGCATTGATCGATTTAAACCGTTAATACATAATATATACATATATGCGTGCTGTTTATATAGTAATAAATAATAACTTATAATTTTAATACCTTGAATGTAATTTTTAAAGTATCGTACAACGATTAACATCACTTCCCCATAACGGAGACTGGAAGAGAGTAAAAACGCAATATTTAAACCCGAAAAACCGATACATCAGTTCGGACCATTGAATTTTCTACGGTTTTAACCAACTAACGATTCGAACACATAATAACTCTACGATTCTATGAATCTTTTTCAGCACCGACTTCGATCGAGCCCGATCCAATTAACCAGCCATCTTGACTACACTTGACAACACTACTACCCCACCTTACACATGAATGCACTTTTTTCTTCTTCTTTTTTTCTCGTTAAATTTAAATCACCTTCCTTCCCTTCACTCTCCCCTCTTTTAAACATCCCATTCCCCTTCATTTCCTCCACTCCATCCATCCTATCCCTCTCATTTCCCTTCCTCCCCGCCTTCTTCCTTTCCCACCATGGATCCCCAGCTCCTTCTCGACTGCTTCCCTCACACCACCACCCACCGCTACAATGCTGCCGCCGACAACAACAACTACAACCCTAACTACACCACCACCACCGCCTCCAAGCAGCTCCTCCCACCAGGCTTCCGCTTCCACCCAACCGACGAGGAGCTCATCACCTACTACCTCCTCAAAAAGGTGATGGACTCCACCTTCTCCGGCCGCGCCATCGCCGAGGTCGACCTCAACAAGTGCGAGCCGTGGCACCTCCCGGAGAAGGCCAAGATGGGTGAAAAGGAGTGGTACTTCTTCAGCCTCCGCGACCGCAAGTACCCCACCGGCCTCCGCACCAACCGCGCCACCGAGGCCGGGTACTGGAAGGCCACGGGGAAAGACAGGGAGATCTACAGCACCAAAACCTCCGCCCTCGTCGGCATGAAGAAGACGCTCGTTTTCTACCGTGGTAGAGCTCCCAAGGGAGAGAAGAGCAACTGGGTTATGCACGAGTATCGCCTCGACGGCAAGTTCGCCTACCACTACCTCTCCCGCTCCTCCAAGGTCCCATATTTCTTCCTTCTAACTACGTGGTTTTCTGTGTTGTTTTGTTTTTTTTTTTTTGTCACTGCCAAACCGTGTTGTGTTTTCCTCACCTTACTTGCTCCATCCCAACAAGCAAACCAAAATTACCCACCCACAAAAAAATAAAATAAAAATGTACGTACGAATGGGTGCTATCTTGGCTTTACCGTTAGTTGCCAGGGGATCATCAATGCAATATTATTAGAGATTGGTGTGTTTATTTATTGGAAGCTATATATTATTGGTACATCTCCTTCTTCCTAGCTAGAGGAGTACTGAAAATAAGTGAGGGCGGCCGGCTTTTGATAGTTAATGATATGATGCTTCCATTCCATTATTGGGTTTCGAAAGTGATTACTCCTTCCTGGAAACTACGAACAACGTAAGTTCAGAGTCCAGAGGAAAAAACGATTTTATTTTCTTTCTTTCATAAGATCACAGCATTATTTCGCAGCAACATTTATGTTATGCTAGAGTACTAATAAGTGTACCATTTTCATGGGTTCAAAGGGCGGAAATGCAAAGCTATGAACTTTCATGTGTGGAAACTGGAAAAAAAGGGGAGATGACGAGATCAGATATGAGATCTCGGTGGTCCTTTGTTTTCGAAATAATTGCATATCCCATTTGCCATCGTCACCAATCATCATTATCTCTTTTACCCTAGCTAGCTATTACACTTCTTCCCATTGCCCTAGCTATCTATGTATAGGTTCTCCTGTGCTTTTTTTTTTGTTTTCATCTTCCTTGGCCTTTTCCTACTCTTTCTAATGATGTTTAACTCTCCTTTTTGATCGAATAGGACGAGTGGGTGATCTCCCGTGTGTTTCAGAAATCCGGCGTGGGTGCTGGCGGGAACGGCTGCACGGCGAGCAACAACAGCGCCGCCTCCTCCGCTAAGAAGCCGCGCTCCAGCGCGGCGATGAGCAGCGGCAGCAGCGCTTACCAGGAGGTGAGCTCGCCGCCCTCCGCCGTCTCGCACCTCCCTGCTCTCCTCGACCCCACCACCGCCGACAGCTACTCCTACGGCGGTGGCGGCGCCGGGCGCCACCACCAGCAGCAGCACGTGTCCTGTTTCTCCACTGGTACCACTAGTTCCACCACCACCGTTGCGGCGGCGGCCGCATCCGATCACCACCACCAGATGATGACGATGTTCAACAACAACGGGCTGATGATGTCGCCTGATCATCATCACTACCAGAGGAACGTTCTCTCGTCGACTACTTCGGCTTTCCCCAGCCTGCGATCCCTGCAGGAGAATCTCAACCTCCCGCTCCCTCACCACCTCTTCTTCCCTCCTCCGCCCACCTCTGCCTCGGCTGTCTTCCCACCGTCGTCGTTTGGTGGCGGTGGTATGATGAGCTGGATGGAGGAAGGGAAGGTCGGCACCGCCTCGGAGCTTGATTGCATGTGGACCTACTGATCCTCGTTATCACCATCATCATCATCATCAAAGCTTACTGAAAGAACTCCAGACGTGTCTTAATCAATATTAGCTATTCTAATAAGTATAAGTGTTTGTCTGTTTGATGATGATTAGGGTTTCGTAGGGTTTATGTAGTAGTAGGCAGTGTAGCTAGCTGGGGAGGCTAGGGTTCGGGTTTGTGAAAAGTAGTGAACGTGTTGAATATTTCCATCCATGGGATTTAATTTGAAGTAGTGGTGTTGCTATGCTACAGATGGATGGGATTGGGTGGGGGAAGGAAGGGTGTTGTCTCGTCGTCTCATGTCTTCCTCCTATGTAATGTTTGATGTAATGGGAATGGGTGGTGGTGTTTGTAATTTCCATGAATTGTCTTGTCGTTTGATTTCCTTGGACTTTGTTTTTCTTTCCTTTAATGACTACTTGGTGTGATTTGCTACATCGACGACTTGAGTTGATCGATGATGATGTTATATGCAGTGTCAGTGGCTAAAGTCATCACTAGTGTGTTATGTAGTGCTCTTCTTTCTTTGCTTTTTGGGGACCGTTGCTAGCTAGGGATTTGGTTCGACCAAACTCATTAATATTTGTATCTTGTATTTCCAACCATACTGGATCGTAGGGGTGTTTGTGGGTCGGGTGAGTAAGTTTTATGCATTTACTAATTAACCGACCGTTATTTACGGTTTGAAATGATACATGACTCAAATTTTAAATCTTATGGGAGCGATTGATTTTGGGTCGGTTTGGTTGAAGAAATTACCGGCTCAAACAATAACAGTCAAGAGCTATGCGATCAGGATTTTTATATAAAAGTTGTAACTATTTACTTGGGAGGTAATTAACATTCAACTTCTATATATGTTTCTTTCAAATCTGAAAGTAATTAGAATTCACTATAATATCACTGACATAGTAAGCCTTACATGCTAACGGTTAGGCATGACCTCGTCTTCATTATATCAAGGAATATAACTTGGGGATTATCATATTCATGTCTTTCATTATAACATCTTAAACAATATGTATGTTGGGCTCGGATAATGGTTAAGCAAAAGTTTAACGGTATTATATATTGTGTAAATATGTTCGCTTTTTTAGTTGTATTTTCTTGTTTTACGATCTTATAATAAGAACAAGAGATCTTTCTCGATCAATCCCTTTGCCCATTCTTGGAGAATCAAGACATATATTGTTTAAAAAAATCTTTCAGTACTATTCATTATCTATATATTTACTCTCTAAACCATCTTGCTTCATAAGAAAGAAAAGAATGTCTACTTACGGATAGACTCCCTCGGCTAATAGACTTATCTGTCACTTCTGTAATTTCTCTTTAGCTTCTTAATTGAATTGACCAGCGCTTCGCGATCCTCTTTCTTTTTCTAAAAGGTTGCTAATAGTGATTTTGCCGAATCAAGGCTCAGGGGCAACTCAGTAATAAAGTTCATCATTCATAATAAAAAAATTGGGTTAATTGCAAGGATGGTCACTGGGTTTACTAAAATCGTTCATGTTTGGTCACTGCAAATATTTAATTCTATTCATGGTCACTAAGATTAGTTCAATAGTTCAAGTTTGGTCACTCTCCGTTAGTTTTTGCTGATGTGGCAGTCAACTATTATAGTTGACCGTTAAATGAGTGACGTGGCCAATAAAAAAATAAAAAAATTTAAAAATTTCAATTTCCACCTCATTTTACAACTATTAAAAAATAAAATCGACGACCGCCGTCGATTTCCTCCCGCTTCTCCGGGCCCGGAGCTTACACGGTGACGAACATCTCTCCGTGGATCTTGACCGTCGGCGCGTCTACCGTTGACCGTGATTTCCCTGCCCATGTTGTTCTCGGAGACGGAAGCGTGCACCGCGGAGTTTCGCTTTACGGTGGGGATGGTCTGCCGGAGGGGGAACTTTTGCCTCTGGTTTACAGCGCCGATTGCGGGAGCAGGTACTGCTATGCCGGCAACCTCGACCCGGCAAAGGTGAAAGGCAAGATCGTGCTCTGCGATCGCGGCGGGAACGCGAGGGTCGAGAAAGGAGCGTCGGTAAAGCTCGCCGGCGGTGCTGGGATGATCATGGCGAACACGGATCTGGAAGGGGACGAGCTTCTTGCCGACGCTCATCTCATTCCCGCCACCATGGTGGGAGCGACGGAAGGAGACAAAAAATAAAAAATAGCCTTTTGAATCGGGCCCTGTTTGGTAGTTGTAGTAAATGTGTAAATTCTCAACTTGAGAGGCTGTTTCCTCGAGGGTTTGTTTCAATCAAGCATAAGATAACTTCATTTGTTGGTTAGGTGTGGCAGTAATCTATATTTATACGAAGAAGTGAATTTCAGTTTGTTCCCATTAATGACAGTGGGAGTTGCGATAACGAAACTGGTATGTATGATGTATCTGCTCTGTTGAGATTTGAGTTCGCATTTTCCCAATCTTCTACTAAAGGAGCAGCAAGATGCAGTGCAGTGATGCACCGTAGCGGCGAATGAATTCGATCATCTATTGCTGGTGGCAACTGGCAAGCACCTCAAATGGCCAGGAGATAAAAAAGGCCACCTAAGCCAAACTTTCAGAACAAGCATATTTTGCGACGCCGGTCCAGCCATTTTCATGGTCTTTTGCTTTAGGTTTCTGCCTGGTGCAGTTGTTGGGAAACCAGGGAGCGAGCAAAGGGAAACAAAGTAAGTTTTATTTTTCTTTTTATTTTTTAATAGTTGTAAAATAAGGTGGAAATTGTAACTATTTGAATTTTTTTATTTTTATATTGGACACGTCACTCATTTAACGGTCAACTATAATAGTTGACTGTCACATCAGTAAAAACTAACGGAGAGTGACCAAACTTGAACTATTGAACTAATCTTAGTGACCATGAATGGAATTAAATATTTGCAGTGACCAAACATGAACAATTTTAGTAAACCCAGTGACCATCCTTCCAATTAAACCTAAAAAATTGTAATATAACTTATTTGTACAATTTGATAATTCTACTTTCAACTTCAGACTAGTTGGAGAGACGTATGGAAGAAATATTCATTCTACTAACAAGACACGTCCCTCCCAACCCAAAGCCCATCATGTGAGACTCATGACAAAAAAAAAAAAAAAACCAAACAAAAGAGAAGAACTCTGCTGAATCATTGACCTTATCTTATCTCCAACTCCAATCCACCCATACAAATATAATTACATATATATATATATATATATATACAAGGAGGGAGAGAGCCCCAAATCGATTTTGATCATCCTCTACCAGCTACCAAGATCTACGTGTCACAAATTGCCTTCTTCGTGGAGGTATGTTCCATATGGTTTCCATTTTCTTCTTTTACCCCCTTTTTTATTTATTATTTCAACGGCGTCAAATAGGAAACCAGTTCTGTATGTAGTATAGAGAATTCACCGTCAATGTAGAAAATTCGTATTTATAAACGGCTTATTGCATCTCTAACGAAAGTGATTTCACCGATTTGTACCTCGTCAAATTATAGTAGCATAATGAATCGTCGGTTGGGTGTTTGAGTTACCAAGTATTCATCTGCATACATCTTGTTTCCTCCTCCTCTTGAGATGTGATATTGATTTATTAGAGATTATTTGGAAGGAAAAGAAAGTGATGGATAAGATCATTTTCCAACTAGACTTGCAAGATTTCACAACAAAATTAATGGAAACAGCCCATGAGCCATGATCTACGATGCCCCGGGCCCGTTTACAGCCCAAGGCCCAATCTCCGCTCCCTTCGTGGCCAACCGTTAACCAAATCACCCTCCTCAATCGTCCTCATAGGAAACAGACATTCCCCTTTTCTTCTCTTCACAAATTACATAATTTGAAGCTATACGTTTTGTAATGGAAAGACACTAAACTAGAGAGAAGAAAGAAAAGATGGTCACTTAACTACAATGACCTCCCCAAAGCAAATTGAACGTCGCAACAAAAACCGAAGAAGTTGAGTGTTGTCGTTTATCTGGGGAAGGAAGAGAGGTCATAAAACCGCCAATTGTTCCCACTTCAGCCCATGCAAAAGCTTAGGCAAAGGACACGGGACCGCCGAACTTGACTCACTCACTGCATCCATCATCTTGTCCTTGTGTGGTGCTTAAATGCCAGGCAAAACTCCCGCCCACCTGTAACTGTGCTAAACCCCCATCCACCATTCCATTTCCCAGATCGCTTTCTCTTGGGTGCAGTTAACTACCACTTCTCAAGGCCATGGAGGCTCCAGCGAACATCACCATCAAAGGGATACTGAGCCTGTTGATGCAGAGCATCGACGACGACGACGACGACTACATGAAGAAGAAGAAGAAGAGTGTGATTTCGCTGGGAATGGGCGACCCTTCTGCTTACTCTTGCTTCCAGGCTCCTCCTGTTGCTTCTCATGCTGTGGCGGAGGCTCTTCACTCTCACAGGTTCAATGGCTACTCCCCAACTGTCGGACTCCCCCAGACTCGAAGGTAGGCAAAAAACAAATTCCAAGATTTGGGTTGCGGTTTTCCCCATTTGGGTATCTGAAATTAGAGAGCTTTTGCACCAATTTCACTTTTCATAATAACCTTCTGCAGTTTTGGTTGTGTTAGAAGTTAGAACTCGTTTCACCCTTTTTTAAAAGTCTTACTTGATAGACTAGCACTTGCGCTGGAAAATACCGAATTTGGTGATTGTAAAATGAACTGGGTTCTCCCTGGTTAAGGATGAATTCGTTACAGAGATATGTTTTTTCCATGGATTTTGCATTAGAAACCAGAAGGATTCATTCCTTTTGCAATGAGAATTACATGCTGATCTTTTGACGGGTTGGTCATTTGAGAGCAGTGCTTTTGTTCCAAAAGACTGGATTGAAATTGAAATCCAGAAACTGGAGCTCCTATTTAACTGAACTGGATTCTCCCCTAATAAGGGGAAACTGGTACGAAGAAATGACTTTCAGACGCAGCTCCCTTGCAATGTGAATTTTGTAATGGTCTTTTAATGGGTTGGTTCAAATTAGAGCAGTTTCTTTTGCTGTTTTTTATTTTACACAGGGCGATTGCAGATTACCTATCTGGCGATCTTCCTTATGATCTATCTTCGGATGATGTCTTCGTCACGTCTGGATGCACACAAGCCATCGACGTGGCACTAGCAATGCTTGCTCGCCCTGGTTCGAACATATTGCTTCCAAGACCAGGTTTCCCTATCTATGAACTCTGTGCAGCCTTCAGGGGGATCGAAGTTCGACACTTCAATCTCTTGCCACAGAATGGCTGGAAGGTTGATCTTGCTGGAGTTGAAGCCCTTGCAGATCACAATACTGTGGCAATGGTGGTGATCAACCCTGGGAACCCTTGTGGGAATGTCTACTCCTATCAACATCTGAAAGAGGTAAAGAAGAAGAAGAAATCATAGCAAATTGGGAACACTCAGTAGGTAAATGATAAATCAAACCAGCTCTCATGTTTGTTATGTGTCAACTGGTATAGATTGCTGAAACTGCTGAGAGGCTCAAGATACTCGTAATTGCTGATGAAGTGTATGGTCATCTTGCCTTTGGGCGTAACCCATTTGTCCCCATGGGAGTTTTTGGATCCACCGTGCCTGTTCTCACGCTTGGCTCTCTCTCGAAGAGATGGATCGTGCCAGGGTGGCGACTTGGTTGGTTCGTCACTTGTGATCCCTCTGGCTCTTTTAGAAAACCAAAGGTCAGTTACCTGGCTCCCTAGTTTCTTCCCTTTGTTTCTGTTTCCATTATCACTTTGCTCTGGATCAATGGTCTTTCTGATGTTCCCTCAGATGGTGGAGCGAATCAAGAAGTACTTTGACATATTAGGAGGACCTTCGACATTCATCCAAGTATGCAACTTTCTTCATGGCCATGCTTGAATATGTTAAGTCGGCATGATGGTTCCGTGCAGAAGCTAAGTTCAACATGAATCTGTTAAGTGTTGGATCTATTATCACGTCACCTATGTTGTTTTTACATGTGATGTAGGCAGCAGTTCCTCGTATTCTGGAGGAAACTGAAGAAATTTTCTTTAAGAAAACAATAAAGGTGTTGAAGCAAACTTCAGATATTTGCTTCGATAGGGTGAAGGAGATTCCATGCATCACATGCCCTTACAAGCCGGAAGGATCCATGGCTGTAATGGTAAGTTGTAAATGTTGATACTGATTGAAGGAACAAGGTTTACTTGCATCTTGCTGATATGAAGTAACTTGCTACTTCTTCCACAGATGAAATTGAATCTCTCAATACTGGAAGATATCAGTGACGACATAGATTTCTGCTTCAAACTGGCTAAGGAGGAATCTGTTATCATTCTTCCAGGTGAGAAGCCCTCAGAAAGTTTGGTCACTAGCCCTCTCTTCTCCTGCAAGGAATTGAAGCCAAATAATCTGATCTGAGAAAAAATTGCAGGAACTGCTGTGGGATTAAAGAACTGGCTTCGAATAACATTTGCAGTTGATCCGGAGTCGCTTGAAGAGGGTTTAGCGAGGTTGAAATCCTTCTGCAAAAGGCACACCAAACAACAGCTAGGGAGTTGAGAAGATTAAACATGTTCTTTCCCTCTAGCTATTTCAGCAAACCAAAAATTTTGCAGGTACATTGCAAATACAAATGAATGTCGACAAGTTCAGAAAACTCTGTTAGAATGATAGGCAGCTTGCAGCTGGCTCAAATATATTCAGTCTGTGTACAGACCTCCAAGTTACAGAATTGTTAATATAGGAGAAGTTCTTACATGTTCTTTGTTGGTTATATTATATACCCAAAGTTGAGTGTGTACTATAGACTTGTCCATCTTAGTGAAATGAAGTTGCAAGATTCCACTTGGGACATATTTCACGAGTTTAGACTGAAAATTTAATCTTATTTATGTTGCATTGATTCCAAACCTTACCATGTACTTGGTGCTAGTGTTTTATATTTCGAATGACAAACTTGAAATAAAGTAATGATCTTGTGATATCCCTGAAAAATTTACTCAAATGCAATAGCCAATCGAGACTTTCAAGTGGAGAATCCACTGAAAACAACCGCTACAAAACAAATCAACCATCACGGCCGGCCGGCCTAAAGAACGTTACAGTGTCAGCCTCCTTGTCTCTTATGCCCACTGCCCTCCAGAACCTCTGCAAAACTCCAAAAATGCAGAGCCGACAGCCAAAGTGCCAAACTGCTTAAACAACCCTTTGGCAGCCAGCAGCAGATAAAAGTGGATTCCACATCCACATTGCCAAAAAAGACAACTCCATCACTCTACTCTATCTCTACCCCCACTAAAACCCGCACCAGAGTCCTATCATCCTCCTATTAAATCCCAGGGTTGTAGCTGTTCCCTTCAGTTCATCATCCCTTTCAGTCATTTCGCCATGGAACATCTGAACACAGGCAACTACCCTTTTCCCTAAAAGCCACTGTTCCCCCCCCCCCCCCCCCCCCCCCCCCTTACTATTTAGAGCTCTGAGTTTCTTCTGCCTGACCTTTCCCTGTTGGGTTTTCAATTTTATTTGCAGAAATGGAAACTGTTGCTGCTGCTGTAGAAGTTCAGAAAGGAGACGACTTTAAGGTTCATGTGTTCTCATCCTCGGAGGTTTGTGAAAAAGCGTGGAAGATTCTGACCTTACAAATAAACAAAAAGGTCTTCATGATCTTGAATGACTTCTTACTGTTGTTGTTTTTGGTTCACTGTGATCAGTTGATCGAGACGCTGAATGAGAAATGGAGGGCAGTGAAGAGGAAACCATACCCAGCAATGTACTCGAGCGTCTATGGCGGGATCATTCTCGATCCGGCGTTGATGGTGATTCCGATTGATGACCACATGGTACATCGCGGTCATGGTGTTTTTGACACGGCCATAATCCTCGACGGGTAATCTGGCACATATAGTTCAGTGACCTTCGAAGCATTTAGCCCCCGCGTCATGAATCTAATTTTGCAGCTCTCGTGTTTCAGATACCTCTATGAGCTAGATGTACACATAGAGAGGATCCTAACATCAGCCTCAAAGGCAAGGATATCATCTCCATTCACCAAGGACAAACTGCGCACCATCTTGATCCAGTTGGCAACAGCATCAAACTGCAAGAAAGGCACACTGAGATACTGGCTGAGTGCAGGCCCAGGCAACTTCCTGCTGTCCCCATCTGGTTGCCCAACTTCAGCATTCTATGCAGTCGTGATCGACGAGGAGTTCTCCCAGCAAAAGGAAGGAGTTAAGGTGATCACATCTAACATCCCCATGAAGCCGCCTCTTTTTGCAACTGCAAAGAATGTGAACTATCTCCCCAATGTGCTGTCCATCATGGAAGCCGAGGACAGAGGAGCCTTCGCCTCAATCTGGGTCGACGAGGAAGGGTACGTGGCTGAGGGTCCCAATGTGAACGTAGCATTCATTACTCAGGAGAAAGAGCTGATCCTGCCTCCATTTGACAACATACTCCGCGGATGCACTGCTCTGAGGCTGCTTCAGCTGGCGCCCAAGCTGGTGGAAAAGGGGAAGCTGAAAGGGGTGAAGACCGGTAAACTCACTATTGGAGAGGCAAAAGCTGCTCTGGAGATGATGTTTGTAGGGAGCACGCTCCCCTTGTTGCCTATTGTGATGTGGGATGATCAGCTCATTGGAGATGGTAATGGGAGATTGTATATATTTTCTAGAGGTAGATACTTTTGCTTTGAGATAGCTAATGGATATTTTTGTTTGAAATGCAGGGAATGTGGGAGAATTGACAATGGCACTTTCTGATCTGATGTGGGAGGACATGGTTGCTGGGCCTACTACTCAGAGGATTCCTGTCCCATATGAGCAGTAGTACTGAACAAAGAGAGAAAATGGGTTATGGAAGTTGCCTGAAGGAATCATGTATACAACATTGTTCTTTTTGGGTCAACTCACCAATGGAGTTAAAGATCACTTTGCTGTTCAAAGCTCCTCTTGTAATCCGGAATAAAAATCTCAAAGCTGTTGTGTGCTTTCTAGGTACAAAACTTGAATGAGAAAGTCCTTTCAAGAACAATACACTGGCCTGTTTGCTTATTTACACTATTGACCATCGTCGGAATTTTCATCCATCTGACTGCTCTGATCTCCATCAGAAGTTGAGTTCAGCGGATCTGATAGCATTTCTCCTTCACCAGTTTGAGTTTCTTCCCCTTCCATGAAGGAGTTCATCGTGAGCTGGGCAGAGTATAGGATTAAACCGACAGAGTTAAGACCGAAAACGAACGTGGCAAGGTAGCACAACCCATTGATGATGGTCCTGCAAAATTACAGGCACAACAATCAGTGATGTGCCACAATTTGGATAAGTTAATATTGCATGCTTTTTACTTTGCTGGAGTTACCTGATAGTAATTGTTATTTGGCGAACCTGAGAGAAGTAGGTGAAAGTTGAAACCCAGATTAAGTCAAGAACTTCACAAATCATTAAAACAGTTTTTAGCAACGAATTCCAAAGAGATGTGGAGAAGGAAACTGTGGACCAACCGAGAAGTTATCTGATATGGTCTGCCGGTTGAGAGATGCCTCAATGGTGGTGGTGAACTTGTAGAGAATAAGGGCTATCACACCTGCAGATATTCCACCTAGTAGTGCCTGCACAGGTGAAGTAGGCTTCTTACCTTCTTCAACTGGAGCCGCGGCTCCCATGGCCTTCAAGCTTTCCAATGCCTCATCTTTCAACGTCTTCTTAGTAGCCCCTGATGATCTAAATCTCTAAAAACATGTTCCACAAGTCACAAATCGGCATATAAACATCAGGCTACCCTATTATAACAAAATGATACAGTTTGCACAGAAATTAAATTGCAACACGGCGCACAGATGGAAAACTTATGTTGGAATCCAAAATGGGTGACACATAGCATTACCCATCAATTTTTCCAACCCAAGATGAAAGCTTTTCAACCAAATCAAGAATCAGACAGAGCTGAAACTTGAACCAACCATACTCAAACGCTATCCAATTCAAGGGTAAGCGAAATCAAATGCAGGGCAAATGCAATAGGGCAAATTGAAGGGATTGGGAATGATACCAGTTCCTTGGCGCGCTTAAAACGACGGCGGATGGAGCGAACGAGGAATATCAGGATAGCCCCAGTGAGCAGCACGCTGGTCGCAATCTGCAGCGGGGAAGGGTCGTCGGTGGTGGCGAAGATGGAAGGAGCAGTAGGGAAAGGGAGCTCAATAGGGCCACCGCCGTCTTCCGGCAAGGGGACGGGTACTTCAATCGTGGTGATATCCGCCAGCCATGGCTCCAAGAAAGGCCGCCGGAGGGCTGATAGATAGGTGAAAAGGGCCGCCGGGGTGGGATTTCCGAGACAGCGGCAGGAAAAGGAAGAAGAAGAAGCTCTCTGATGGCGGTGTCGATAGCGAGGTGAATGGAAGAATTGAGGAGAGAGGAGAGTCGAGGAGTAATGGTGGTTCTGCAACAACAACATCTGAAAATCTCACAAGGAGAAGAAGGGAATTCGGAAGGAATGGAGTGGTCGTTGAAGTGAAGGGAGTGGACTAGCGCGCTGTGGCGGGATTACGGGGGAGGGAATATCTAACGAGATAATTGGGCTAGCCCATTGAGTTGTCCTTTTCTCTTAATGGGCTGAATGACCTAATGGGCCAAACAACGAGCCCATCCAGATCTGGTAGTCATGGATGATGGGGTCAAATTCATACCTTCAGCTGGAAACTGGAGAATAAATCAGACGTAGAGAAGCAAAAACATAAAGAACATTCTTCGAAAATTATTTCAAAAAATTACGAAACGTATGAATGAATATGGCGGTCAATCTGGACAATATTTTTTTTTTCTTTCTTTCTCGGTTAAGGTTCATTCGATGTAGGCAACGTTGAGTACGTAATAAGATGAAGCTTTGAACTATGAATCAATCAACTTATTCTCGACGCTAACGAATTCGTGGAGAGACAAATAATCCCTATGCTATCGCCGTTCCCATCCCATTTGCTTCTGCCGCAAACAACTCCAAAACTTGCCGTCTGTCACCGAAAGAAGTCAAGACGAGACAAGAGAGCTTCAAAGTGGGCAACAGACAAATGTTGTTTTCTTCGATCTGTCTCTGCTTAAGTCGATTAATAAGTGACCCAAACAAAAAACCACATGGGAAAAGGTAGATAGATGCATGCATGCTGGCACTATGGGAGAAATTATTAAATATGAAACCCCTAATTAGTAATGGCTACCAACCAAATCATCTATCTTCGATCTCTGTGTAAATCCGTCCAACTTCAATCGGTATGCCTTCCTACCTGGCCCCTCTTTCACCTCCAATACATTACAGCCATCTCTAGCTGTTTTCATTTTAATACACAAACAAACTAACTAGGATCTTCTTCGTCTTAGTCATGTTTCGTGATTGGAACAGCCTTCATCTCATTGTTTAAAACCAGTGGCATGCCACCCGGTTCAATCTGTGTCGGTCATGAAATCGGCTTGACACCATCGGCATGGCCGGTATGATCGACTTACGCATTGTAAGTAAAATGACATCATTGTAATGAATTTAATGAATAAAAAATTAATTTATTATTCATTTTACGAATGTAATAGTTAAAAGTTGATGATATTTGTTGGATTGTAACTAAATTGTCCACAAATATGTTTTATATATGATTAAATACATTGGATATTAATTGTTTTCACATTTTTTTAAACCGGCATGAACCGCAACAAACTGGTTATACCACCGGTCGTACCATTCCACTTGCCAAACCGGTACAACGGTATAAACCGGTTTGACAACCTTGTTTAAAACTGAGTGCCGCGAAACTACGTACCGTTAGGTGACATGTAGCATCGTCTCGTGTTATCAATATTGTTACCGGTATAGCTGATTGTTATGGTTGGGCGGGATAGGATACGGTGACAACCCCTTGGGGGTTGTCAGATTCACAACCACCTTTGTGGCCATCAGATACGTTCTCTCTCCTGTCTTTTTCTTCTTTTTTTAAATTAATGGTTAAGATTAAACCAAGGGCAAATTCGGAATGGAAAACTTACCACATGAGATCCTTTCCATTTTCCATATAAATACTTTTTATTACCAAAAAAAAAAAAAAATACAGACCCTCCCCCATTCTCCTGCGTCTCCCTCCTCTTCCCCTCTCACATATCTCTAACAAAAAAACCCTAGCCGTCAAGAGCTCCACCACCGTCGCCGCCTCTGCCTCCCCTGCCGCCGCGCCGCTGTCCTCCCCGCGCCGCTGTCCTCCCCTCCCTCTTCCTCTCCCGTGCCCACCGTTCACAGCCTGCTGTACCCGCCATCATGATCGAGATCTACGCCGCCGCCTGGCTCCGCGACGTCCAGATCGGCTCCGTCCGCGTTCTCATCAGCAACGTCCATATCGACGTCCAGATCGTCTCTACACCAAGCTCTCTGCCTCCGGCGTCGGCTTCAACGACCTCCTCGACGCCAAGGCCACCGCCGGGGGTGCGAAGAATCTCGAGGAGAAGACTGCCAATGCTAGTGGTACCAATTCCTATTGGTACGATACCACTACTCACTGGTACGTACCAGTGGCTCCCCTACCACTACTCACTGGTACCACTATCATCTGGTACCACTATCATCTAATACCACTATTATCTGTTTTTTTGTGTTATTCTCTACTGGTACCGCTACCAATGCTAGTGGTAGCGCTACCAGTGCTAGTAGCGTTGTGTTATTCTCTACTGGTAGCGTTGTACTGGTAGCGTACCACTAGTATTGGTACATTTTTTACTGGTACCGCTAGTACTAGTACATTTTTTAACGTACTGGTAGCGTACCACTAGCACTGGTATATTAATTACCAGTAGACTAATAGATTGGTACACTTTTTAACGCATTGGTACATTTTTTCAGGTTGCCGGAGGGAGTCTGCCGGAGAGAATTCGCCGGAGAAAAAGTTTGTCAGTCGATGCGGAGTGGCTGCTGGAGAAAGGAAGAGAGAGAGAGATAGATAGAGATATTAATGTATAAGATTTAAATTTCAGAAAAAAAATTGTATTTAATATGGGTATTAAATTCCCAATATAATTAATACAAAAAAGGTAATTAATATATTCATTTTTTTCATACCCAAAATACCCTTGGTTGTGAATCTGACAAGGGGGTTGTCACCGTATCCTGTCCCTGGTTGGGCTGCTCAAGTTCTATTTAATACCGTTATCTTGATGTTCATCGATTTCTTAATATGTTCACGAATCCAAATTATACTTATTTGGTATTTTATGACAAAAAAGAAAAAAAAAATTGACGCACGTGTAGAAATGTGAAATGAGAAAATTGGATACTTTTGAACCAAAAAGTAATGATTGATATATATAAGTTACGATCATTTAGATCACGTGTTCTTCTAGAACAACTGAAGAAGTGCGAGTACATCGTAACACAGTGCAACGTTTTTGCAAGGTATCATTCACTAACCTATGTTTAGCTGGGTTTTTGTTTGAAAATAAGAAACTAAGATCTCATCCCTTGCCCATGTTTCATGATTGGGCAGAACCATCATCATTATTGAGAACTGAATGCCACGAAACTATGGGGTCGTTTGGATGGATCAATTGTAAAATGAGACAATTTGATCAATTGTTTCATTTTACAAAAAGAGTAAGTTAAAACGAGTCAATTCAGATTACCTGCCCCCACCCCAGACAATTGTAATTGGCTCGAAATGAGTCAATTCAGAATTTCCCAGCCCAAATTGCTTCATCCAAATTTTCTGCTGCCAAACGGATCAATCTAGCACAATTGACTCAAAACGAGACAATTGTGTCAGATTGATCCATTAGAATTCCTCATCCAAACGACCCCTATAGCTAATTGTCGTAGTCGAGCTATTCAAATTGTAGTTAATAATGAGATATTGTATTATCTTGGTGCTCATCGCCTTTCTAATATGCCACCTGGATCGAAATGATACTTATCTTGTATCATTTGTGACCAAAAAAAAAAAAAAGAAGAAGATTGACATGAATGTAAAATACAAAGTAAAAATTTTAGGATTTAAAAACCAAAAGGGTAATGACGAATAGAAGTTACAATCATTTAGATCATGCGTACTTTTAAACAATTATAAGTGAACCATAATCTATTAAAACATTTTGACGTAGTATGGAGTAAATACAATAATATTTAGGGTATGCCTACTATGACATGCATGTCACGGTGACATGCACTTTTCGGTCGACCTATTGCTGAAGGCGGTCGACCGAATCGACTAATTTGGGCAGCACGAGAAAGCATTGCGGTCGACCTCAACGACCACCTGGTCGACCACACTTAGTTTAAGTTGATATTTTTGGTCGACCAGAATAAAACCTGGGTCGGCCATTTCGTTGGCGTCAGAAACAACATGGTCGACCACCTAAGGTATATAGGTCGACCACTTGATTGCAGTCATTAACAAAATGGTCGACCGGATGATGAAAGAGGTCGACCAGATAGAAGATAAGTGTTCTATCAAAGTGTCCAATTAATTGACGTAAAATCAAGATCAAGTGTTGGTTTCGCAGTCGACCTAATCCGTTACGAGGTCGACCGAATACAAGAAAGTCACCCTATGCCCCGTGTCTTTTTTGCTTATGTATGTCGATTTGTGTGGTTCTTTTAATCGTATAAATTATGTTTCAAACCATCATAATTAGTCATAATTATAACAAGGACTCATCAATTCATAGCATAACAACTAAAAATAAAACAGAAATCATAATTGTTCACACATAAAAATAAAACTAAAAAAACAACAGAATAACACTCAACAATCGTTTTGACCACTAAAACACACAATATAAAAACTCATTTCTCCTACTCATCTCCCCCCTCTCTCTCATCCACATTTTCTTCATTGGTGGTGCTAGCATGATGGTGGTCGGATGTGGTGGGATGCATGTATCTTCCGCTGAAAGATCGCCACTCATCTCGCATCTCATTCACGGTCACCTGCATTGTGCTCATCTGGGCGGTCATTTGCCCCAAGTAGTCGTGCATGCCAGTCATCTGGGTGGACATCTGGCCCATGTACTCGTACATGCCATCCATGCGCTCCCACACACGCTGTAAGGTGATCGGTGGAGTTGAACTCTGTGCCTCCCCCATTGGCTCGTCTCGAGCTCCTTCATCACCCTCATCATCATCATCATCATCATCATCACCACCATGAGCATTGTTTACTCTGACATACTCACCATTACGCAGATCAAAGCCCATCTATTTCAGAGATGAAACAGTATAAAACTCCTGGCTTGAGATTCTTAACCCCACCTCTTCACTTAAATTCACATTAAAATGCTCAAATAGCACAGTGAGGATCATCCCATAGGGAAGATTCCTGTTTGAACTTTCTGCAGCAGTAAGCATGTGGTTAAAGATTAAGTATGGCAAGTTCACCTTCTCGCTTAACAGTAGGTTGGTGAGGAGCTCCATGTCGAAGTAGGTGACTGTCTCCCGATGTCCACCCTTTGGCAGAATGTTGTAGGAAAGCATGTGGTGAAGAACTCTGGCTTGAACTGTCAGGTGGTTACTCGATGGCCTATTGCGCCCCTGAGCATTTTCCTCTTCATCAAGACCACATACCGTCTGGATTTGCTTGGCTCTCGTGAAATGCGTTTCATTCCAAGCACCGTAAGAATTGATTCTCTTCCCCTCGTTTGGAGCCTGAAGTACTTGCGCCAACACATTCTTGCTGATGCGCATCGCCACCCCATTCACATAGGATTTGAATGCGTGAATGGATCCATTTGCATTGCGCTCGTAGACGATGTTGTTGTAGAAGTACTGTACCAGTTTTGGGTAGTATGGTACATTGAGAGATATCACCTTCAGCCACTCTTGATCGATGAAGGGTCCCAGAAACCCGTAATTCTCGAAATGAGAATACGCATCCGTCGTCAATGGCCTTCCCGGAGCCACCCTGCGGTTGTGCATTCTCTTCTCTGCATAGTTGTCACTTTGCTCCTTGGTCTGGAACAGTTTGGGATTGAACTCTTCCCATTCCGAACTTGAGGCAGCAGCTTTTTGTGACTTTCTTTTCTTATTTTTGCCAAACATTCTGCGATTAAACAAGCAAGAATACACGTTAGTCACATTTTCGAAATGAACAATACGCGGTCGACCACTCCATAAAGAGGTCGACCTCAGTTAGTTTAAAACGAGAATGGGTCGACCTCAGAAGAATCATAGGTCGACCTCAGTTAATTTAAAACGGGAATGGGTCGACATACACGAATTTTTGCCTTCATCGGTCGACCTCAGAAGCATCATAGGTCGACCTCGGCTTAATTGAAACGAGTCTAAAATGGGCCAAATCCTCGTACCAATTGAGTGCAAAACAGATCCGGTCGACCTCATAATTAGAAGAGGTCGACCAGTGTTAGTTTCGCACAAATAATTCAAAGACAATTGCACAACTCAAACTTTTGCCTTCATCGGTCGACCTCAGAAGCTTCATAGGTCGACCTCGGCTAAATTGAAACGAATCTAAAATGGGGCAAATCCTCGTACCAATTGAGTGCAAAACAGATCCGGTCTACCTCATAATTAGAAGGAGTCGACCAGTGTTAGTTTCGCACAAATAATTCAAAGACAATTGCACAACTCAAACTTTTGCCTTCATCGGTCGACCTCAGAAGCTTCATAGGTCGACCTCGGCTAAATTGAAACGAGTCTAAAATGGGCCAAATCCTCGTACCAATTGAGTGCAAAACAGATCCGGTCGACCTCAGAAAAAACATAAATCGACCTCGGAAAATATAAATCGATTGAAAGCCAATTGTGCTTTCAAAAGCCGTGCAGTTCAGGACATTAGACCACCTTGTAATGCACTCGAAGACACAATCGTTTATGTCTTCGAGTGCATTGCAAGATGGCCTAATCTCCTGCACTGCGCGGCTTCTGGAAGTCACAATTGCCTTTCAATCGATTTAAATGGCCCGAGGTCGACCTCAATATCATCACAGGTCGACCTCAATAAGTTTAGCACAAATAAATCGAACTTTTGCCTTCATAGGTCGACCTCAGAAGCATCACAGGTCGACCTCGGCTAAATTAAAACGAAAAGAAATGGCCCAAATGCTCGTATCAATTGAGTGCAAAACAAATTCGGTCGACCTCATAAATAGAAGAGGTCGACCAGTGTTAGTTTTGCACACATAATTCAAAGACAAAGGCAAATAAATCGAACTTTTGCCTTCATAGGTCGACCTCAGAATCATCACAGGTCGACCTCGGTTAAATTAAAACGAAAAGGAATGGCCCAAATGCTCGTATCAATTGAGTGCAAAACAAATTCGGTCGACCTCATAAATAGAAGAGGTCGACCAGTGTTAGTTTTGCACACATAATTCAAAGACAAAGGCAAATAAATTGAACTTTTGCCTTCATAGGTCGACCTCAGAAGCATCACAGGTCGACCTCGGCTAAATTAAAACGAAAAGAAATGACCCAAATGATAGTATCAATTGAGTGCAAAACAGATTTGGTCGACCTCATAAATAGAAGCGGTCGACCTGTGTTAGTTTCGCACAAAAAAAAACAGAAATAAGATCGCTTGAATAATAAGGGCAGAAATCTCAACTCGAACTTCACAGGTCGACCTCAATATCATCATAGGTCGACCTCAGTCCATAAAACAGAAATAAAATCGATTTAAGGCCAGACGCGGTCGACCACGATGATGAACAGGTCGACCGCATCTGACGAACAGAAGGAAAAATCCCTCTTTTACATCTTTAGATTTTTTGAAAACAGAAAGAAGAAGACAAGAATCGACTCAAATGAAAGAGAGGAGTGAAAGCTATACCTTGTTCTTCTTCTAAGTGATGAGGATGAAGCTTTCTTTGAGTTTTTGGAAAATGGAGTTTTTGGAAAATGGAGAAGAAGATGAAGAAGGGAAAGGAGAGGAAGAATGAGTGGATGTGGTGGGATAGGGTTCTGATTGTGGTGTAGAATGGGTGGGGGAGGGTTTCTTAAATAGAGGATTGGGGGAGGTTTGGGTGGATGTTGCAAACAAACCGGTTTGGTCGGCTGAATTAAATACGCG